CAAATTTTGCTACTAAAATCTAAATCTACCAAAAATCACAATTCTGAACTTCCTAAAAATAAAGCCTACGCTGCAAACAGAGGTTTCTCTCTTTCATGGCTTTTAACGTTTGCGTCGCTTGTCACGAACGGCTGCGTTCGTAAACGCTAAAAGCCATGCAAGATAGAAACCTCTGCTCGCCGGGTAAATAAGACGGAATAATCTTTTTTGTTTCTTAGCCTGTCCCAGGCGTTCAGATAATGTAGCGCGGTCGAAAAAAAGTAAACAAAATGAAAAACGAAAAATGATCGCACAAAAAAATTGAACCAGTGCGGCGCCCATATTTAAACCGCGTGGACAAAGATAGAAACTAAGCGAAAGGTGGACGTGAATCTTTACCTTTGTTTTGTTTGAACAGCTACCGTCTTTGTTGACTTCGCTTCATTTTTTGAATCCTTCTCCTTCGAGCTTGCCGCGGTGACAATTTCCTCCTGATAGGGAGGGGCTGGATAAAAATTAATGTACATGAGTTGCTGTGTTGAGTTTCTTCAAAAGCTTCCAAGTTTAATTTACATCATTTACTTAAAATACGGGAGCGTAGAAATGAGTGTAAGAAGGACATGCTTTGACTATGTTGGGCCATGGATTTAGTTTTTACTTGTCTTAAATAAGGTTATAACTGAAAAAGAAAACCGTTTTCGAAAGTCAAAGATTCGTCTAGGAGACAAGCAGAATTTCTCTCTTGGTTGCCAATCTTTCCCGCCCTCCACCAGTTGATATATAAGCCACACACAACCCACAACCCCTTGATTTGCTCAAAAGAAAAGCTAGCGCCTCAAACATCAGCTTTTCAATCTTATTTTACGGAAGTAAATTGTTTTAGTTTGTCAAAAGTTGATGAGCCATTTCTTTGTTTTTCACTCCCTCACCGACCCATGGCCACAGTTCCTTGTGAAATCAACCCCTCAATTCATTATTTAATTTTTCCAGTAGACAACATGGTTCCCAGTTGAAATTTATGACACTACGGTTATCTAGTTAGTAAGAGTAATGTAACCTGACTCACCTATCTGAGCAGCAATTCTCGATGCTCCACAGCCCATCTCAGCCTTTAGTCACTTCAGTGACTGCTCGAATACCCTTAACTTTTGTGATTTTTTCTCAATATCTACTTATTGAGTCTTCGTATGGTTTACTAACTGTGCGTGCGACTCTAAGCCGCGTAAAGATAGAGATTTTTGCGTCATAAAAGACATAATTTTAATTTTTAATCAGTTCTTAATTATTCTAATTAATGTTTCTGTTCGGGTATTCATCTCAGGATGTAGCTCTTTTAACTTTTAGATCATGCGTAAACTATTAAAAAAAAACATACTCAAATCTGCGCTGAGTTTAAGACTGAGTTACGCTGGAGCTACCGTTTAAGAATTTTTTTTTACCTTAAAAATATTCCATATGCATTGACTATCGCGTTTAATAAAACGTTCGACAGGTATTTCGTGACTAATATTGAGCAAAATACTGTTTTTCCTTCTAAATTCTTAGTCTTCGTTCAAAGCACATAATCTTCGACAGAAAAGAACTTATTAATTTTAGGGGATATTAACAAGGTTTTTAACTGAACTCTAACTCAACCCCAATTCAACTCAATCCCGTAACTCGACGATCAATATTACTATCTTTCTCTTACTTAATAAAATCAATCCCATTCTGAATTCAATAGAAGAATAATGATCATCATTCAAATAAGTGTTCCGTATTTTTAAAGCAGTCATAGTAAAAAAAAGTCTATGTACAACCGCCCACCTCCCGGATTTTGTTTGTGTGGGGAGGGGGAGGGTGGGGGCTGGCTGTATGTAAAACCTGCAACAGACCTAGGACAGACCGGAAGCTTTAGAACACCCCACCCCCGAAACAGGTCGAGAATGAAAAAAACAGAGAATGACCTGACTCTCCCAGGTTTTACAAACGCCTTGGAACAATTCAGGCAACGCCCCTTTGTATCGTCACGCAACTTCCCCACAAATGGAGCGTTGCGTGATGAAATGAAGAACCGAGAGGGACTTGGGCTGAGGTTTGTCCAATCCAAGATGGCGTCCTTGCGAACAGTTCCAGAGAGACTTTTGAGGCCTGCTGCACGATCAGTTTCTGCCGGAGGACGAGGGTTTCTTTCTCCCAGGACGTCTGTAGGTAAACCAAGAATGTATCGGGCAGCGCTTTGCAAGGAACTCGGCAAACCGCTTGTAGTTCAAGAGGTCCCTGCCACCGAGAACTTGAAGTCAACGCAGGTTTGCTTTTAAAAATAACTTTTGAATCCACTAGAGACGATAAAAAAATTGAAAATTTTTAGGTGGGTTACTTGGTATCCCCGGCTTCTGTGGAAAAAAGTTACCTTTGCGTAAAACACCTTAATCTCTTCAATATATATGGAGCAAGCCCTTGTCTCAAACAATTACAAAGCGCTTCAAAAAGGTCAGACTTCTCTCTAATTAGCGCCCTCTTCCCTAAAAAATCTCTCTCCCGGATTTTGTTTGTGTGGGGAGGGGGAGGGTGGGGGCTGGCTGTATGTAAAACCTGCAACAGACCTAGGACAGACCGGAAGCTTTAGAACACCCCACCCCCGAAACAGGTCGAGAATGAAAAAAACAGAGAATGACCTGACTCTCCCAGGTTTTACAAACGCCTTGGAACAATTCAGGCAACGCCCCTTTGTATCGTCACGCAACTTCCCCACAAATGGAGCGTTGCGTGATGAAATGAAGAACCGAGAGGGACTTGGGCTGAGGTTTGTCCAATCCAAGATGGCGTCCTTGCGAACAGTTCCAGAGAGACTTTTGAGGCCTGCTGCACGATCAGTTTCTGCCGGAGGACGAGGGTTTCTTTCTCCCAGGACGTCTCTAGGTAAACCAAGAATGTATCGGGCAGCGCTTTGCAAGGAACTCGGCAAACCGCTTGTAGTTCAAGAGGTCCCTGCCACCGAGAACTTGAAGTCAACGCAGGTTTGCTTTTAAAAATAACTTTTGAATCCACTAGAGACGATAAAAAAATTGAAAATTTTTAGGTGGGTTACTTGGTATCCCCGGCTTCTGTGGAAAAAAGTTACCTTTGCGTAAAACACCTTAATCTCTTCAATATATATGGAGCAAGCCCTTGTCTCAAACAATTACAAAGCGCTTCAAAAAGGTCAGACTTCTCTCTAATTAGCGCCCCTCCCCCCAAATGTCACGTTTTAAACTGTTGCGCTAACAATCACTTTATGTAAAAAATACTTTGAAAAAAACTGTAGTAAGTGTGAGATAAAGCCTGGTTCTCATTGTATTCCGCCACCCTACTTACGATATAGCCACTGGTACCAGCCATGATACTTTCTCACATTAGAGAACATAGCAGACATGGCAGGTCTTGACCCCTGGCCTGCCTGCATAGTTGAAGTCAACTCAACTTGGCAGGCAGGCCAGCTGTAGAGACTGTTGTTACTCCTGTTTTCATCCCATTATTTTAGATGGTACCAGCAGTTATATTACAGGTAGGTTGGAGGCGGCATTTGTAACTGAAAACCAGGCTTTAGGGAAAGATAAAATGAGTTTGGAAAACCATAGACTGAGCTGGGGCAGATCCAGAAAATTCAGAAAGAGGGGGTGAGACTGACTTTCCGGTTAGACATTTACTGTTTACGCACATGGAGTAATAACCCATTTGTTCCTGGTTGAGCACTTTTCTAGTCATTGTCTGGCTATAGAAAGCTAAAACTTACCACAAAGCTGTTTTCGGGTCTTACACTTGGGGGCTTTTCATCCAGATACAAACTATTAGCTTGCTTGTTAAAGAGATTACTTAGTTTTGATTCTAGAAGCCCTGATCACCCCACCCCCTCCCCCCTCCCAAGGAAGAAGTGTAAAATTTCATTTTCTTGTCAAGGTAATTGCCAAAGTAGATTTTGGCAAAAGTAGTTAAATGATTTTTGTTTTATAAACCTTTTTCTTTTGCTAAAATTTCACCAGGTCAGAGTTGCAATCCACAGCTGTGGTATAAACTTTGCCGATATACTCATGTGTCTGGGAAAATACCAGGAGAAACCACCACTACCATTCATTCCAGGTGATAAGCTGACGTCTCTTGTATTTTTTGAGTTGAGCTTCTTCGGAGGAAACTGAACGTCAGTGACCTTCATCTCCCTACCAGGATTCTCTGACATGTATGTCTTGTTAGATGGGATGTGGAGGAGAGAACATCTGTCCGGGGTTCAGGCCTCGCCTGTGTGGTTGTTTCCTTAGACAAAATACTCCTAGGTATGCTTCATACTAAGGAAACCCGGATAAGCTTCGGCCATTTGGGCCTTTGGCTCATGAGTGCCTTTACCTTTTTACCTGGGTATAGGGTGCAGGTTGTGGGTTTGCCTTGGAGATAGCCTGCAAGCAAGCTCTCTGGGGTGCTCTGGTGGTGGGGTGGGAAAAGGAAGGAGAGCTTCCATGCAACTAGGTCTCTGGAATTTGAATTTCACCTCCAATTCCCCTGTGGCTCCCTGTTGACTGAGCTGTCAATTTTCCGCCAATCCTCGTGAAGCAGAAATGAGCACAACACTGCTCTACAATTGTTTCTTGAAACCTCCATTCACAATACAATTTTTTACCCCTTTTTATCTTGGCTGAATTGTATTTTTTGGTTTAGCAATAATCTTTTCAGTTCCATCCACATATCATTTTCCCTTTAGTGATCATTTTATTAATTCTCATAACTTTTCCTCTCGATTGTGTATTGATATTGTTCGGAGAAAATTGATGTTGATCACTCTTGGGACCTGAAAGGTTGAATAACACAGCTTGCTTTTTATGGTACAGGTTCCGAAATTGCTGGTGAGGTGATTGAAACTGGAGATAAAGTAAAAATGCTTTCGAAGGTAATTGCTTTTTGACTTCTTATGAAAAGACCTGCAGACAGATGGACAGACAAACTTTTAGTTGCTAGACCTTAAAAAAAGAGATAAAGAAAGAGGTTGGCAGAATGGAGATAGGAAAGAAATACTCTTTACCCCTCACCCCTGCCCATCAGCTTGCATATTCTCCATGCACCTATTCTCTATACATTTCCCTTGGCAATGATGAGGAGAGCTTGTTTGGCAAGCATACTTGGTGATCATTTTTTTGCTGGGCTGCTATTCTCATAACTGTTTGTTAGATTTACCAGTGATGTTCTAAGGAGAAATAAAAGTGATGGGGTTGCACATCGGAAACTTAAAGGGAGACCAATGTGGGTGTGGCTCAAGCTTTAACTGACCCCTAAAGAGGACCATGCTAAAACAGACATCTAAATAAGAGTTAGCGATCTAACTAATATGGCAATGATGTCGTGATCTTTTTTAAAAGTTAGATTTCTGTGAAGTCAGTGTCATGGCATTTTTTGTAAATTTCTTTTTGCACAACCCTTATAAGCGATACCTGAATGGGCAAATATAATGACTTTCCATCCCAAAGACCCTAAGTGAGACCAAAATCTGCAATTTACACCGCTGAGTGAGACAACGAGCATCCCTGTCACTTTTATATGGGAGTCCCCACCCCTGGGCAAATAAGTTACTGTCCTTTCTTAGAGGTTAAAGGGTTAAGTGTACCCCTTCTCCTTGAGCTTGAAATTGCTTCTGCTAGATCTTCATACTCCCCCTCTGCTCCTTATCCCTTCAGTCATGTAGATGTCATAATTCTGTTACATAGTTTTGGGAGAATTCTCATGATTTTTCTCCTTTAAGTAGAAAAAATACTGGTATTTGATGAATTTCAACGTTGTGGAACTGTATATCATAACCATTCCCTCTATTAAAATGTTTTTTATTTTACTTGTCCTTTTTTCTATCTTACTACTGTGTTTGATTATATATAATTATTTATTGAATATATATATTTTTTTCAGGGTGACAGAGTGCTTGGAGTAACATTACTTGGTGGGTTTGCTGAGGAGTGTGTTGTCGAGCAAAGTGTAAGAAATCTTCCTTTATGACTTTTGTAACAGTTCATAACATTACTGTAGTGCATGTTATAAATTAGCTTGATTCTCAAATGCTCCAGGTCACCCACAGCCATGTACTGTCTCCCAGGCTAGTAACAATTAAGTTTTATTGTTTTTGCAAGTCGTTAATCAGTTGTAGCCAGGAGGATTCATTAAATTGTATATTCCAAATGTTTATATGTGGAGGCTCCGCCCCAAGGTCCAACCCTACCCATTAATATACCATTTTTCACAAAAAAGGAACCCCTTTTGTATACCTTCTATTGACAAATGGTGCCCCTTTCACATACCTTGTTTAGATCTTTGTATCCCTTTTAACTGCTGTAAATGCACTGTCTTTTAAATAGGAATCAATCACAAAAATAGAACATTTTCTTGACTTAAAAAGTCATAAAATTCATCTGTTAGCCCTTTAGGGCCCTTTCACAGACTCAAATGACAGGTTTCCCTATACTAGCCTTTTATGTACTTCAACCAGTGAAATTCCTACCCTTTCATATACCTGAAGCCTGAAAAAGGTACCCCTTTCTGGCACAGACTCCCCGTATAGGCCATTATAGGGACTCTTAGACCATGTTATGGAGAGGCACTTGGTCATTCTATGGATGCAGTCCAATATGGTGTTACCATTCAAATAAAACCTCTGTGGCAAAACTTTTGCATGGTACAGTTGAATCTCAACTCACAGCCACCTGTCCTCAACAACCACCTCTCTGCAACATCCACTTTTTTGTCCTGGGAGACAGCCCATACATTGGCTATTTTTATCAAACATCTCTACAACAACCACCTCTCTACAACAGTGACGGCAACTAAAAAGTGTGTCCCCAACTGCCAAAACAACTTCTCGACAATAGCCATTTTTTTTCAGTGACTGACCAAACAGTCAAGAGTGGTCATAAAAATTTGATCTGCATGGCACATCAATGTTTTATCCCAGCAACTCTTTCACTGTAAATACAGTATTTTTTTATTAGTAAGAAAATTCTTTGGAACATTCTTAGATTACCATGATTACATTATTTAAGTTTTCAGGGTGCAAAGAAAGTCAGTTTCACAGCTTGCCATTCGGGCAAGCAGTACCTAGCATGTACTAGCCTGAAAAAAAATTGATGAGCAGGGTTGATTGCAATTCTTCTGTAATTTGAATTCCCCCCAAAAAACCACTTGCGGATCAGGTAAGTTAAGAACAGAACTCACTAGCTTGATAGCAAAATCCACTGGCCCCAGGCTATCGGACACCACTTTCTTTGCACGCTGGTTTTGTGTATTTTATCTATATATATTTATTTATGGTTGGCTACAGTAAGCCTGAACTTGGAACAATAAACATGTTGTACTTCCCCCCTCCCCTCCTTAAACAGGTGTCATATTACACCCCTACCTCCCCATTAAGGCCACTTTCCATTGAGGCCGGTCATCCAGTCCCTGAGATAAGGGGGGGGGGGTCTCCAAAAAAATATTTTCCGCCCTTTGGGCCTCATTTTGGTCGGAAAATAAGGGGGGGGGGCAGGCCCCCTGGCCCCTCCCTAGATCCACCACTGCTTTCTTCTGTCCCCCAAGGTGGCCATTGTGGAGAGGTTCAACTGTACTATTTATTTCGTAGGATGTTACAAAGAAAAATTCGGAAATTTTTTTGTGAAGTTTTATTTGTCCATTAGTAGGAGTGATAAAGTTAACTTAAGGTGAGTGTTTCAAATGTGATGGTTTACAGGGACTATGGAGGATTCCATCCAGTGTGGGATTTCAACAAGCTGCGGCTCTTGCTGTGTCATATGGGACAGCTTATGTTGGACTTACAAATAAGGCCAACACACAGCCTGGGTAAGTATATAATACTACCTTGAATACATGTGAGTTTTTATATCAACAAAATAACATCCATGGATGCAGTGTGAATAATAGTAGTAGTCATTCTACATCTCATCCCTAGTATTCCATGAGTTTGGTTTTCACTTAAGATGCACAATATGCCCTTGACTGATTGCAAACAAATTTTTATTTTTGTCTGACCAAAAATGGTGACTTAGCCATGCTATAGTCCATCCATCTCACTCGATCCCCCTGCTTTGCTCCTTTGTAATTAGCCCCCACCCCACTCCCACTGCTGTACCCCTACTTCTTTTGCTATGCCCCTATGCATGTATTAAGCCTGCCCACCCCTCTCCCCCTGCTACTTCCCCATGTATTTAGCCCACCTACCCTGCTTCCCTGCCATGTCCTTATCTGTTTAACCCACCTACCCCACTCCTCCAGCTACATATACATGCCCTTATGTGTTTAACCAACCCACCCCACCCCTCCTGCTACATAATGTACAGAATGTCCTTATCTATTGAACCCACCCACCCCACTCCTCCTGCTACATCCCTATGTGTTTAGCCCACCCACCCTGTCCCCCTGCCATGTCCTTATGTGTTTAACCTACACACCCCACCTGGCCTCCAACTACATAATGTATGTCCTTATGTATTTAACCACCCACCCCACCCCTCCTGCTACATATAAATGTCCTTATGTGTTTAACCCACCCATCCCACTCCTCCTGCTACATATAAATGTCCTTATGTGTTCAACCTACACACCCCACCCCTCCTATTACATAATGTATGTCCTTAATATCTATTTAACCCACCTAGGCCTCTTATCCTGCTATGTCCTTTTATTTGTCTAATTCATAGCCAGACTGTGTTAGTGACAGCTGCTGCTGGTGCTCTTGGTTTGGCCACAGTTGATATTGCTGCCAATACACTACAGGCAAAGGTGTGTAGTTTCTAAATGAATTAATGTCTCATTAGCTAATGATTTCAGCAACTATAATTTTATTATTCAAGAAGACAAAAGATGTAGGATTAGTATGAACACTTGATTGTTCAGTTTAGGTAAAAGACAAGTTTTAGTGTTGGAATCTCGGAGAATCTCAGTGGCTGGGTTAAAATCCCAGTGTTGACACCATGTGTAGGTTGAGTTTGTTGTTAGTTTTCTCCCTTGCTCCAAGATGTTTTTCTCTGGGTACTGGGGTTTTCCCCTCTTCTCCAAAACCAACATTTCCAAAGTCCAATTCAACCAGGAAGGGTAGACAAAGAACCACATTATGTGGATGTCCAACCCCTAAATCGTATTTATTTATATTTGTTTTCAATCTGTGCCTTCTTTAGTTGTGAATCAGTGATTGTAAGTTAACTCAAGAAACGTGGTGGATCCCAGGGGGGTGAGTGGTAGTCCCCATAATGGCCTATATAGGGAGGCCCCGCCCGAAACGGGTACCTTTTTCAGGCTTCAGGGAAATGAAAGGGGAGGGATTTTACTCGTTGAAGTATGTGGAAAGGTAGGGGAATCTGTCATTTGGATCTGTGGAAGGGCCCAAAGGGCCGGGCAGATGAGTTTTATGGCTTTATAGTGGGGGAAACGTTCTATTTTTGTGATTGATTCCTATTTAAACGACAAAGCATTTAGAGCAGTTAAAAGTGATGCAATTTCTAAACAAGGTATGTGAAAAGGGTAACATTTGTCAATAGACGGTATATGAAAGGGGTACCTTTTTCGGCAAAAAATGGTATATAAAAGGGTAAGGGGTTGGACCTCGGGGCAGAGCCTCCCTGTATAAAAAGTTGTTGAGTACCCCCCTCCCCCCTCCGTCTGGGCTTTGACCTTATTTGTTTATAGGCCAATCTGAGGCCCACACAGCCACAAAAAATTATTTTTTAGTTTGGGCCACTTTCTTGTCTTTTGGTTCTGAAGAGTCGGCCCCTTAGTTACTCGATGGTCAACACTCAAAGAAGGGCTGTTTGAATAACTTACAAAATTGTTGAGAATTGAAAAAGGTAACCAAAATAATGAAAGTGGTATTAAAACCAAACTTTTATTCCTTTAGAGGAGGTAATTCTAGGATTGATAACAACAATTTGGTATAGCTTTTGTTAACTCCCATCATTGTGATATTTTTTTTGCCTTTTCCCTGTTTAATTTTTCTAAAGGTTATTGGAGCAGCAAGTAAGGAGAAGCTTGATGTTGTAAAATCATTGGGGGCTTCAGCTGTGATTGACTACAATACTGAGAGTGTAAAAGAAAAGGTAAATATGTTTTTACAGTGAACAGTTGTATAGCAAAGAGTTTGCCAAACGTACGACATTTAGCATAAAATGCATCTGTTGCGTGTGAGCTCTTGAGACTGAAATACTGAGCTATTTTTGCAACAGGGAGTTGACTTTAAACAGTGTAATAATTATGTATTAATTATTAGTTATTAGTTTTTCAAATTCCACCTTAACCTTTGTCCTTCACATCGTCACTGTGTATGGACTAGGTAAGTCTGGTTAATGTATTTCAGGGCTGTGCTCTAGCAGAGCCCGGTGGCCCCTGGCGCCAAACTTTTGCCCTCGGGCGACTAGAAAATCACAGATTTTTCATACAACTCATATGCTGGGCACCCTAGATTTTACAGTTTCAGAGCACTGGGCTCCCTTCAATTTTCCTTAGAGTGCAGCCTTGTATTTATTTATTTGACTTTAAAATTCATTAATATTATTGTATGTCAGGTTACCATTAGGGATTGTTACATGCACTAAATACTCGTCCAACAGGTTTTTTCAAAATAGCTTTATACACTTTAGGCCTACCCTAAAATGTGTGTTGCAGTTACTTGCAGATGGTCAAGATCTGGCTTTGTTTAGAATATTCTATTGTTTTATAATTAAGAATTTAATTAGTCAATTTATTTATTTCAGTAATATATTACGTCACACACAAAAAAAGAAAGAAAGAAAGAAAAACAAATGCATAATGTATAGTGCAAAAAAAGGAATTAATACATCATCAATCATGTTTTATAATTAAGTAACAAAATATTTCCTCATTTGACTGAATGCCAGGTTAAAGAATTCACTGAAGGAAAAGGAGCTGATGTGATAATGGAAGCTGTCGGAGGAAAGGTCTTTACTGAATGTTTAAAAAGGTAAATCAACTTACCTTCACTAGCCTGATTCAAGAAATAATGAAAACATAATGTTCGAAATAATCTCAAATAACTTTAAGAGCAAACGTCATGTCAAGTTACTTTTAATAACACATCAGCAAGATGACCCACTTCAATTCCATCTAACTCTAAACAGTAATTTGTTATAGTTAAAGGCAGGTTTATTTTTTTGAAATTTCTGATAGTTAAATTATCTATTTTTGATCCAGTATTGCTTGGGGTGGAGTTATTTTACCAGTTGGTTTTGCCTCAGGGGAGATACCACAGGTATGAAATAACACAAAGCTAGCAGAACTCATTAAATGTTGGTTACCTTACACAGAATTATATGAAAATATGTCTCCTCTCCCTTAACAGACACTGCTATAAGACAAACACCTAGCTAAAAAGAACACCTAGAGTTGATCCCTGTCTTTTTTTGTTGATTCTCGGTGAGATAACATCTCTCAGAGGGATGACTCTAAGACAAATACTAGTTAAGATAGTTTTTTCAGTTTTCTACGGAACCCAGATATATGAAGAGTACCCTGGCCTAGTGAAAACCCCTCCTTAGAGTCCCAAAAGTGACCAACATCACGTCTTTCCCCCAACAGTATCTAATGAGGTCATAAATCCATAGAGATGGTAATTAAAGGAAGGAAGTTAACCACTAAGGGCTGGGAAAATGCTTTGATTTTTTTTACAAATTCTCTCAGCTAATTCTTTAAGGAAATGTATAGAGATCGGTCTGGAGAATTTGTATGAAGATGTTGTAGTTAATTTTTTATCCTAGGTAATTTTTTTCTTTTGGTTTTGGCTATGGTAATGTTTGCTAATGAAGTTGAAACAAAAGAAAAATAAAAATTACCTGAGATAAAAAATTAGCTACAACAGAGATATTATGATATGGAAGAAACGTTCACCCCATTTAATATTTATGCATGTGATAGTGCAATGTAACAAACCAGTTATCAGTCATTCAAAAGCAGTTCAGTAACTGTTTTTTATATCTATCATTTTCTATATCCAGATTCCAGCAAATATTCTGTTGGTAAAAAACTGCTCAGCTGGTAAGATTATATGGTCCTTTTTCTCTCTTCCAGATAGATAGGTTTGATTTTTTTACGCTGACCAAGTTTGTATCCTGACTTATTAATTTGTTTTTCTTTTTTATCTATTCACAGCTGGTTTATTTTGGGTGAGTTTTACAACAGTACAAAATAATATAATACACTAGTCATTTTTCAGCATTTTCCTAACTAACATTTATTTAGCAGGAAGTTCTTCTCATAGAAAAAGATTACTGGTAACTGAGTTTTGCAACTTTTTAAAACAATGAAAAATTTCTACAAAACTTTTAGATGGGAACATTTTTCAACAACTGTTACAATCACATGGTTTTCATCGTTTTTTCATCCTTTTTTCATTACAGTGTTTAATCTCGGTAAATGATTTTGACTGTCTGTACAAGTTGAAGGATTATTTTACTTTTGATTATATTGCTGCGAGTGGTTTATAGCAGAACCTTTATATTCATCCTTTTTTGCAGGAACAATATTTTTGTCAGTAATTCAATATTTTTCAGTATTATTTCATGATTGATCCTTAACTGGCTTTTCAAAGAATGGCTTGTGACTATTGATTTGATTCTACCAGGGTTCGCACAAGAAGCACAATCCAAAGTTATTAAAGGAATCAGTGGATAAATCTCTTGAAATGCTGCAACATGGCAAGCTGAGAGGACCTCACATTTCTGGACAGTTTGAATTAGATCAGGTATCTTGGAATTAATGTTTCTCCTGAATGGGATTGCAAAACGCCTCAGTCTTTAGATGAATGGAACTCTTAACTATCATTTCAAAATAATATGTTATTGTTCCAGAACAAAAGTTAAGGGCCCTCATATCTTAGAAAGCTTTTTTAGCATCCTGGCCTTGGCACTGATCATTATCCAACGGTTTAGGACCTTGATTCTAGTTTAATTTTTAATGTCTGTGCAAATAAATGTGACCAATGGACATGCCACTATCAAATGGCAAAGACACTGCCTGCTCAGGTAGGAATGATTTTGCTTAAAAGATAGCAAAGTGCTAAACAGGTTACTTATTTGTATGGCCATAACGTGAATTAAACTGCAATCAATGTGATGAGTGTCAGCTTGTCCTTTAATTAATTATTTCGATCATTTGAGACAAAATTGAACTAACAAACATGCAGTCATACACTTTTCAAAAAGAGAAAGAGACAAAATTGAACCACAACATACATACAATCATGACGTGTTTTATTCTTTTTATTTTCGTTTAGCAATGAGAAAAGCAAAACGAAAATTGAACCTGATCTCAGGTTAAACAAAACTTTGCATCTTATGCAGGCAAAGTTAACAATAAATTATGATCTCTAGCATGAATACTTCTCATCATAAAAGAGCACAAACAGTTATTATTCTTTTCTCTTTGTTTCAGGCCAATGAAGCTTTTAAGTTTGTAATGCAGAGAAAGTCAACTGGAAAAGTTGTGATAAATACAAGATAGACATTGCATAAAGTACGCAGTAGTGGTATTTTTGTTTGCCTTGATAAGAATGCCTCACGCATATATTATTGTGGTTCAATTTTATCCTTGGTATAATTTTATTTCCCTTTGTTTTAGACTCAGCATACATTACCATACCCCAAAACAAAGAGAAAAAAAGTTAAACCAAGGATTTCAGTAAAACTGAACCACAACATATGTGTCAGGCACATTTAGGCTATGTTCATATTACATCTGTTAAATTTTCAACCATGTTGAAAATTTGTGCATTTCAGTTATGTAGGTGTTCTGTTTATATGGAACCACCTTCATCGTACAAACACTTAGGCACCAAGCTGTTCAAAGTTCTGTGTGAACAGAGGAAACAATGGAACGGTTCCATGTAAACAAAGTATCCGGTCAAATTTTCAGCAGGTCAAAAAACTGTTCAGTGCCATGTGAACATAACCTTGATGTCAGTCTCAGTAAGAGATTCGAAAGCACTTTCAAAAGTGTGCATAAGTATAGCTATATCTAAGTCAAGTAAGAGGTGTAAAAATAGAACACCAAACATTTGAAATATAATTTCAGTTTTTTATAAGGTTTAATATTGCTGCAAAGTATATTTAATTAGCACCATGATCATTGTAAAATTAACACTTAAATTAGTAACAAGATGAATAATTTTTTTCCTGACCCTTCTGCTTTCAGATCGAGTGAACGATCCAAGCTAGTTTGGTTGCTATAACTTTTGAGACTGTGGATGAAATCCAAAGTGTGACCATTCAAATGAAAGCTACTGAGCAGTACTTTCCTGTGGTACTGTTTATTATGCTGTACAAGGTGATTCTAACTTTTGAGTCTGTGGATAAAATCCAGCAGTGTGACCATTCAAATGAAACCTCTTTGCCAGTATTTTCACTTGGCATTTTTTTTTCTCACCATAAAGATTTTGTTACATTTTCAACGTTATTCACTTCTGGGAGTAAAAGGGGAAATGGCAACAAGAGAGAACCGGTATCAACTATCCTTCTTAGAGAGGTATCTACCTGACAGATGGATAGTTAAAAGCTAATAAAATGATTAAAGAACAGTAGGGACCAACTTTGTGCATCAGTTTTAGCAAGGTTTGCATCTTCAAGGATGAGAGAGTTGGCTGTATCGTTGACTGGTTTTATAAAATTATAAACTATGATTTGATTCACGATTTTAGCCTCTCATTTGCTCGGCACTGTCCTTTGGGCAAATCTTTGTCTAGCATTTATCATACAAGTTTTTCTTTAGTCTAGCCACAGAGCAACATGTTAATCTCTCTGCAACAATGTAAAATTAATGAGTGGTTGGTTCATTGCAACCTCTGCATGCTTATCAGAATTTTGCATTCTTATGTAGAGTTAAAAATTGCTTTACAATAATATTTAATGGGCTCGTTCTACTCTGCAGTGTGCTGTTAATGTCAAATCAGTTCAACACTTATGGGGCCTGCAGGCCCTTAATTCCTGTCAACAATGAAGGGTCTCGTTGATGGACTTTGATAAAGGCCGCTGAAAAAGGAGCCTTTCGCTCTATGAGGCTCTGTTAGGGTTAAATTTCGACAAGTGGCATGGCCTTGAAACGGCTACATAAGACAGATGAATTGGTGACAAATGATATGAAGTTGGTTCAAAACTGCGACGGCGACGAGGAAAATCACAAATACAATAGTAAAATATCGACAGTGACATTGCCTCCTCTTCAATACACAAAACGACCGCTTTTGAAATTCAGACGAGAGACATACGTAACCCCCTCCCCCCCTGAAGATGGGCTTCTTGATTGTAAATAACTAGGTTTGACGTACTATAGATTCAATTTTCTTCAACCAAAAGCAAAAAAATTGTCAAAATAAGACTGTGAACTGTAAACTACATTAATTTTATTGTAAATTACATTCTAGCCTAAACACAAATAAAAAATTAATTTCAAAATGATTAATTATATATTAATTATTATTATATTATATTATATTCAATGACCTTATGAAATAAGCAACTTATGCATGTACAAGAGGGCATGGACAAAACTTCTGTAGATCAGAAAAAAATACACATTTTATGTACATCCGCTTTCAAATAAACAGTTATCTGTTCTGCTGCCTATAAATTGAATTAATGAATGTAAAGTTAAGTCTTCAACATGACTTCCCAAAACTTGTCACACTGTTCTGTTGCCTTTGAAATAACCAAAGATGCGACCGTTACTTTTCAACTCTCCCAAACAAGTCTTTCAATAGGAGTAAAACAGGCTCCTGTGCAACCTTGCTCCAGTTTTTGTCATTAATAACTTGGCGCACATGTTATCCACCTTGCACTCTAGACAGGCATATTTCAAATCTTGTCTTGTAATCAGGTTTAAATGCAAACAGCACCAATCCAATTGACAATAAAACACCTTAATTCACTACCACGTTGTAAATACATTATTGAAACTGTGGCTGATAGTCAAATTCCGATCCTTGTGTTGGTTGTGGCGTTGGGTTGAATGGTTTGGGTGGTAGCTGGGAGGGGTCGGGTGGTTGTGGCATTACTGAAAGAAAAAACAAAAACACACTCAAAACATTTTACTCCTAAATTAAAAAGTCACACCTCAATTCAAGGATTTTTTCAAGTTTCTTAATTACCAGTAATCTTTAAATAATGAGGGTTGAGGGGAGGTAAAGGAGCCAAAATGATTGTGTCCTAATTTAAAATTGTTTCTTGGTGTCAACTGTAGAAACTATGGTTTGTTAACCATTGCCTTGTAGTGTTGGCCCCAGTTGTTCAAAAGATGGATAAAACTATCCACTGCCGGAGGATAACAAAATTGGTTTCCTTAACACTTGTGCACTAAATTGTGATTTATCTGGTGGGTAGGGCAATCCAACTTTCGAACAACTGGGGCCAGGAATTGACAAAATCAAGGATTCATGTCAAACAAAATTAATAATGTTTCCCAAACAGTATGTCAAATGTTACAAACAACCAAACTGAACTTTGATAAATCGTTGCGCTTATAACTTTTCCACGACAACAATTGCAATCCATTTAAATCTTCTTTACCTTTGTCCAACCATGTCTCCTTTTGTACTTGCTGTGTTACTTGTACCTTCTTTTTATATTTTGAGCAGTTTGTTTTATGTTTCACTCAATTTTGGTGGCAGATCCCACTGTTATAATTATTTTAATAAAATTCCGGGACACTGCAGTTCAATCAATGATAGCACTGACAACACTAACAAAAGACGAAGACGAACCTGGTTTAAACTGTTCTGCAGTCATTCTTGTGATACAGATACCAATTCCTTCAATTAACGCCAGCAAGATGGCTCCAACTGCTGCTGACCTGACAGCCGCTGAAGGTCCCCCTAAAAACAATCAGTCAACAAGATAGGCAGGTAATTTCTCAGGGGCTGTTTAAATACATGGAGGAGGTAGGAAGATCCTAGCACCAAGACAATCCTAGAAGGTGGATCATTTCTGAACAACTGAAGCCAGATAAATAACTATCCAGTGAATTGGATAGTATTAGAGAAACCAACCAGGGCATGGAGATTAGGGTTGCACGTTCCTTATGTCACTTGGATTTAAACAAAGAAGCTTTTATTCCCTTTTTCTTGCTTGGTTATTTTGCTATTATGTCCTACCAGTGTTTTGTACATGACCTTTCTCCTGAGCTTCACAAGGTTTAGTAAGACATGCATTTCTAGAACCCTCTAACTCTGTTAAGTTATGGTTATTACCTCTCGCAGCCAGTACAGCTCCTGTGATTGCACCACTTCCTATCGAGTTCCAAGGATCTTCTTTTCCTCTTATTCCCATCAAACAGCAGTCAAACGTAGAAAATAGCCCTCCCCATACAGCAAAATTACCTGTAATAAACAACAAGCACTAAGAATTAGAATGTTGTTCTTAATATTAGTAATGGTAACAGGACTGAGTGGAGTCCAGTTCAGTCTGTAATCATACGAGTGATTAACGAAATCAGACGACCGCGTAGCGGGAGTCCCATTTGTTTAGTCACAAGTATGATTACAGACTGAATTGGACGACACGAAGTTCTGTTACCAATTAATCATAACTTTAACAAAATTTGTGATATATAAGGCCCTTTTTTGAAATCAAAAAAGGGAAAATTCCAATTTTTTTTGCTAGTAGTGAAAAATAGCCATTTAAGCGCGCGTGTGATGGAGCGTACTGTCCAATTACTTAGGCATGACGCGTACTATCCTATTAAATTGTCCAATTAAGGCTGAAATCAGGGCAGTTGATAGCCAATCAGATTTGAGAATTTTGTTATAGTTATGATTAGATGGTTAATTGTGCAACTATAATTATTATAGGAGAATTATTATTATTATAGGCAAATTACTCATGTTTTAGGCTTCTTACATGAACAGTTACTTTATTTATATACTTGCAGGAGTGACAATTATTTTTTATAGTCCACCTGCTTTGAATTAAACGCATGGACATGTTGACTAACCTCCAAGCACAGGAGCTCTAGTTTTAACTGCCGCTATACTGCCAAATAGTCTGGAACCCTATAGACAAAGGTATGATCGATCAGAAACCTGCCTGTTCTTGCAGTTGATGCTCTAACCAAAAATTAACAATAACTGCATAAGGCTAAGTATGATCTGAAGAATTATGGAGATCAAGGAAGGTGTTTTCCACTGAGGCCAAAGGTGGTGGAGGATGACACACTCTGAGAAAAGTTCTGCCATTTTGTTTGCTCTACCAAAACAGTGCAACCTCCTTTCCAGGGCTTCTTGGTTGCAGTCTCTTTTGCTTGTGATGATTCTGTACTATTAGAGTCATTATATGGACATTGCACACTTCTTCTGAATTTGCTCAACGCTAGCTAGCTGGTTGTAAATTGTAAATTGTAAATATCTTATTATCCACTCCCCTCAGGGCTTTTCAGGGATAATTTACAACACTGGTTGGGGGACTTTGCCAGACTGCTTAGGTGCAGTTTACAAGTTAGTAATGAAGGAATGAGTAATGATGCCCCCATACAAGAGACCCTGCTGGGGGGATCTCATGTCGCCCTTCTGAATTTTAAAACGTCTTGTGTTGGTGATTTTAAATGCTTGTCGCTTATTGTCGGCTTTGCCTTCACTGTCACAATTTGGCTGAGGGAGGTTGTCTCTTGTCGCGATTTCATTTTACGCACTGTCGCTACTTTTTGGGCCATGTCACTTGTCCAAATTTACCCTGGCAGGGCCTCATACATGAGTGTGAAAGTGAGATAGACCACTACGTACACTGGGCACTATGTGCCCTACTCTTTAAAAAGAGTGTGTGGGTTCTTTAACGTCCCACAGATTTATTACATGTGCAAGGGCTTGTGAGACGAGGCCTATGGTTTATCGTCCTTATCCAAGAAGACTAGAAAGTCTAACTGTTTGCAGATGTTATTACAAAGGCAGCACTTTCTCCTCAGTTATTAAAAGACTCCGAGTGTTGGTCTGGCCGGGTTTCGAACCTACGGCCTCCCACTTAGCAGACCGGCCCTTATCCCATTGAGCTAACCAGGCGGCGGTTGAGGTTATTAAGAAATAACGTGGGACTTAAGCCAATTAGGAATGAAGAAAAATTTTCAGTGACTAATAATATTAATTAATAAAATAGAGCATAAATAAGCAAATGGCCTACAGAATGTACAGCCGCTTTGGTCTTGTCAGGACATTCAGAGGAACAAGGCATGAAGGTGCTTTTGTGATTAAGGGAATGAAAATCCATCAATGGTAATTAAGAACTAAGCCCCTAAATGCACAGGGTAGCCACATCCATTCCCCCAGTTTGTATTATATTTTTGAGGGGAACAGTATATTCGCCAGATGCAGATGAAGATGTGATGTCATGATATTCATTATTACGCTAATAACAATAATATTTCAAATTCGTTTTCAATCATCGTGTGCAGTGAGCTTAATTACATAAGCACTGAAAACTGTTTTGAAATTCACGCCAGAAATAAACTAACAGTAGCCTTACTTTTGGCGAATTTCTCCATCCTTTCATGAAGGAAAAGATTCCTCCACCGATCGCTCCCATCGCGAAAGCACCGCCGCAGTCATCGACAATTCTGTAAGGGCTGTAAAAATTCGAAAGAAAAGTTTTTTCACTACAGCTTTCAAAAATCACAAATATCACAGCAATACAACGTGCGATTAGCAAAAGGAATGTATTTTGAAAGAAGATGGATATTACAGTTTATAAATATTCGCACTGTAGAAAATTACAGTACATTTTACCATCTAAAATATAAGCTTAAAATATTACCAAGGTTCTCTCGCGTACTCCTCCATCTTGCTTCACGCACGTTTTTTTCAGCGGTCGTGACGCAATAGTTGCAAGTATGTTTTATCGCGATATTTGATTGGTTTACACCAAAGACCAATGAAAATAATTGAAAGAAACGTAACAAAGACTGCACAGCATGCTGGACAAACAGTTTTTAGCCAATAGGAAAATGAGATATTTCCCGCCAACTCTATGTTTCCAAAATGGCGGCTCTTTGGCGTTGGATTTTGGTGAAATCTTGATGTTCTTCCCATTGATTTTTGTAGTTTGAAGCGAAAATGTTGCCTTTCGTGAATTCGAAAAGTTCATTAGCTAAGTTAGCAGAATGGAGTCCGTCGGATTGGCCAGAGTCCTTGCCAGAAATGAGGGTAATTCTTGAAATACCTTCACTCCTATAACACCAACGTTTGCAACATTCAAGCTTTTATTTTTCTGTTTATACGATATTTAATCTCATTCTTTAGACGATCGACAATCTACTTAGATGTTCTATTTGCTACGAATTCTTTGATGTTGCGTTGATGATTCCCGATTGCTCCCACAACTGTAAGTTAAATTATTTAAAGACCATTGATTCAATTTTTTTCTTTTTTGTTTAAGTTTTTTTTTTCGAGAAGTACAGGGCTAGTATTCTTCCTGGGTGTTTCGTTGGGTAAATCCCTGAGGAATTTTCCGTGTCTTTTATAAGTCTCTGGCCAAACAGTGGAGCTGTGCCACGTGATTATTTCCAGTGGATGTTTATATATTACACATACGATTTTTTACTACGATGGAATATTGTACTTCAGGCCCCGGTTGTTCAAACGTTCGATAGCGCTATACACTGGATAAAAATCTATCTAGTGGATAAAGTGGATAATGCAATTGGTTCCCCTAATGCTTATCCGCTGGATAGAGATTTATCTAGTGGATAGCGCTATCCAACTTTTGAACAGCCGGGGCCTGTTCTGTTGACGGAGTCATGTGATAGAAGATCAAAACTTGCATGATCAGATTACAAGTGATAGAGGGTGCAAAAGAATGTGATCAGATTCAGTTTAGTTCATTTTTATTTAGCCAAAATATAATACAATACAGGAATACATATACAAATTATTGTAAGTTGGCAAGGGAGCCCAGAAGAAACCAGAAGGCTTATGAAGCCTGGGCTCCCAAGTAACAAAGAAATAAGTAAAATGAAATTCACGGAGTGATACGTTGAAAAAAAAAATTGTGTTCTATGCATTCCATTCATTCTTAGTGGGAGTCCAAATGACGGCTTGCAATCAGGGATAAAATTTTTGAGACATGGTAACTTTGGAGAGCAAAACAGTATACACCTGTCCCGCCCATGCCCCCTCCATTCAAAGTTGCGGTGTTTGTTGTTTTCTACAAGTAGCTTGAACAGCTAGCTGCTCAACACAATTCCATGGAGGGGCCTGGGGGGGGGGGGCACTCCTGGGAATTCTTGGTGGGGTTGTGCAGCCCAGTTCTCCAAATCCTGACCCTATTTCAGACCAAAAGATGTAATTTCCCACACCCGTTTTCAGACCAGACCTCTAAAATCCATGCCCGTTTTCAGAACTGGCCTTTACGCAGAAATTATGTTATCATTACTTAGATTAGAGCGCAAACAATAAATTTCTTCAAATCCGTTTCAAATTCGCATACTTCTCTTTCTTTCTTACTCATTTGGAATTGAAACAATGAATACATTCATACACTCCCGTAGTTCCTTCAAAAACCATACCTGATTCCAGACAGGCAAAGTCTTTACCTGTTTTCAGACCGAAATGGCGCAAAAACCCTACCCGATGGTGCGGCACATACTTACATAGCTTATATAAGGGAGTGAGGGAAAGCTACATTTTCCCCTTGATAAAGTTGGCAAAATGTCATAGAGGGCCCTTAGGGTCTCAACTGATTTTGTTGCCAGTTGTGGTTATGTTTGTGCCAAGCATGCCTAATAGCAAGCTGGAGACTGAAATAAGTGCGGGCTCTTCTTGTTACCCGAAGTTAACATTACAACCTATTTTTCAGATTGTTCCCTGTGTATCAGAAGATCTCTGAGCTATGAACCACAGTGTCCAACATGTTCTCTTGTAAGTCATTGATTTTCTCTGTTGTAAATAGTTGGTTAACATAATGTGTCAAATACGTAATAATATATAAAAAATATATAATGATCTCGCCCAAGTATATCTACTTAACAGTGAATGTGCACATATACAAAGCCTCCATTTTTGTGAGAAAAATATGCCATTGCATAGGGTAAGTATGAGAGTTGCATGCTCTGGATTTTACCATCCTACTAAAGAGCAGTAGGGGCCAACTCTAGGTACGTGTCTTATAGAGTTGGCCATAAAGAGAGAGTTGACTACAATGAGGGACAGAAGTGTTAGCACACTTCCATAAAATGGCCCCTTTTTATAGTGGACATATCTATCCCCTCCCCCTGTGTATTCGCACTCCCTCTCCCCAAAATTAATGTTGTATTATGTTGTATTTTAGACCCTTAACAGGGGTGGATCCATACCTTCGGATAGGGGTGGGGGGGGCGGAGGGGGGGCTGGTCATCCAGACCCTGAGATAGAGGGAGGTCTCAAAAAAGATTTTTTTCAACCCTTCGGGCCTCAATTTGGTCTAAAGATAAGGGAGGTCCTGGGCCCCCTAGGGCCTCTCCCCTAGATCCACAGCTGCTTAAGTCTTTCTTTCACTACAAATAACATTGATTTGGGGGTGGAGTATTTACTGCGTTTAAACAGAATGAAATATTACATTCATGAAATTGTTGATAAAATTGGCATTTTAGACAAGTGAGTCACTACTTTTGTCCCTGATTGTAGGTGCATGTAGCTGATGGACATTTGTAGGGATAAATGTACAATAAGCCAAAAGAACATCTCCCCCGGTGGCTAGTCAAGTGATAATTTGCAATTTTTTTTTCTCTTTCAGAAATTGAATTCTCCAACTTTAAAAAATAACAGAGTATTAGATGAATTGGTGCAAAACTTCATAAAAGTCAGGTATATTTTGTTTTTCTGTTACGTATAATTAAAATTATAGCAGGTTTCAGGTAGGAATTTACTTTGATGTGCTTAATGTATTAATATTCCTGTAATTATGATCTGTTCCAGGACAAAACTGTTAGAATTAGTGACGGGTAGCAGTATAGAAAAATCTCCATCAGTGACTGCCGGCACAGTTGCCAAAGAAGGAGAAGAAGTGAATAAGAGAAGCAAACTAACAAGCTCAAAAAGGAGAAAGGTACATTTATCAGTATGTCAAGAATAAGAGTTTGAAATAGACTCTTCCACATTTTATTCAACTTTTGACATGGACCAATGAAATTAGATATACATGAAGCTCCACAGAGCTGCGAAAATTTATAGATATTTGTATGGTGGGGGACAAGTTTATGCTCCCCACCGGATAAATATCTGTAAAATCTCTTTCTCTAGTTTTTAACAAATCACTAATTTGAAGGCGTTCTTTTTAGTGGTGTTGATTTTTCCTACTTGTCTATGTCAAAAGTTGAAGAAAAACTGTTGAAAGGTCTTTTAAGACTGAGAAAAGGGTGGACTGAAAGGAAATAGAACAAACTTTCTTGGAGCTGGGAGAAAATAGGATGGGAAAAGAAAGAGAGGTAGAACATGCAGGGTGCAAAGAAAGTTTTACAGCTTGCCATTCGGGCCAGCTGTAGCTAGAGTGTACTAGCTCACAAGTCATTTTAACTAGCCCCAAAACCCTTTTTGACTAGGAGGATTGATTACAATCCTTAATTTGAATTTCCCCAAAGAACAGCACTTGCCCATTGGGCAAGTTAAGAGCGAAAATCACTAGCTCGATAGCAAAATCCACTAGCCCCGGGCTATCGGACACGACTTTCTTTGCATGCTGACATAGGAGGTAGGGGATGGGAAAAGATGGACTTTGGAAAGTGAAAGAAAAAGAAGTAGACACTGGGAAAAAGGGGATAAAAACTAAAAAAACAAAACAGTTGAAAAACTGGGAGAAAACAGATGGGAATTTGGTGGAAAGTGGTAAAAGCTTATGGAAAGGGATGAGAAATATGTGAATAGATGAGAGTGGAAGAAAAAAAGGAATGGAACTGGCAAAAGAAAAGGAGTTTTAAGGGGCTCCAAAGCAAGATTTCTTATTGAGTACTAGGAAAGAAGTGGTTAATTTGTCAATGAATGGAAATTTAAATTTTTTTTAATTATACATGGCAGGATCATGGAAGATCTCAAAGGAGCTCCAAGTCTTCAAGTCCGGATACAAAGAGACAAAAACTTGATGAGGGGAAAGAGAGCATCTCAAACTCAGAGGAAACTACTGAAAACAATCTGAGGACAACAGCAGAGTCTTGCAGTAAAACAAATACAGAAGTGATTGTCATCAATGCAGAGGAGAGTTGCCATCAACAAGCTGCTTCTGAGATGCAGCCAATGACTGTGGACGAAGATATGTTGGAAAAACAGACGCAACAGCAGCAGGCAGATTCTGATGTTGGTAAGTGGCCAACTATCTGTGGTCTTCAATGCAGTTTTTCCAGTGAAGAAGTTTGTAGGAAAAAGCCCTTAATGGCATGTGCTAAACTGCTAATTATTTCTCCTTCTGAATTGCCTCATATTTTCTTGTTAAACTTAAGGAGAATATTCCCAATATCCATATACAAATTCTCCAGACTAATCTGAATGATAAAAGATCAAGACAACCCCCTAATTAGCAAATCTTGATCCTTTTCTCTTGTTATGTATTGATATTGTTAGGAGTAAGTTGATGTTGTTCATGTGCATGTGCTAGCCCTCTTGGGACAAGTGTTAAACATAATGACAAGAGTCACTTCGATCTTTATTCCACATATCCCTCCTTTTATAACTGAGGGGGTGTTTACATGGGAAAACTCACACTGGTGCGAGTTTCATACTGCGATGAAATTTATATTTTGTATCGTGTTTACACTATCACTCGGTCATTTCATATCTCGTTATTTGAAGATACACTTTATATTGATAAATACACATGTGATTCAAAATTGCAAACATTATGCATGCACTACCAGTTCCAGTCTACCAGCAGACTGGTTTCACACTGAAATGAGCGGTCGTTTCACGTTTACATGATACTGGTGCAAGATTTCGTACCAGAGTGAAATTCTTACTCCAGTACAACAACGGGGGTGAACTCATGCTGGAGTGACTCACACGGGCATTAATGAAACCAACAATAATATTTATATCCATAACATTAGGTAATGAAAGAATATAATATTATGATATACTTTGTTGGTTGAACATATTTTTAGCTGAATGCCCAGTTTGTGGTGACATGGTTCCTCACAAAAGAATCAACACACATCTTGATACCTGCCTTACTAGAACAGAAAAGAAAAGTTCACTACGCAGGTTTGTACAATAATTTACTTTGTAAGATTCCTCTTTTAGGGGAGATTAACGCTCGCACAGTTTGCATAAAAAGTGGTGTTCAATATCCTGGGGCTTTTTTTTTCGTGATCGGAGAAGTCAATTCTATTCTTAACTTGCCTGACAAGCAAGATGAAATTTTGGGGGAATTCAAATTAAAAAACTACTGTAAGACAAATATTGTTAGAATTCCTTATTAATTCAGGCAGATCAAAACCTGTTTTTCAAGGTGAAGCTGATTTGACTAATAATTAGTAATGGTAGAAGGACTGAGTGGAGTCCAATTCGGTCTGTAATCATATGAGTGATTAACAAAATCGGACGACCGTGTAGCGGGAGTCTGATTTGTTTAATCACGAGTAGTTGTGATATAATAGGCTATTTTTTAAATCAAAACACAAGAAATTCGAAATTTTGTTTTGCTAGCAGTGAAAAAAAAAAGCCATTTAAGTGCGTGCATGATGGCGTGTACTGTCCAATTACTTAGGCATGACTCATACTGTCCTATTAAACTGTCCAGTTAAGGCTGAAATCAGGGCAGTTGATAGCCAATCAGATTTGATTTGAAGTGAAATAATATTATTACATTTATTATTACAATAAATTAATAAAGCAAGTAATCAATAGACTTATGGTTTAATTAACCAATAATGATATTGACCAGAAAATGACTCAACTAGCTTCAAAACACGGCTTATTTTCAGTGAAATTGTCAGGAGCAAATGGGTTAATAATATTAATTATTAACCCTGCTTGCATTGCGAGTCTTTTCAAAAAGCCACTGGCTCTCTGTGATTTGTTAAAATGTTTCTAACCTTGCATTATAAAATAATGATGAAAAACAGAAAGACATCCAAGGAACCCAAGACTATATGTAGTACATCAGCTAAAAGGAAACATGCTCCACGTGTGGAATCTAAGGATTATGAAGCTGTTTCAAGTGATGATGCATCATCAAGCTCTTTGGATCAACAACCTTGTTCATCAAAGTCCAGGGGTTCATCTAGTTTGGCAGTAAAAGGCTCAAATGCACTTATGTAAGTTTAGTCCCAAGTTTGCTTTCATTACAGACAGGATTTTGTATGTAGACTAAAAGTTAGTGCTACCTTGTACAGCAAAATAAACAGGAAAACACTGCTCAGTAGCTGTAGCTATATATAGCTTTCATTCAAATGGTCACTCTTTAGAATAATTTATTTGTCCACTGAGTCATTCATCAAGTTTGGCTGTAAAAGGCTCCAATGCACTTCCGTCAGTTTACTCCGAAATTTTACTAATACAGACATGACAAGACAGACAGACAGAATTTTGTCTATAGACTCAAAGTTAGAGCTACCTTGTACAGTAAAATAACAACACCCTAGGAAAATACTGCTCAGTGGCTTTCATTTTAATGGTCTCATTTTAGGATTTCATCCACAGACTCAAAAGTAATGTACAACATAATATTGAAAGAGTACCACAGGAAAGTATACTACTTGGTAGTTTTTGTTTAAATGGTCACACCTTAGAATTTTGCCCACAAACTCAAAAGTTAGAAACACCTTGTAAAGCATAATAAACTCTACCATAGGAAAGTACTGCTCAGTAGCTTTCATTTTAATGGTCGCACTTCAAGATTTCATCCACAGACTCCAACGTTAAAGCTACCCTGCACAGCATAATAAACATTATGTCACAGTAACAGTAACCCTTTTGGATTTCACATCAAAATTAAGAACCACCTAGCACATTTTTTTGAACTTGGAAGATACTAAGGATGGGCATTAACTTTTTTAACTTGCATTTACAGCCAGACAGTGCAAAAGAGGAAACCTCTTCCAAAGTTGGTGTACACTTTAATGCCAGAGAAGGAACTACGACAGAGATTGAAAGAGTGGAATTTATCAACAAAAGGAGATAAAGCAGTCAGTATAAACTTTTTTCCACATTATTACCTGTAGACTGTTTTCCTTTATAAGGTAAAGGTGCACAAGAGACAGAGGCCCACACGGCTGGAGCTTATACCAGTTTTCGTAGCATGAAGCATGCCTAGGAGTATTGCTACTCTCCCCTGAACGGGATGCTAGTCCATCGCAGGGTTACCCTCCCAGCAGCATGTCGCCGGTACCCATTTATAAACCTGAGTGAAGAGAGACGAAGTGGAGTAAGGTTCCTTGTCTAAGGAAACAACACAACAGGCGAGGCTTGAACCCTGGACCTCCAGATCTAGAGTTCAAGGTGTTACCCTCTCAGCCACACATCCCTCCTACTGTTTTTTTCCTCTATATTTCTTTAAAATTATTCTGCTCTAGGGCTCAGCTCCAGTAGCACCTGCCTGTCTCTGGAGACTTACTTTTTGCCTCTGAGTTATAAAGAAATGCGGGAAGTTTTAGTGGTCCTTTCTTTAGCCTGCAGGGCAGGCATATTCTATGGGCCAGCGAGTGCTCAATTATTTCTTGCGGTTTCCATCTTTGATTTTGAAAGCAGATGAAATTAATTTGGGGAGAGTAGAAAGTGGGTTTAGATAAGGTGTGAGATAAGGTGAAAGGCCAAGTTAGCCCCCTCCCCCCTTGCCATATCTCACAAATGCACCACATCATGGACAAATTCTACTTCTTGTCACACTACTCCCCATGGTTGTCAGAATGGTTTGAAGTAGATGGCTGAGTTGTCAAATAAGCGGCCAGTCCAGGGATATTTTGTTTAAAAAACGCCATCCATAAAGAAATGCCAAGCAGAGTAGCCCGCCAATACTAACCAAGTAGGTGGTAATTTTCGCCGGCAGCTGGTTACTTTTGACAACCCTGCCCCCACTCCCACCCAGGGTTTTCAATAGGATTTTAAGTAGGTGGCAAAAAGCTTTGGAGTAGGTGAGAAGTGAAAAAATCTTGCCGCAAAGGCACGAGTTTCTGGAAATTTGGGCCTCTTAGATTGGATTTCCAGCATTCTGGAGCAAACATTAGTGTTTGAACAGAACACAGACATCGTTAAATTTTGGCTTTTTTATTCAGCGACAGCACATGCATGCTCTATTTAAACTGGGGTAATTTCCAAAGAAAAGTAGGCGGCGAGTTCACATGAAAATAGTAGTCGGCAAAAATTGCCGGCCACTGGCCCTTATTGATAACCCTGCCCACCCCAAATAAAAAGGCTAAACTGTAGGCTAGGTTTATCTTTAAAAGCCTGAATTGTACTTTTTTAATTCCAGAGTCTTGTCAAAAGACATCACGATTTTGTGTTGCTTTATAATGCAGAATGTGATTCAATTAAGCCAAAGTCAGGTATGAATGATTGTTATGAACAATTTTTCTAAATAACTAAATAATGAGCATTGGACGAGGTTGAGCAGAATATCGTGATTTGTCAGTGGCGAGCAGATCAATTATTTCCCGAAGCCGAGGGGGAGTAATTGATCTGCGAGACACTGACAAATCACGATATTTTGCGATAACCGAGTTCAATAATTGTTTTATCATTCAATCACTGAGTTTGTTTTTTAAGGAATATCTTTGAGAAGCGAAGCGATCTGCCATTTTCATGCAAGAGCGATCGCAAGAAGGAGAAAGCATGGTTTCATTTACGCATGAGCAGAATAGTATTTGCAGCGAAAAACAGTTGAACGACATTGCGCATGAGCACACCATTATTTGTAGGCAGTTATTTGCAAGTCACGTGGTGGGCTCTCGGCCAGTGAAAAAGAAGAAACATTTGCATCGAATGATAATTTGAATTATTTTTAACTTTGTTTCATGGGCAACATAATTGAGTAAACAGTGATATTTCACCTCTTTTGCAGCTGCTCAAATTGCCAGAGAAGTTGAAAAAGCGGAGAGAATAAGAGCTAAGGAGGCCTTGTCCCTCAATGAACCTTCAACTTCAACTGTATGTACATGTAGTAGTATCTGAATTGGGCAAACTTACCTCACTGTAGTCATAAATATTTGTTATTGGCAGAGTTTGATACAGTCTTGAATTCCTGAAAAAGTCTTCAATTTCCAGACCTAAAAAAAAGTTTGGAAAATAGAGGTTAAGTCTTGAAAAAATGGTAAAAAGTCTTTTATAGTTACAACAAGTGCTTTACAAGAGAAATTTTTTTTGTGCTGATCAAATCTTATTCAATCTCGCCTGTACATTTGCAGCACATCATGGAAAAAGCTTTGTTCCATCATATTTCTTAAGGTCTCTATTGATCACTTATTTGATAACTTTTAGTTTGTGGAAAAACTCTGGAAAAAGTCTCAAATTTGTATCCAAAAATGTGTATGAACCCTGTATTTGTAAAAGCTGAAGAATTTTTAAAGCAACAATTAAAAATTTCTGTTAATCATATTATTGTCCATTGCTTTGGGATTTTTACCAAGTAGGGTGCAACACGCTTAGCTTTATCTGTGATGCAGTAATAATTTGCTGAAGAAGTGAAAGAGCTCAAAAATGGAGTAGGTCAAGTAGAGCTACAAAGACAACATGGTTCCAGTAATCAACTCCAGTATAAATTTGTTTCAACAGGGTCTTCGTTTTGAGAAAAACCAGACTGAAGATGATATGGATAAAGTGCGTCAAAAATACTGTGAGTTGGCACCACGAGAACTCTCAAGCTCTTGACTTGAGCATGGGGTTTGGGAAAGGGATATGGAGACTGTCCCTACACCCCCCCCCCCCACCCTCCCTGTTCTGAGTCAAAAACTAGCTTCTTGGCCGGATTATAACAACTTCAGAAACTTTGCAGTCTTAAATAAGAGAATAATGCGGAGTGTTATTTGGCTCTACCTGGTATCACAGATCTAAGATTGTTATTGTAAAGGGGTTAAAGAAAGTAATTTCTTAGAAATCGATTTTGAGATAAATATTAGCGATAAAATATCACGACGTTTCGACCTCTCCGAGGTCATTTCCAAGTGTATAAAAGTTCTCTAAATTAGCATAAATAAGTTAAAAACAAGTTATAATAGATAAAAATGTGGTGAACGCTAAAATGTGATAAAATATGTAAAAATGTAAAAAGTGCTAAAAATATTTATAAACGAATTGAAGAACACAAAGGATGGGCAATCGGAAACCACCTCAGAGAGCAGCATGATATGGAGCCTGAAGACATCGCACAAAGTTTTAGAATCTTAAGAAAGTGTAACAAACAGTGCGATTCAATTCACGCCAAATTATTTGTTTAGAGTAGTTCTTGTTAACATTGTTTTATTTCCATTGTTTTTTGACTTTATAAATATTTTTAGCACTTTTTACATTTTTACATATTTTATCACATTTTAGCGTTCGCCACATTTTTATCTATTATAACTTGTTTTTAACTTATTTATGCTAATTTAGAGAACTTTTATACACTTGAAAATGACCTCGGAGAGGTCGAAACGTCGTGATTTTTTATCGCTAATATTTATCTTAAAATCGGTTAAAAAAAGACTGCCGAAATCAGAGGTATCTGGGTGTCAGCAGGGGGTGTGCACCTCAGGAAATGTTTTGAATATTCAAGTCTTGGGAAATGAAGTTTATACCATAATAAGGAACTAATCAAGGTATCAAGGTGTTTACATCAAGGTACAAGGTTTGTCTCAGCACTCACAATGCTTGGCCAATATACCATGGATACATACTGATACTCAACCAATGGTTCACCAATGCCGGTACAATGCTGACACACTACTGATACTATCAGTAGCAGTACTGTTGACCAAAGGTTGACTGATGATTGGTCGATATGTCAGTCGATACTTGACTGATACTCTACTGACACCTGACTGATAAGTGACCAATACTCAACCAACACTCAACTGACAATCAATATGTGACCGACACTCGGCTGCTATATCAATCAATATGTAAACTGACCCTTGGTCTCCATTAGTTGACACCCCCTATAAGGCACTAGATCCATCAGCACAAGGTAACTGGGCCATCTACTGGAGTATTATTGTGACAAGATTAAGGAAGGATGCACTTTTAAAGCTCTCTTGTTGGGTAGCAAACTGAAAGCTACAATCCTGGTCAAAACGTTTGGGACACTTTGCTTTTTGGGTGAGGAAAATATAATTCAAGTTGACCCCCTCCCCTCCTGAACAGTGTTGGGTGTTACAAGTCAAACACCTTTTACATATCTTGTACACTTTATGGACCTCAACTTTGTTTAGGGGGGGAGGGGTGGGGGAAAATCTTGTTAAGGCCGTGTTTATGAGTGTGTATCGCAGGTTAGCTGCAAATTCCATACAAAACCAAGTGAAAAAGGGGAGGTGTCCCAAAACCTTTTGGCCAGGATTGTAGCTTGTAGAAAGACAACACAAAACCCTGCCTAACAATGTAATGCAAGGACTTGCCCTCTTGTAATTACGATTACTTTATCTTCCAGTGAAAGAACATGAGCAAGAATTTGACAAGTTAATCAGTGATGTTAAAAATAGGCAACGAGGCAAGAGAAAGAAAACTGCAAAAGAAATTCCAGGTTAGTAGGGACATGTGAAGAGAAAATACTTGTTTTTCCTTTGTGTTATTGGAGAAAGCTAGAATCTTAAGGTTGATAATTTAAATCTTCTCGTAAATAAATCACCATAGTTGGAAGTTTCCTTTTTTCCGCTCAGGTAGTGAAAGCCTTTCAGCTTCGAAAAAGTGTGAACCTGGTGAAAAATCAGCAAAAGATGAAAATGATCAGAGTTGTAACACAAAGCGTGATGACATTGATGCAGAGAAGACAATTGCAAATCTTGAAAATGGCCCGTCAAGTTTTATGGCAAATAACAAAGATTCCTCAGTGTTTGACCAGTCCAAGAGTTCATCTTTAATTCCTGAACCACCTTCATCCCCAAGCCTCATTTCATTGCCTGATGAAGAAGATGAGTTAACTCCTTCACTAGGATTGGAGAATGATGATTTGGTAATTGTTGTAATACATTCCTACCTGTTTTAAGTGGTCTCTAATGGGGAATGGCCAACTGACAGCTTAACCCTTTAAACTCTAAGGTCAAAATTTGAATTCTCATTTGTTGCCCCTATTCGTTTCCTACAGAAGTAGTGGGGAGAAGTTGATAAAATATCAAGCAAATTCATCTTGTGTGATCATGTTAGTAATTCTCATAACTACTCTGTTTTACAAAGTATTGATATTACGAGGAGAAATTTGAAGCTGATCACTCTTAGTGCTCAAAGGGTTAATACAAAAAGAGTTGATCAGAAAAATGACATGCTTTGTATAGACATGTACAATCTAAGGTTGCCCGGAAAAAGTCAGGTTCTTTCCCTGCCAGCGTGACAGTATAACGTAACTAATTTGACCTAGTGGTTACAAAGCGAAATAATCATCACATGACATTGACCTCAAAGTGTCTCTACTTATTCTTGTGCCAAAAGAAGGGAAGATGAAGACCACGATACACTATTGCACCAGTACAGTGCATATGGTACATCTTGACAAAGTGATGTTTTAACCCTTTAAGCCCCGATATCCACATATAAATTCTCCATACTGATCGTCATTCATTTCTTTAAAGAATTAGTTGAGAGAGTTTGATAACAGATCAAAGCATTTTCTCTTTACCGATCATTGTATTAACTCTCATAACCATTTCTCTTGGCAACATATGGATATTGTTAGGAGAAAATTGATGTTGGTCACCTTTGGCACTTAAAGGGTTAATAGAGGTGAAGCCAATAAACCAAATCGTTGGGACCTCGGAAAAGGTGACCGTAACCTCTTAACCCTTTAAGTCCCAATAGTGACCAACATCAATTTTCTCCTAACAATATCCATATGTTGCCAAGAGAAATGGTTATGAGAGTTAATAAAATGATCAGTAAAGAGAAAATGCTTTGATCTATTATCAAACTCTCTCAACTAATTCTTTAAAGAAATGTATGAAGATCAGTATGGAGAATTTATATGTGGATATTGGGGCTCAAAGGGTTTAAAAAGTGTGCATGTGAAAAAACTTCCACCCTCAAAGTTGATCACAGAGATGTTGCGATTCAGTTTTATCCCTGGTTTAAGTTTTTTTTTTTCCTTTTTTCTTCGTTTCAAACTCATTATCATACACTACTTTACCCGAAAAACAATGGAAAAGGATAAAAACAGAACCACAACACAGACACGAAAAAATGTCTAATAATTTGAGTGATCGAAAAAAAACTCTGATGCAATTTTTGATCCCTTAGGACTGTAAAGATGAGGATTCCAGAGATCCAAATATTATTCCAGAAAGGTATTGTTTTATAACATTATATAGCTGTGTAAGTTGATATTATTTTGAAATAAACCTGGGTCAATCCAGATTGTCCCGGCAGGTGGCAACAAGGGGGCAGGTGGTTTTGGGTGGGGATTCAAGGTCCTACCTTACGTCCTCGCCGTGACCCCTGGACAATGCCGACGAGGTCTCAGTCGCTAACTGGGTCTTCTGATGCGGCTAACAAGACAACAGCACCACAACTGAGGACCAATCTCCCCTTTTGCATAACACTGGATTACAACAGCAGAAATCTTAATTTAAATGTGGCTAACCTAGGTTAACCTTTAGGCAGTGCTGCAGTGATTTCTGGGTACCTCTAAGCCCACGCTATTTTTAAGGCACCAGCAAACTGATAAAAATAAATTGATGTTGAGTGCTAAATATAATAGGTCTTTTTACTTCTACTACCATAATCCTTCAGGGTTTTTCTTTCTTGTGCAAATGAGGGTCTTTGATATTAATTTTAAACCTTACTGGGATTACAAAGTTAAATAGGAAAGAAGAAACAAAATGAATTCTGGTCTTAGTAGTAAAAACACATCATCATGCAAATGGCCTATTTACCATCAAACTCAGAAATCCATGAACATCTGAAATAGTTCAGGAATGATGGTTGTGTAGTGACCAATCACAATAAAGAACAGGGCATGCAAGCAAATCTCAAATCCACAGACAAATTATTACTATTGCTGTTTGCAGCTTAGTTTTCTCACACAAATTTTTTTTCCTTGGAAACACAGTAGCATTCCATACATTTAGCAGTACTCATGCTAACATCACCACTGATGTCGATGTGCCAATCAGAAGCACAATGATTCTTGAAACAAAAGATTAAGCTGTTTACGCGTTACACATTTGAATAATGAATTAATTTAAAACAATGTTTGTAAACAGTGAGTATCACTAATTCAGGTGTTCAGTCTTCTGAGTTTCACAGTAAAAAGCCTCTGCAACAGTAAATACACACAAAAAAGATTGAACACCTTAAGAATTCATTTCTCTTTCTCCAAAATAATATGCAAAGTCTGACTCTCTCCTTCCTCCTGCTTAACTTTCAGCCCTGTTATAAAAGTAGGAAAAGCAGAGGATGCAAACGTTAACACGCACACTGCGGCAAGTGACAGTGATGAGGAGTTCCAGCTTCATGCATCAGTTAGCAGCAAAAGAATCAAGTCAAACTTATTCTGATCAAACGACAAGGTTTCCAAAAGACCGGTATTCAAAACACTCCTGGCAAATATATTTGTAAGTGGGAATAAAAATTATATTAAAATGGCTGCAAAAAGGTTTTTTTTCCTGAAATATGTCTGTCCAGGTCAGCGGTTTATTCAGACAAATCAGTGAGGTTGTTCAGCCATATGTTGTTATTATTGACTTTTAAGTATAAAATGTACTATACATAGCTAGATCTTCACCTTCAAAATGATTATCTTTAGTGATATTTGAACCATCAAGTCATCACATCCAACTGCAGAAAGAATTTTGTTGAACATTTGTCACATTTTAGTGTGACGTTGTCCACTGACCGACTAGTATTTGCAGCTGTGTGTAACAGAAAATCAAACCATTTTTACAGACCCACCGGTTTTAGATCCAAATGATAGAGATTTAATGTGCAACTGAAGGAAAGTAAAGAAAATAAATTTGTTGTCGTTCAAATTGCATCCTTGGTTTGATTTTTGAATGACAATGTATACCGATCTTCATGAAAGGAAAGGAAAGTATATAATAAGATTGGAAGCAAGGATAAATCACATCATGCTGATTGCAACTTTCCATGGTGCACCATTTAAATTCAGCTTTGAAACTGTATTGTCAATATTATCAGTGGTGTCATGAATGTAACCATGTATATACCTATAAATAATCATCATTCAATTTTAACTCAAGTGAAGCAATTAAATATATTATTTTTATACATTGTACTCACTATCTGTTTTCTCCTTGGCCAACAACATAAAGTTAATTTTGGGAATCACACAACCTGTCAAACCGTGTTCTACGCGACATTGTGTATCTGGTTATTTTCTTCAAATGTATGCTAAAACAATAGTAGATTCGGTTTTGTGATAACTAGAGTAACAAAGGTTGAGTAAGTGTTACAACACGTAACAAGACCTTGATTTTACTGGATATAACAAAACCTCATCTAATAAAATTTGTTGTTTACTGTTGTTCATTTTACACTTTGAGTTTGAAATTCAAGGTCAAGGTGTTGCTCAGAGAAGACAGTTTTTTTGGGGTCTTAGAGGAAGACAAAATCCAAGACCTTCCAACAAGTTCATGTCTTAACGGCAGTCAGACAGCAGAAATCCAGGTTAGGTTAATTTCCAATAATTTTTTATTATTTTTCCACAAATAAATTTACATGCAGTGGAGACAGAATAGAAGAATATACTAAAAATAAACAGCAAAACACATTAACATTACAATAGTTCCATGGATAGAATGACTGCTTATGTAAAAAAATGTAAGAATAAGACTAGGAACTTCTGAGATCAAAAATGTAAGATATGTCTTATAGCGTGTAAACAACATGGCCAACAGTCCTCAAGAAACTCAAAAAAGAATTTTCACAATGTTGGTTGTGTCTGAGTTTACAATGTGAAACCTGCAAGCTTAAGCTGGTGATGATTCGGTTGTCATTAAGAACATGTTCATGTAAGTTGTATGAAACCTGGGGCAACTTGATGGTTAACTTTGGGAAATTAGTAATGGTAACAGGGCTGAGTGGAGTCCAATTCGGTCTGTAATCATATGAGTGATTAACAAAATTGGACAACCGCGTAGCGGGAGGCCCATTTGTTTAATCACGAGTATGATTACCGACCGAATTGGACAACACGAAGTTCTGTTACCAATTAATCATAACTTTAAGAAAATTTGTGATATAATAGGCTATATTTTAAATCAAAACACAAGAAATTCGAAATTTTGTTTAGCTAGCACTGAAAAAAAAAGCCATTTAAGCGCATGCGCGATGGCGTGTACTGTCCAATTATTTAGGCATGACGCGTACTGTCCTATTAAACTGTCCAATTAAGGCTGAAATCAGGGCAGTTGATAGCCAATCAGATTTGACAATTTTGTTATAGTTATGATTAAAGCAAACATTGCACCAGAGTCTTACAACAAAGGTACTGACATTGAAGAAAATTTACACTTTGTGGTACAAGGTGCAATGAGAAGCATTTGAAAGAGTGTATAAAGTCCTATTGTTACACCCACTGTTTACAGTGAAATCGGACAAAAACATAAACACCAACAACATTCCTTGAATGGGAATTTTAACATGTGATACCCTTTACCAAGAGGCAAAAACGCCAAAAATTAAGCTTTTTTGGCTAATGAGCAAGAACAATATGATATGGCACTTATGCATGTGCATTTTTGTTAGAATTCTATTCACTATTTATACAAATAACAGTGACGATATAAAGAAGGAATATGCTGTACAAGTATTTTACACGAAAAACACAGTTTTTTCCCACCAAAGATGAGAGCGTTGTTTGCTGAAGATAACAGTGAATATCATACTAGCAGCATGCAGTGGCAACTATTTGTGCTCCAAACCTGAATGCTTTCATGGTCTAAACATTACACAGCTATGTATGTCAAATCACTTGATGTCTAAGCTAGTTTTGATAATTTTGCCACATTGTGAATGATCTTGAAACCTATTTAATATCTGAAAATTAATCTAAAAACAATTGATTTTTTAAACCTAATTTTAAAAAATTGCTATTTTGCAGCTTTGCAGCTATGGAACAAGCTTTTTACCATATTTTTTGTTGTTGTTGAACAAACAAAAATGCCCAGACAGCCATAAAATATACACAGCCCTTCCTTTTAACATTGTTGCACAGGTAGCCCAAGCTCTGTATCCCAGCCCTTACTATAATCTATCTATTTATGTTATGCAATGAATTACACGTATGCACTGCAGGTGAACCTCTTCACAATATGACACCCTGGAGATAGAGGAAAATTCTGATATCTTCATCTAAATTATCCACACTGATCTCATACACTACCGTAAGAATTGGTTGAGAAAATTTGGTAAAAGATCGAAGCATTTCTGTTTTGTCATCATTTTATTCTCTTCCTTTTTTCTTCATGATGTCTTGATATTGTTTGGAGAAAATTGATGTTCATCACTCTTGAGTCTACCTATAATGATAGGTTGCCCAACATAAAGCTTGCGACACAATACATATTATTATTCTCAAGGTTTTGAAAACTGAACTTGGGCAACCTGTGGTTCTTGGTGCCCACTTAGTCAGCAAGATCCCCAAGAAAAATAAAGGACTCAAGGAAAACTTGTAGCATATAGAAAATCATCAACATAAATAACTGACTTGAAAGCAAAACCTATTCCAGCTGACACATTTTGCGATAAAGGCTGCTTGTTCCTTATATAACAGCATGAAAAAATTTGAAAATATTCCTAATTAGAACTATTGTTACCCAATTTTAAATGTCATGAACTACCTTCCTGATTACTAACACCATTACTATGTTCTGTGCCGAGTGATGGACCAGGATCTGCATTGTCTTCGGATGTGGGTGCAGGTGAATTCCTTTCTGGGGTCATTGATGGTGAATTCTCTGGTTTTAAAAGTTTATAATCTGTTATTATGACTGTTATATTTCCTACGGTGACGGCCATATGCTGTGCACTGCTTCTGTCAACATTTTTTAGTTTTGGCCTGCAAGGAAAGGTAAGAACTAAATTAATGAAAAAAGATTTCCATCACCACAAGGGTAGTATATTTCTTTAAAAAAAATAGAACACCATTTGCAGATTTTTCAAATCCTTGGTTTCTTTATCATCCCAATAATTTATTTAATTCCCTTCTCAAGTCAAAAATGTAAAAATAAAAATATTGTTTCATCCTGTGGAGCGACTCTGGTCAAGTCAAAAACTGTCATAAGTAAAGATATGTGTAAGAGTATGCAGCAATGTCAAACAGGGGGTGGTGGGGGGGCATTAGACTGCTCACAGTCCCCTATTTTTACTTAAGATCGTCAAGATCGAGCACTTTGCGTTGCAGGCAGCCATCTTGGATGAGTGTCAAAAAATAGTTTTGGCACTCATCCAAGATGGCTGCCTGTAATGCAAACAGCCCTCCCACACAGATGTTCCTAGGGGTTTGTCACACGTTCGGCAACGTCTGCGGGGAAGGTTATAACGCAAAGCACTTAATTTCAATGATCTTACGAAAAAATGGGTGGCATTGGTTTTAGGCCTTCAGTCTAGACTGGGGTAACAATATTCAACTTATTTCAAAGAACAAGTTGTGATATTTCAAGAACAAAGATTTCAGCACTGCTTCGCAGACGTTACTAACCAAAGTTAGATAACGTCTGTGACGTAGGCTATGATGTTCTTACCTGCACTTTTTAAATGGTTTCTTTGTCATGACTTTTTTTAATGGCGGTGGTGATGTAACAAACTGCTGTGCGACTTGCTGAGCCACTAACTGAGAATTAAGTTTTGGTTTCCTGCAAATTGGAAGACATTAACACTTTTAAACTCGAAAGTGGCCAAAGTCTAAATTCAATAAATTTCCTACATTATTTTGTAAAATGTTGTAAAACAAGTTAGAAGTGCCACGTCAAAGCAATGCCAAAGAGGTATGGGTAATAGACACGTCTCCATACTACCTGCCTCGAATAGCTCCACTATTTTGCAGGTAGTCTGTATTTGTAATTTATTTATTGTGAATGTAAACAAATAAAGCTTGAGTTGCTTCAGCTGAATAGTCACACCATAGGATTTCATCTTAAGACACAAAAGTAAGTACCACCTTACAACACTTCGTCAGTCACCCTGGGAGTGAAAGTATTAAACCCCCAGGGAGGGGGACTCCCACATAAAAGTGGCAGGGATGCTTGTCAGAAAATTCAAATTAAACCCCTAAGGGAGACCAATGTGGGTGTGGCTCAAGCTTAAACTGACCCCTAAGGGAGATTTCTGTGTGGTCAGTGTCAAGGCATTTTTTGTAAATTTCTTTATGCACAGTACTAAGCGATACCTGAATGGGCAAATATAGTGACTTTCCATCCCAAACACCCTAAGTGAGACCAAAATCTGCAATTTACACCCCAAAGAAAGACTAGGAGCATCTCCGTCACTTTTACATAGAAGTTCCCCCAGGGGGTTAAACCTCATCAACATATTTATTGACTAAGAACTCTATAGGCATTTGTGGCCAAAGATTAAGGCTCTAGAAGATGGATTTTACTGAAACTTCTTTCAAAATAAAACAGTTTCAGAGAAAGAAGGCATGATTCACGACCCCCACAGATCCCCTCTAAATCTGCCTTGCAGCAAGAGGGGTCTGAGATGACTCGCACTAACGAGGAGAAATTGTTATTTATTTTATTCTTACAACATTTATTTATGATTAAGCAGTGATATTGTTAGGAGAAAAGAGATGCTTGTCACTGTGAGGGCTTGAAGGGTGAAACAATGAGAGGAAATCCTGATAACATTTTTCAAATTTTTCAACTCATTGAAATGTAATATTTTTCTGAACACAAGTGAGTTTTCGTTATTTTTGCTTACAAAAAGTATTGAGACCTTCCTGTTTTTATGTGATTGTTTTATATCTATGCAAGTAGTAATGTTTTTCTAATTTTTCAACGAAATATAAATATGTCTGGGATTCCAGACAGTCTGATAGATTCCCAGGGGGGTGGTAATGAGAGAATTGTACACTGTACATTTCAGCTGTGGTCACAAAAACACCGATTGGGGAAATGAAAATATCTTTGACAGTAAACAACTGGCCACAGCCGCCTTCGATTTTTACCACAAACATCTTAGGAAACAATTACAAGCATGTGTTTCGAATTTTATCTGATGATAGGTCGTGCAGAGCGGCGCGTTGGTAAATCCACATGGCTAAAGAAATTGTCTTAGGAATCCAGCTCAAATTGCTACATTGCCAATTAACATCTATAAAAGTTTCAGATATAAAATCATAGTCCATGGTGATAATTTTACACTAGAGTTACAATGAACTGAAATGCAAGACTCTGAAAAACATTCTTTTTGTATTTTTTCAAGACGTCTTAAAATATACAAAGCGCAAATGCAAACAAATAAAGTGCCACGCTTTCTGCCGTACCTGGTAGAAGTTCCTTTTCTAACATCACACATGGCGCATTTAAAAGCTTCGGCCCCATTTCTGTACGTGCAAACGCTGCAATCCCAATAATTTTCATCCATTCCTGGTCGTAATACTTTGCGAATCCTGTTAAAATGAACACAACAGCTCAAAACACTTGAAGAAAGTCAAGTGCTTTTGGAGTGAAACGGAGCTCAATTCGAACCACACGATACTTATGAAGGTTTGATTTTACAGTGTAAGATTTGAAATCAGCCTTCAGTTTTTAAATGCAATTGACCTCTCATGAACTGAGTAAAGCGTTCACCGATAAGTTTACATAAAAGATATAGTTTTTCGACTTGAAACCTAACCTTGGACTTGTGCTAAATGCAGTTTCTCAAATCTGTGAATGCGAGCACTGTTCACGGCGAAAATTCTTCTCCGATATGTCACCAAAAGATAGCTTACTTTACAGGGCTTTTCTTGTCCAGCTGCTCTTCCATAATCCGTGGAACAGAGGCTTTAGAATTGAGAATAAATTCTCAATTTTGCTCTGGTCTACACTGGTCGTGTATGTTCGCGTTTTGTATACAGGCAAGGCTAAATGAAGAACAACCAATCACAACACAGAATCGCCGGTAGATGGAGGAACAATCATTTGCCAAATATGGTTGGTGAGAGCGTGACTTCCGCTATCCGCACCCGCGTTTTCGATCAGCGTACTTCGTCTAAACAGTAGGATGACATGTACGAGGACATATAGTGTACCACAACTTCAAATCGCAGCGTTTCACATGAGGCATTTTCCAGGAGCCGATCTCGAAAATGGATTATAGCAAGTTTGTGAGAGGTTCAGAGCCATTTTTCTACTACAGAAGGTATCCCACAGAAGCAACGAAGAAAGTCTTTCAGGCTGTAAATTCCGGAGATGCTACTTTGCTTAATGAACTTCTGGGAAAGATGCAAGGCTATGAAAAGGTTTTCACGCTGAAAACGAAGATGGAAGCCTACAGGCTTTATCAGGCGTATTATACAACTAGGGCAACTCCGCTGATTGTTGCTGTTAAAAAGGGAAACCTTGATTGTGTGAAGGTACTTCTGAAGCACAAAGCAGATATCGAAGGCCGTGCTGGCGACGACGATGTGGAAAATTGTTACATGTACGAAAATTGTACACCTCTGTTTGTTGCTGCTGTCTCAGGCAACCTTGATGTTTTGAGTTGTTTGATTGAAAATGGAGCAGATGTCAATGCCTGCTCAGATGACCAGAGTACTCCTCTCATGATAGCTGCCAAGTATGGTCACCTGAAGGCAGTGAACTTCCTTATAAAACATGGAAGTAACATTGACCTCCGTGACAAAAGGGGTGATCAAGCTCTTCACCATGCGATTCGTGAGAAAGATGACTCATGCGATGTTTTGAGATGTTTGATCGATAATGGAGCTGATGTCAATGCATGTACTAATAAAAACGCCACCCCTCTGATGATCGCAAGCGTAGGCAATAAGATCAACCAAGTAAGCTGTCTTATTGAGCATGGAGCCAACCTTGATCTTCAAGACAACAGCGGAGATACTGCTTTTCACTATGCTGTTTATCGCAATGCACCCAAGGTTGTTGATAAGCTATGGTCTGTTGGAGCATCACAGTTGCCTAACGGTCATCGTTTAACCCCTCTTCTGTTAGCAAGCAATGTGTGCTGCAGTTCACTGGTTGAAGAACTAATCAAGAGACCAGAATACTCAAAGGAAGAAGTAATCAATGCTCTTGAGCTCCTAGGTGCTTCCCATATTACTAGGCAACCTCCAGGAACTTTTGTGGATGACAATCCCGCATTGGAGGCCTTTCAGTTCATTAAGCGCGGCATGGAAGAAAGATTTTCTAATCCTGCTCACCCCATCTTAAAACAACCAATGGAACCTTTTGAAGCCTATCAGAGCAGAAAAGAGTGTCAAACTCTGGAGGAACTTGCTTGGCTAGAATTTGACGAAAATGCAATTATCATGGAGGGTCTTATCATAAGAGAGAGAATTCTCGGAACAGACAATGTAGAGTTGATTGCTCCAATCCGTGAGATTGCTAAGTACCACAGCGATAATGGAATTAATATGGATAATGATATTTCAGTATGCATTGGACTGTACATACACGCCATGAAGAAGGCAAGGATTTGCAATGAATCTGCCATCTCGGATGTAGATGGCTTAACTTCTTTTTTGTATGATAGGGTAATTGGTAACAATCCTCTGAGAAAGCAACAGCTACCACTTCTTGAATTGCTTCAGCAAACAGTTATTGAGTTTAAGAGACAACAGGCGGAAGGAGTTGTAAAAATTGACTCATTTGTATTCAAACCTTTTGAGTCCCGAGAACTTTTTGACTCCTTTCAGAAACTTTTGCAAATTATTGCCAAATATGATGATGGTGAAGAAACAGATTCTTCTCTGTCAGAACTGCTGGATAAACTTCGCTTGCTGAATCCTACCACTTCTGAGGGGGATACATTGTTGCATGAAGCAGTTGACAGAAACCCACTCCACATTCCGCCATGCCCCAGTGCAGTGAAGATGTTACTGAACGCAGGATTTAGTGCAAATGCTACCAACGACAATGGAGATACACCACTTCACAGAGCTATAACGTTTTCTCCCATCGATGACATTCATCTCCTAGTTCTCCAGGCATTGTTTAATGGAGGTGCGCATTATGATTTTGTCAACAAAGATGGCAAAAGACCCATGGACCTCGCTCAAACTGATGAGGCTCGCATGATCCTTTTAGAAGGGAGGACAATAGAGTTAAAGTGTATCAGTGCCAGGGCGGTCAAAAAGTTTGGAATTCCTTATTTAGGGGTGGTACCCAAAACACTGGAAAAATATATTAGCATGCATTAAATACCTGTGCAGACATTCCAGTTTTTGGACAGTTTCTTATTCCTGACAAATATGATAGGTGTTTGTGTATGTAATATATCCAAAACAACACGCAGTGTTTCATCCGATATCCAGACACCGAGAAGTGGGATGAAAAACAAGGCGCAGCCGGTTTTTTTAAGACTGACTTCGAGGTGTCTGGATATCGAATGAAACACTGAGTGGAGTTTTGGATATAGCTTCTCAATTGAACAATAATTCTTGGAGAAATTTAAAGATAAAGTTTGCAAAATTTCTGGTAATTAGTATCCGTTATCCAAACCACTGTCAGGGTTGTGATTTTCTTTGTTTTCTTTTTATGAATTATTGATGAGTTTGAGAAGATTAAAGAAAGTATTGCCATTCAGTGATTTTGTTACACATGTCCTTTAGTTACTCCCTATGATTTTATTACCCACTTTTTGACAAAATTGTTGGCCATTGTGTACTTGTGAATACTTCACCTCTTTGTCTTGACATCTGCAATATTTTATTGCTCTATATTTTACTATAACCAGGTGTTTCAGTAAAATTGAAAGTAGGCGATTGAAAAAAATGTCAGGAATAAATTGTCAATAGAAACCCAAAAAAAATAGAAAAAAAAGTAACAAAAATGAACAGATTGAGGTAATGAGGGATAGAAGAAAAACGGTGCAATAAAATAATATATTATTGCCTATGTAACTATATTTTGTTCAAAACAACCATTTGCATTGAAAAGCCCTCAGCAGCTGAAAAGAATCAATTTTGAAGATATTAAATTTCTGTTGCATTTGGGACCCCTGGAAAAAACTTTCCTCATCCTAGAAAGTTCCGGGAAATTTGTTTCTGAAAAAGGAAATTACAGTCAAACCAGGAAAACTGTGAACACCAGAAATACTTCTGGAATGTTATTGTCTTGCAAGAGAAAAGCCAGTCAGGTGTGAGAAAACTAAACCACAAGTAAGAACATTAATTAGTTTTATGTCTTCCCTCTTCATTTTGTCATTTGATGTCACGGCAACATCAAAATGTTGGGCAATAAAGTATTTGTTTTGCTAATTTATTCTCAAATGTGGGACTAAATTTAATCCGTTATAAACTGTAGATGGCTATAACAGGAGTAAAAGTAGAATTTTTAAGATTAGTTTTAAGAAGCCAGAATCTTTTTTGTGTAGTGTGTTGGTTTCTGTGACATTGCAAAGCTGGTCTCAAACAACTTGTGCAATTTAGTGGGAAATGTGCAGATTTAGATACCTTACAATAAATTTATGTGCAGTAGCTTTTGACGAAAGACACATCAATGTATTTAATATAAGTAATTTGTTAAGTATCTTTGTATGATATAATTGAAGAAAATTATTATACAGTCAAAGCCCTATTACAGAGATGCCAACCTCTAGAGATTTAAAATCTGAAACTAGACACATTTAGGACAATGTATTTAATATACTATCCAAATTCACGATTTGTTTGAGAAATAATCTTTGTCAGTGACTAAATAGGTAAAATTGAAACCTTACATGATTTAAAAAGAAAAATTCAAGTTTTAGCAAAAATGGGCAAATTTCAAACTAAGGCACAGAAAAGCTCAAAGATGATTTTGTCCGGAGATAAAGCGACCTGTACGGGAGACCTTGGGTTTTGTCCCGAATAATCAATTTCAGCAGGGTTTTGATGAATATCAAGCAGGGTCACAAGTCACAAGTGAGACCTCTGGCCTAGGGCTATGGCATGAGGACAAAACAGCTGTCCATGGCTGCCACTGCCAGGACAATCTAGTTCTGAGCATGTGTAAGGTACTGGCCATACCGTGGATTTGGTGCGTGTGCCTCAGTGCTGAAATTGGTATTGTTTAATAATTTTGCTCAATATTTTAAAAAAATTCCTGAAGTTTTCTTACATTTTCTGTAATACAAAATACAGTACTAAGGAAACAGTGAACAACAGAACTATTTCAGGAATGTTGATTGGGTAGAAGCCAATCACCAACCTCGTTCCCAGGATTCTCTCCTACCCATCCCCACAGGTAGGAGAAAGAACCTGGGGAATGAGGTTGGTCAATCACGGCTTATAGTTATTTTCTCACTTGCTTTTTCCTAATGTAACACATTGACATTTCAGAGATGTTTTTAATGGTCATGATTTTCTTAGTTTCACAGTCTAGTCCAAAGCTAAAAAGCTGACTCTTTTAAAGCAACAAAGTCACTAGGAAGTGACAGTTTTCCCTCCTGACTCAGCTAGAACCGATGTTTAGAAACTCCAGGCTTTAACAGTCAGTGGCCATTTCCTTCACTTCATCAAACTGTCTGTAAACTGCATCTTGCCTTTGCCCCTGTTGGATAGTGTTATTCAGCGGATAAATCACTAACTGTTGCATAAGTAAAAGAGAAAACAATGGGTTATCCACTGTGGCGTTATCCACCCCTTTGAACAACTGGTGCATGCATGAATTTGATGTGGATCAGAAAATGGGAATTCTTCAGTCACTATTTCATGACATTATGACCATTCATCATTTCCACATTTATTTGTTGCTGTCACTGCACAACTGAAGTGCTACAGCCTTGGTTCTCGTCACTTCACAATACTTCAAGTACTGTGATCAAATAAGAACAAGTGTATCTTGAAAATGTTAAATTAAAAACACTTAACATGGAGTAAACATAGACTGGGCTAGCTACCTAATCACAGACACACAACAGGAAAAGCAACTAGGATGACAACAGAGTTACTGTAACAAGAAGTACTGACGACATTATAGGAATCTTAAAAAACGGACAAACAATATACCAAACTATTAAAGACACTGAGCACATCTACAAACACGATCAACAACGCACACACGTGTACAACAAACACCACAGAACACAACACAACCGAAAAGAGCCTGGGGAGAGAACCTCACTCCTGAGATGAGACTCGCTCTTCTAGGACTGGAATCTAGTACGAGAAATCAAAATGGCGGATGAGTCGACAAAAACGAACGAAGAAACTTTAACCGAAAAACCGACCTGTACGTTCTTTAAAAAGGCAAATAAGAACCGTAACGTTCGTAAAAGAAAAGTGGAAAAGTCGGATAGTGAGGACGATGACGAAACCACGGTTATCAGAAAAGAAAAAAAGACAATTTCTAACCCGATGTTTCAGAAGACTGAAGGATTCGGTTCGAAATCAAAACGTGAAGCAGACGAAGAAGATATCGATGTATCATTTAAGTCGACTCGTTCTGCTATGAGCATTGGTCCGCAGGATCTTGGTGCAACGGCAACCGTGGAGATTGATACAGAGTTTGATCGGGATGCCCAAGCTCTGTTTGAGAAAAAATTAAAGACGAATGAAGAGGTAAAAGAGCAAGGAAACAAGGATGACAGGAAATACCGAGGGTTAAATAATTACATGACTTACTATGAGAAGAAAGGAACTGCACAGGGAAATGCTTCCAGTGGAATGGTCAGGTAATTAAAGTTCGTCTACTTTAAAGTGCCCCTAACCCTTTAATTTGTTTTCTTTTGGCAGATTTCCATATCTTTCAAGAACTCATTGTCGAAAAATTTTTCAGAAAGATTGAATCCTTTTTTTTTTACGAGCGCTAAAAGTTACTGAAATTTTTTAATTTTTGCACGCTATGAGCCCCGCTGGACAAATTTTTGTCTTGTGGGCTCATTAGGAACGAGCCAATGAGAAGTGTCTGATATTTGACACTTTTTTAACTGTGACTTAAGAAAAGGACACTATTCCATTCTTCGGTGGACTTCAGGCCTTGGATCGGTATCAGAAGGAATCTTATGCATGCTGATTCCTTTCTCTTTATTTCGAGAGTTGCTGCATCCAAAAACCACACATTTTTTAACCATTTTCTCTGTTTATTTTAACGAGTGTTTATATGTGAGAAAAAAGTTTACCCCTTTGCCCAAGCAAAAATCACTTGCACATTCTTTGATTGTCGAAAACAGTGCTTGTGCATGCCCAGATTGTTTCACCCTGGCTGAGTTGAGTCATCTTGGTCAGCCAAAGTGTTTATGTGGAGGAAAGTTGGCCCAACTAGAAGGGTCACCCTTCTAGCCAACCCACATGTAAATGGTTTGCCATGTTTTTTAGGAAAATGTCACCCAGGGTAGCTTGGGTAGACATATTAACAAAACCTGGTTTCCATAATGATCGTCCTGACCGTCCCAGTCGTCTCAAATAATGTTCAGATGATCAAGACAATCATATGGAAACACTACCAAGACAATAGCAAACAACCCGAATGACTGAGACTAACTCAATCGCTTGGATAGAATTTAGTTCTATCACAACAATCGAGTAAATTTCAAAGTGATCATTAATATGGAAATGCTCTCAGATGACTGAGATGATGAGGACAATGGAAGGCTATCCCAGAAATAATCAGTAACTGGGAATAAATTTGGCCTGGACACCACTTAAATAAAAAAAAATAATACAAAAATGTCTGCACAATGTGTGGGCGCTTTTTGAAAAAGAGAAAGTCCATTCCATCAGGTTCTTGACGTGATAATATGTCTTCGTGGAACTCTTCTAGCTTGTCTAAGCCAAAAAATCAAGAGAAAAAGCAGATTGCTAGCCATGAGGATTGCTCTCCATATTATTGAAATCCATCCTAGATGTCACGTTAACCGGAATTGGACTTTTATTTCCTTGGGCAGTGATTTTGCCCTTATTTTTGGGGCAAATCGACTCTATAAAGCAAAGATACTTAGCAATACAAATTTGTTCCTGTCAAAGCATTTAACCCATTAAGCCCCAATATCCACAAACAAATTCTCCAACTGATCTCTATACATTTCCTTACAGAATTAGTTGGGAGAAATTGATAAAAGATCAGAGATTTTTCTCTTTATGATCATTTGATTAATTCTCATAGATGTTGCACTTGACAATCTATGGATATTGTTAGGAGAAAATTGATGTTCGTCACTATTGGGACTTAAAGGGTTAAAAGGGGAAAAGGCCTCACTTGAACTGGTTGGCGTGTGCTGCTCAAAAACGTCTTTGCTTAACCCTGTAAATCCCAGTAGTGACCAAGATCATTTTTCTCCTAACAATATCCATATGCTGTCAAGAGATAAGTTATGAGAATAAATAAAATGATCACCCAAGAGAAAATGCCTTGATATATCATCAAATTCTCTTAACTACTTCTTTAAGGAAATGTATGGAGATTAGTTTGGAAAATTTGTATGTGGATACTGGGGCTTAACCCTTTAAGTCCCAATACTGACCAACATCAATTTTCTCCTAACAGTATCCGTACATTGTCAAGAGATAAGGTTATGAGAATTAACAAAGATTACCAAAGAGAAAATGCCTTGATCTTACATTAAATTCTCTCAACTAATTTTTAAAGGAAATGTATGGAGATCAGTTTGGAGAATTTGTATGTTGATATTGGGACTTAAAGGGTTAAACACCCTATTATGTTTGGCTTGTTCGCAAAACTAACTAAAATTCCATTGTCCCACCCAGAGACATCGCTGACGAGCATGTGCATCTCTTGTCTTTGAGGCGATTGAGACAGTTATATGGAAACTACTGATCACCCCAGTCATCCAGATCATCTCAAATTTTTTTGAAATGACTGAGACGATCCTGACAATCTGAATGATCATATGGAAACCAGGCTTAAATAGTCACATCTTTCTGGTGCTATATCTTTGCACTCCTCAGACATACAGTGTATCACTTTCACAAAATGTGGGAATTAAGCTTTGTGTGATATGAGCCTTCCATACAACAATCACATCTTTCTCAGGCACACCTGAGTAACTCTCCATCAGCTTCATAAGCATCTACTTACCGGTAATTTCTTTCAGACAAGGACCAATCAGGGCACCAGCAAACCTTCGTGCAACAGTTCGCTGGGATTATCAACCGGACATCTGTAAAGACTACAAGGAAACAGGTTTCTGTGGCTTTGGTGATAGCTGTAAGTTCATGCATGATCGCAGCGATTACAAACACGGCTGGCAACTGGAGCGAGAATGGAAAGAAGGGAACTACAGCAAACAAGACCCTCATGCATATGAAATTGACAGCGATGATGACGATGATCTTCCATTTGCGTGTTTTATTTGCCGTGAGTCTTTCAAAAATCCAGTTGTTACGAAGTGCAAACATTACTTCTGTGAAGCGTGTGCTCTTAAGCATTACAGAAAAAGCAAAAGGTGTTATGTTTGCGGTGTGCAAACCAATGGAGTTTTTAACCCTGCAAAGGAACTTATAAAGAAACTGAAAGTTTTAGAGAATGAGGAGAAGGAGAAGGATCAAGAGGCTGATGAGGAAGAAGACTAGAAATAATATGGAGTATAGATTAACAGCATGTTTAATTCTGAAATAACATTTACAATAAATTGAACCCTCATGGCTCACCACCAAGGCAAACCAGTCATACACCTAACCTGAGAAAACAGCTGACATTTCATGACAACACCAGTACTTATTTCCTGATGAAATGACATCTGAGAAATGAGCACAGAAATTCCATACTGACAGCTTGCGTAGCAGGTGCCAGTTACTGATGACATACCCAGATCTGGGTAGTGCTTCTAATTGGTTGAAGCAAATTTCTCATGCATCACAACCAGTCAGAGGCACTACCCAGATCTGGGAAGCATCATGTATCAGTATGGAATTTCTGCACGTGGTGGCATCACAAAATGTTGGCTGTTTCCAGTGGCTGATCCAGGAGAGGGGCCCAGGGGGGCCCACCCCCCTCCCGTTATTTTTAGACCAAACTGAGGCCCAAAGAGCAGAAATTTTTTTTTGTTTTAGACCCCCCCCCCCCTTCTTGGGGTAAGGGTGACCAGGCCCTCCCTTATCTAAAGGTCTGGGTCTGCCACTGGTTTCCTTAGGCAAACCTAGACCACCTATGGAGCTTAACCTCTGGTTAAGTCTTTCTGCAAAACATTGCTGAAATCCTTGTTGAAGGCCCCTACATGTGTACCAGGATTTGAGTACGCTCCATGATTGGCCTGTTTAAAGTGCCACTGTCTATTTGCCAATCAGGACAAAAGGAAATTCAAAACGTAGTTCCAATAATTGTTTGAGTCCAGTATTGGCCTAGAACAAGGATATTGGTGCTGCTTTGCAGACGTTGCTTACTAGGATTAGATTACATCTGTAGCACTCATTACACTCAGCAGCAAAAGTGTTGAAATACTGTCATGAAAAGGGGTACATTTTCAGAAAAAAATCTGGACTCTCTCCCAACCCTCCCCCCCCCCCCCAAATTTGGCTTTTTTTTGTTGTTTCCTACTGGCCATTTTCAGTGCCAAATGCAGACCTTGAGATAAGGGGGGGCACTCATTCAGTCCCTTAGAAAAGGGGGGCCTGGTCTCCAAACATTTTTTTTCAAATTGAAAACGTTACAGTCAAGAAGACTTTTGAAGGGACTGATCAAACAACATGAAATAGAGTTTAGTTGCGATATTTCGACTGGCCAATACCAGTCTTCATCAGGTTTATTGAGATATCTCAGGTTGGTCTAAATATAAAGGGGGGCCCCTCCCCTGGATCCACCACTATTTTTAAATGTGAGAGATGCTGTTTAAAAAAGGCATCTCAACATTGTTTTTAAGGGGTAGGGGAAAGAAGGCTTGTTTCTCCTTGATGAAGTCTAGAAACATGCACTGTTGGCAAATTCGAAACAATTTTATCAAGGACAAAGTGTCTCAACTAATTTTTTTGGTGATCATTGGTGGTTACTAGTAAAGAATTCTTGCTTGGGTTTGAATTAGTGACCTCAATACAGTGTATAAATATTAAATATTTCATCACTCATTTAAATAAACTATGTAGACTCACTGGAGCTGTAGTCAATGATATTCTGCTTGCTGCTTGTTAAACCCAGGGGGAATAGTCCGGATTCCAAGTGATGGAGATCATTGGATAAAGGCAAAAATCAACACCCAAAAAAATCCCCAGACCAAAAATTAATCCCCCAAAAAGCCCATGCCGAATTGTTTAATTGTATACATATTAACTGGTTTGATGGCACAGATGCAATGTTGTGGGTAAAATGTTAAAACAGGCGCAAAAGTTTGGTTGTACTTTGTTCGCAGAGCTACGCAGCCGGGATATGTGGACTTTAGCATGAATCTTCAGATTGTTTCAAATATTTAAAAAAATCCCTTCTTAAATCAAGCCACCCAAAAAATACTAGTCTTGTTGAATTTTTCCTACCCAAAACATCCCCGAATCAAAAATTTCAAACCCAAAAAATCCTTCGATCTTCTTCATCACTTGAAATCTGTAGTACCCCTTGGGTCTTTAAACAGCAATCCATAATCCCATTGGCATTTTGTTGCTAGAAAAACGATTGATTATAGAACCTGCAAAGTGCCTCAAATGCGATCAAACTCCTGTTGATTCGTTAACAATATCAAAATGTAAATATTTTAGTGTTTTTTGGTTGAATATTCCATCTGTTGGCAAGTGCCTGCAATAAACAAGCAAAACTATCCAAACAAAAAAAAATAAATATGAAAAACAAAAGCTGCTTGAATGACATGAATGAATGACAAGAAGTCAATAAAATCCTTGAATGTGATTGGTCGAAACGTTGTCGCGCAATTTGTGGGGTATTGAATTTCATTGTCCTTTAGCCGTTCAAGCTGCAAACTCCAGACAATCGGAAAACATTTCTCGCTGCGTTGTTGAAAGTGTCCCTGGCCGTGTTTAGAAAATACGAAAATAACTAACTGTAAGATAATACGATTAGGAACGAAAGAGAAAGGATATTCTGACAACTGGAATGATTTTTGTTGTTGAACATTGATTTGTCCACTTCGTTCGTTTTGGTTGTGTCCCCGCAAATGCGAACAGTTAGGGAAAGAAAAGCTGGTGCTTGTTACAGGTCTATAAAGGCTATCTAATGATAGCTTATAAGAAGGTAAGTGCATTTTAATCTTTTGCCGCTAAAGCAATAACGTTTCTCGTCTTAATAACCTCTTCTATCGCTCTTGAATTATTGTGGTGTGAATCAATATTGTACGGTTTGATCAATTCATCTCGTGCAGCACAGACGTAAAGTTGACCCGGTCAAGCAGATCTTGGCTAGACTCGACGAGAAGCAAAGCAAGGTAAAAGGAAACCTATCATCAAGCGTTTTAGATATTGTTTATGTTCTTTGATCGTAATCCTCGCTGTTTTGTGTTCTGTTGTGGCAGCACTTTGAATTTTTAATACCCGGTTCTAGTTCAGCGCTCATGAATAATTTGTTTATTCAAATAAAAATCAGCCTAGCGTGCTTTATTAATCCTCTTACCAAATTTTGAAAGCGTATTGAAAGTTTTGCTGCTAAATTACTCGTACTTAAGTGTGTAGTTTTATTGAATGAAATTGAAGATATGAAATATAATAATTACATTTGGTAAAAGATTGTGTATCCATGGGGACATGATGGAAAGCTATTTACATTAGTTTAATTAACATATCTGGTCATGCATTGAAAAAAGAGATGATACGAACCTTTATAGATACTAAATTCCCCTTAAGATAAATTTATATTATTAATACTATCAGGACAACTCACTTAACAAAGAACAATTTTCCATAATATTGTTGTTTACACTAGCACACTTGATATTATAGACCATAGCAATGAGATTAAGATGTTTATTTAAAACTCCTTGTCGATTATAATGTAAATGTTGTAGTTAATATTTTTTCTCAGGTAACTTATATTTTTCCCTTGGTTCAACTTCATTAGCATCATTACCATAGCCAGAAACAAAAGAAAAATAAAAATTACCTGAGACAAAAAATTAACTACATCATAGAAACACATTCATTAGTTTCAGTTCTATAAATGCTTACATTTTTGTATTTTAGTTTTTAGTTTTCTCAGATATCATTGTGATGTTTTGCATTTTAAATGCTTATTGTGGTTTGTTGTTTTATGTTGCAGTCAGGTTTGTCATTGTATTCAAGAACTGATCTCCACGAGCCAGCAAAGGATGGCACCTTGCCTGTAGTCCAACCAGTTAGCGGTAAGCAATAGTACCAGTACTTTTAAGGTCAAGAGTGAATGATAGTATTGGTAATGAGACATTTTTCCTTGTTTCTAACCTTTCGCCAGGTTTTTTTCATTATTATTAAAGATTTTTTAAAACGGTTGGAAAAAAATGAATAAAATAAAAAAAAATGAAACATAACATATAATAACAGAAAGCCGAGGAAACGGAGCATTAATGCTAGTAATATCACTACATCATTACTACGTTAAGCAAAATCACAATGCACAACACACCTACATCGCTGCTGTCATCATTATCCGAGCAAAAATGGCCAAATAAAATATCTTAAATATCGAAGTTGGTAGAAACTAAGTCTTGCGACTTAACAATGATGTTAATGTCAATTTTAATGGTGGTAATGGGACATGTTCAGAACAAACTGTAAGAAGTCTTGAGCTCAAAGAAAAAGCCTATTCACCAGATTTAACCTTTTAAGTCCCAAGATCCACATACAAATTCTCCAGACTGATCTCCATACATTTCCTCCAAGAATTAGTTGAGAGAATTTGGTAAAAGATCAAAGCATTTTCTCTTTTTTGACCATTTTCTTAGTTCTCATAACCTTTTCTTTTACTTGTGAGGTGATCATTGTTGGGAGAAAAATTACGTTGATCACTCTTGGGACTGAAAGAGTTAAAATTCAAACTTCTTTATTGATAAACTTGTTGGTTTTACATACAGGGACAACCACGGGTTCTGCTAAAGGCTCCAAAATTTTCCCAGACCTTTCAGCAGCCAGGCAGAAGGCTCAGAGGAGGTGAGTTACTATGTACTTTTTGACTGAGTGGGAGGGCAGGACGGAAAAATACTTGGCTTGACAGGTCCAATCTTTGAATCAGAAAACACTATTGAAACGTTGTTTGTGGCAAATTACTTTATTCCCCATACTATGGTGCCCTCAGCTCTCCGCAGATTTTAGGTTTAAAAAAAAGGTCAAGGGTTTGCTTATAATGGGAAGTGCACTTGGCGTATCCAACTAGTTTTTAGGCTGTCCACTCATGTAAATAATACTGGGTTAAGCCACTTTAAACTTGGGAGGACCAAAACAAATCTAGCGAGTGGTCAGAGTGGGACTTCAACCCGGGACTGCCTGATTGCAAGTCCAAGGCAATGACCACTCGGCCACGCTGCCTCCTTATCTCTCTAGTAGATAAGCATTGGCTCTTTGTATACTTCTCTCTCTATAAAGGCTGGATTAGATGCCATTTGCTTATAAAGGTGTTCTTTTGGTGAGGCAATGTCATGGTGGTATGTTGTAACTGAACAAAAGGTAGAGTTTTTCCAGGCTTAGTTGTTTTGTACTAAAGCAGCATGCAAAGAAAGTAGTGTGCTATAGAGCTATTAAATTGTATTCTTTACTTGCCTGATGGGCAAGTGAATTTTTTTGAGGAATTCAAATTACGGAAGAACTATGAAATCAATCTGCTCATCAATTAACAATTATTAGTTCATGCGTCAGCGTCGTGCGTATGTCGAGATATTGAGCATGCGGGAAGTTTGGAGAGCACGAAAGAGGCGTAAGAGTTGCACGAGGCGCAGCCTGAACTAATTATTGTTGTATAACATTATCAAAGCGATCAATGCAGCAGTTAATTTAAAATTTTATTATTGTAGGGCGTGCTCAAAGCAGTACTCGTCAATGTTTACATGATTATGTTTTTTTTGCTCACAGTTCAGCTTATGTTTTTATCCTGAAACTGAGAGAAAGTCTACTCTAAAATGATTGTAAAATCCATATTTAGGTGCCAGAAAACTATTAATTCACCGAAAACAACTTTGCAAAGAATGAGCTCACGCCATAGTCCGCACAGCTCGCGGAGATGACAACAACAACAACAACACTCACCTCTTTTCCTTACTATCGGTTAGCAAATTGAAACGTTTCCTCTTAAATTTCCTTATAAAACACATGGTAAATGCTTCATCGTGTACTGCTGAGTTATGGATGCACTCAGGAGACTCAGGATTGCTAAGCTCACATTTTTAAACAACTCAAGGAATTACGAATAGTTTATTGACGTCATCAGCGTGCTCAATAGGAATATGAAGTACGCTCGCGTTATTGAATTTGATTAGGCGAACTTTCTAGCTATGTTATAAAACATTTTTGGGGCTAGTTGAAAATAAATGATGTTTGGGCTAGTAAATGTTAGCTTCAGCTTGCCTGAATGGCAAGCTGTAAAAATGAATTTCTTTGCACCCTGAGTACAGCCTGCTTCCATTCGGCAAATTTAACCTCTAAGATAGTTTTTATGATGAGATTGTGTGGGTAGCCTTTAGCATGAAAGGTGAGTGAGTTAAAACTGAGAAGTTTGTTCTGGGACCTTTCTGATCTTTTCTAGAGTCTCGCATGAAATTTCTCAAGGTCCAAAGTCTACTTCCCAAATCTAGAAGTGTGCTGTGATTGGTCTACTTTTTTAACCACTCGTTTCAGCTGACATTCGTTGGGAAGGATTGCGTGACAAGCCAAAAGAACATCTGTAAGGGAGGCTATAATACAACCTACAAAGGGATCGCTATAAGAGTTGGCACAATAAACCTGAGCCTTGCGGAATCTTTCAGTCGTTCTCTCTACCTCCGGAGCTGACACTGCTACACAAAGGAAATAAACCTTGACTACTTTGAAATTTTGTTGCAGGTTAAATGCAGGATTGAAGCAGTCAATTCATGAGAGCAATCAGAAGTCAGTGCTCTTTGCAGAAGCAAAGGCTGACAGACGGTTAAACCTGACATTTCCTCCAGCTGGCAGCTCTCACCAGATGGCTGCTACTGTCAATCATGATAGACAGAGTTATGCATTTGGTGGTTGGTCTGATAGCCCTGTAAGTATTTTTGCTTTTTCCAATAATTAATCCTTTAAGCCACAGTACTAATTCCCTCCTAATAATATCAATACTTTAACAAGAGAAAAGGTTATGAGAACTCATGAAATGATCACCAAGGGGAAAATGCTTTGATCTTTTAACAAATTTTCTCAACTACATGTATATTATTCTTAAGGAAATTTGTGGAGATTAGTCTGGAGAATCTGAACAAAGTTTTATACTGGAAGGCTCCACCTAGAGGTTCAACCACTTACCCTTTTATATACCATTTTTGAAAGAAATGGTACCTCTTTTCTAGGCTTCCATTGAAAAATGGTACAGTCAAATCCCTTTAATATCGACACGTGAATAGCATAGAAAAAGCACAGCATAGCCCTCACCCCCCCTTTGATAAATCCTGAGTATTTAACTGTTGAAGTGAATCACCCTAATCAGTAGAATATTAATTTCTTTTACAGTACTTAACAATGTAGAAAATGGAATTAACCCTCAAACCTCTTAAGGAACAAACCCCTGTAATATTGCGTGGACTAATTTGGCCTAATGTTTGATTGTAGTCAGCAGGAGTGGAGAATCTTCGCAACAGTCATGGTACAAGTATGAATCCATTTGGATACAGCAGACGCACCTTAGCATTCCAACCCACATCTCTTAATTATGTCGTGGAATGGCCTGAAACATGGCCTCTGAAGATCATGTAAGTTTTCAATGTCAGTGCAATATAATTTACTCTTACCATAGTTAGGGTAAATTCAAACACTAAGAAGTGCGAAGAGCCCATTTTCAGAAATTTGCTGAAGTTAATGGTCCACCAGTGTGGTTGGTCAACATCCAGTTTCATTGTGGAATGCATGATCAAGCATGTTGTAGGAGTAATAAAAGTGGTCACCCAGGGGATATTGACATGAATGACCTCCCAGTTATAGCATCACCGCGATCAAAACTCTTCTCACAGAATGGCTGAGTTGTCAAGCAGGCCTGACAAATAGAATGAAGAATGTCATCAACTACAGAATGTACAGCCAAATTCTACTGATTGACATCTAATTTCTTCTCTGACCTAATTTCCACAAGTGAGCTTGGTGGTCAATCAAGGATCTATTTGTAAAACAGCCAACTGGTTTGTCTCCTACCAGTTGCGTTTTTTTAACCATGTTATGTTCTATTTAAATTATTTGTTTCATTATGATTTATCCCTGAAAATCCCCATAAGGGGTGACGATAATTTTATTATTATTATTATTATTATTAACCTTATTGCAATCCCAGAGGTCCACAATTCCTTGGCACAAGCTTAAGTTTTGGCCATTTCTTAACTTTTCACACCCCAACTTTTTTGTGTGTGCTCATTTGATGAGCATGATGAAGGATTATTTATTTAGCACTAACCAAAACATTCATCTGGAGTAGCATCAGCTGCGAAAGTAGTTGGCATTAATACTTATTTCTGGACTAATTTCCAATGATCAACATATAATTTCTCCTAACAAAATCAACACTTTGTCAAAACAGGCAGCTGATGAGATAAAAGAGTTCAGTATGCATTTACTTGTCTTTGTTATTCCAGGAGTATTGGAAGAGGGACTGGAAGATTACACAAGAAGAAAACAAAGCCTAAGTATGTGCTGATGAGTTTTTACTATGGCTGAAAAAAATGTCATCATTTTGTAGCTGCATTTTCATGTTACCGGTAGTCGAGTTTTTGGTCTGTTGCCAATGTGCAGAATTTTGGTGGCAAACAAGGCTAGTGGTGTCGACGCAGACATGTCCAGGTGTAATTCCCCTTTTACATGTATGGCTTGTTTAATTTTTAAAGCATAAACCAGCCCAACTTGTATTCCAGTTTTTTGGAACTGTCTCATTTCTCAGGGTGTAATATGCTTAGGTGTGGTTGTGACAGAAAGTGATAGAATATGGGTTATAACAGGACCTTTAGTTACACCTGCACTGACACACATCCGTAAATTTAACACTCCGTTTCTCATTGTATGTGTTTTACTTACTGCAGGCCTCAACATATCCGTAAAGTGCATTTTGAGAACTCTCCGGCACCTCGTTCATCACCAGAGGGAGAGAAAAATTACTACAGTAAAATATCTGCAGCTGCAGGCATGGCAACACCTTCTCAAAACCAGTCCATTCAGATTTTACCGGATAGGCAAACTCCTGTGACAAGCTTATCAACTGATATGACCATACCACAGTCAGCTGATATAAAAAATATCAAACAAGAAAAACAGGATGAATGGGTTCCCCAAAGAGATGAAGGGGTTGTTGACAATGTCACAGCTGATAATTTGCTTGAGGCTGGAGACATAAACAACACTGAGTATGCAAGAGTTTATTCAGACACAAGTTCATTGTCTGAAAGTGTTTATGTTAGAGAGGATAACAGCAAGGTGGGTAATCTTTTCCCTGCACCTTTCTTATTATCAGAGGCAAAATTAACCCAAAACATTGTGTTATATACCGTAATAAATCCGACTTAGAGAAGTGGCTGGCAGGTCAAAGCATTAGCTATTCTAACTTCAAAAGCTAGATGTACTATTTTTACATCATACAAATAGTATCACAGGAAAGGACTTCTTTGTAGCTTTCATCTGAATGGTCACACTTTAGGATTTCATCCACAGACTCAAAAGTTAAAACCACCTTGTACAGCATTATAAACAGTACCACAGGAAAGAACTGCTCAGTAGCTTTCATTTGAATGGTCACACTTTAGGATTTCATCCACAGATTCAAAAGTTAGAATCACCTAGCTAACAGCGTAATGCTGAACATTACTTTAGGAAAGCACTGCTAATAAAGGTCTTTGTGATCTGTTATCAAGTTTATTATTCAGAGAATAAAAAATTGTGAAATTGTATAATGGAGACTGTAAAAATAGCATTAGAAATTAATGTAGATAACCTTAAAAAAGACTTTATTTTATTTCTGTTTTCTCTCTGATTTAATGAACAGAAAACTGAAGTACCAGATGAAACAGAGAACCAACAGGCTGATAACACAAGGAAAAGTTCCAGTGTTCCCCCGTGTACGCCTACCCCTGAAGGTGTGGAAAATGCACCCAACTGCGGGGAGAGTGAGGGTCAGGATTTACAACAACCTGAAGAAGAAGGTGGTGATGACGACTCCAAAAGTGTGTTGATGGAGATCGTGTCACAGATAGCTGCAGAACCTGAGGCAGATTATATGCAGGACATCTGACAGCTTCAGCTACGTGACCTGAGGAATGCATGTTTGGAGTGCATCCGCTGGCCTGAAACAAAGCAGGAACCTTGTTCATGTATGAGAAGTGCATCATTCACTGATAAGTTTTGACTTGCTTGTTTGCAGAAGTCAATTTTTCAAAAGTACTTTTGTTTTGGTAATATCCTATTTCTCTGACTACTGACAGGTAATCTAAATGTGACATTGTGAGACTCTTGTATCCCCACTAATCCTCAACTCACTCGTTTTGTCCTGTGTCCAACACTAAATTATTTTTTTAATCCAACTGTCTCACTTTGAAACCATAAGTTTAGCCAGGAAATTCAGTGTGGGTATCCACCTCAAATCTTGAGCCAGTAAAATGAGTAATTCTTCAACCAAGTGTTTTTGTAAAAAAAAATCTGGGCATGCACAGGACACCGAGCTGACTGAAACCTTGAGGGGAACGTAAAATACCAAAGAGTTGTAATGCAGGCTAGGGGAATGTTAGATAAGACAATGTCACATGTTTAGATTTGTTATATTACTTCTGGACACGCCTTTGGGGTCAGATAAAATAAAATAGCTAAAAAGATAAAGGTTTTCATTCCTGTTTTAAAGTTTTTATTTTCCATAGAAAATATTTTATAAATATCATATTTATGAACAAAGATGAAAATTTTAAGCTGCTCCTTACCAACATTCTCATGTGGAAAAGACTGTTTATAAAAAAACTGGAATATAGCAGTATGTGTATCAGTGAAAAAACATATATATTTGCTTTTCTCACAAAATTTGTCATAAGAATGAAGTGCTTTCTATTGCAGTTACACAGTGGAGTATTTTGTAGCAGCGTATCTGTCTGGAGTTTAAGACAAAAACTCAGAAAACAAAGACTGATATCTTCATGCTTGAAATGTCAGGAAAGAAATCTTTGAGTTGTTGGTGTATACCCCGATTTACTTATAGCTACAAAAACACATGGTGTAACATAATTTGTTTTTCATTGATTTAGAACTATTTTATTTTTTTATTCTGTGATAAATTGTGATCTTTAGTTTGGATGCAAGTGAAAGACTGAGTATGAGTTAACGAACTAAGTTTGTGTCCATTAGGTAAGTGTATGTTCAGAAAAGGACAAAAATTATTATTGTCCGTACATGTTTACATCCTTCATAGAACAATACTTTAAGAAACATCTATGTCACAATCATGCAGTAACGGCAAAGAAATTTACAAGAAAGAGTGATGCACATAAGAGTTTTTGTGCGGCTTATTAGGCAAATACAAAATAAGATCGACCTAAGGGAGGATTTGTAAGCCCACAAGACTGGGCAACCTCCACAAACCCTTGTTTTCACTAAACCCGCTGGACACAAAACCTCCCCTGGGTTGATGTTACATTGTCATAACCGGCTAATTATACCTGTTGTTTTTTATTTTTTTTGTTGTTGTTGCTGTTGCCTTAGTGACATTTCAAACTTTCTATTGGTAGTAACAGAATGACACTTCTACTCATGCTTCAATCTAAAGATCACTAATGACAAATAAGTTCAAAGTTGTTGTGGAGTCTTCATTCATGCTTTGTGATTCAGGTTGCGTAGCAAAAAGCGATTAAATTAACAACATGTTGAGGGGGTAAATTTTCGAATAATAATCTTTATGTTTTGAGTGGCAAAAGTTATACCTTCCAGTAGAACTGGAAAGAATCTTTTGGACAAAATAATGTTCTAATAATATTTCTGTTCAGTCAGTATTAATTAGCAACACGACAGATGAAAAATTCTGGGTGTAAATTTTAATGCAGTTTTATTGAGATTTACATTGTGTTCTGTTCTCTAGCTTTTTGGTTAGCTTTGTCATGGAAATTTAAAAAATAATGTTCCAAGTATCTTCTTTTGCTTTTGGTTTGATTGCTTTTGAACGAATCCTCATTTTCTCAAGCTCTATTTATCCCCTCAACTGTTTTTGCCATTTACAGGTGTTGTCATGCATTTTGGCGTTGCGTGACCACCATAATACATCACCATTTAGCAAGTACTTCATGGTTGTGTACTACATAAAATCTCTTAAAATGTGCCTTAACAGACATTGTGGGAGACTTCATGGTATTTGATACCTAGCTCTGGGTTTGAATTTTGTTTGAGCTCATGAACATTTCGAATATTCAGATTAATTTTATTAAGAAAGGAAAACTTTATCATATTTGTAAAAAGCATTCAAGTTAAAGTTTATTATTCCAGATTAGGTCACAGAATTGCGATTATGCCTTTATTATTGCTGTAAAGTTGTTGAAATAAAGTTCAGAAGAAGATGCATCCAGTTTTGTTTATAGCAAAAGTTCCTGAGAGTTGACCTCTACTTCATCAAAGAAAAGGGGCATAAGTCACCAAAGATCCTCACAAGCAACATTAGAGAAAAGAGACAGTAAGACTGAAGTTGTCGATGATTTCAATGGAGGGAAAAAACACGGGAGGCGGGGGGAGGTTACTCAACAAATGTTTATAAGGGGAGTCTCCGTCCCGAGGTCCAACTCTTACCCTTTTATATACCATTTGTCAAGAAAAAAGGTACCCCTTTCGTATACCTTCTATTGACAAATGGTACCCCTTTGACATACCTTGTTTAGAACTATACATTCCTTTTAACTGCTGTGAATGCACTGTCTTTTAAATAGGAATCAATCGCAAAAGTATAACATTTTCTCAACGTCATAAAACCTTAAAATTCATCTTTTAGCCCTTTGGGGCCTTTTTATAGACTCAAATGACAGATTTCCCTACCCTTTATATACTTCAAGTAGTGAAATCCGTACCCTTTCATGTACCTGAAGTCTGAAAAAGATACCCCGTTCGGGCGGAAGCTCCCCGTATAAGCCATCGTAGGGAGTATCTCCCACCCCGGGAGGAAACACAGAATCCTGGGAAAGCAGCCGACATCTCGCGATACCACCACTGCTTTCCCCGGGAAATGACGTCTGAGGAAAGACTTCAGAAATTCCATTCTGATGACTTGTCATCACCCGCACCTGGGTGGGGCTTCTGATTGGATGAGGCAATTTTTCAACCAATCAGAATCACTACCCAGGTTTTGTTATTGACGCGTCATCAGCTCAGACGTCATTTTGCGGGGAAACCAGTGGTGACGTCGTGGATTGTCGGCTGGTTTCTCAGGCTGACGAAACAGCTGTCTTAGAGGGCAAATGGCACAACTGGTGATGGGATAAAGTGCAGGATTACTGGGATGGAATTTGATTACAACGATAGAGTTGATTTTTCCGACAGGCCGTCAACAGCGATAGTGCAAAACACCAGCCATAACATTTTTTAAAAAAATGTTGATAATAATAATAATAATAAGAATAACAATAATAAGAATAGGAATAAAAATAATTAAGTATAATAAAAAGAGCCGCCTAGGCAAAAACAATGTAAGTTACAAAAATACATAACCCGCTATGATGATCATTTTCCAGGTTTTTCTCTTCTTCAGTTTCTAAGGAATTTTAAAATTTAAGCCGGCAGCAACGAGAGATCAATGGACCTATCCGGCAATCTCAGTGTTGCACCCAATTCAAATCTCCCGGGGTTAAGATTCTTTGTGGCCTTCACATTTAAATGATATGGAAATTTCTGAAACAAAACATTTCATTCCCAAAGGGTTTGAATTGGGTACAACATTGAGTTAGCCGAATAGGTCTATCAAGAGTAGGGTCACGGTGAAGGATGACTGTTCTTGAGCAGAAATAATGGGGAACAGAAAAAATAGAATGGCCATTAATTGATTTTCTGAATGCTGATAATCAATGCTACACTTTGGCGGGAAAACTACCCGCGTAATTTAAATGCTCGCAAGTAAACAATGGGTGAAATTGGTAATTAGCATATTGTTACATTTCCACGTGGAATTGCGCGCGGCGATGTTTAAAAATGTGAAGCATTTTATCAGGTGTTCCAGATTATCCTGAATGTCGCAAGAAACTGAACTAGAAAGGTTATTACAGGTAAGCAAAACGAAACTTCTCTTTCTTAGTTGGAGCGTTATGGTTAAAATAAGATAGGCAAAGTATTTCGGAGCAGTTTGCCAAATGAAGTCAAACTTTAAAAGATGCACCGCAACTTTTTTAAAATTTAGTTTCTCATTTACACGTGGTCTGCGTTTTAAAGCTCCCAACCAGCTCATGGGTTTTGCCAAGGAATAGCAAAGGGACTTACCTTCGTAAATGTTTTTCTGTTCTTCGTTCCTAAACCTAATAACCTTAATTTCAATTGGCCATGGAATTAATCTTTACTCCAGTGCACGAAGTTTTGATGAAGACGTCGACAAAGACGATGACAACAACGAAGTAAATAGATACTGTCTTCCTATAAAGGAAATCTTTCACTCACTTATCTATTTTTAATTCTCTCTGCGTAAAATACATAAATGTATTCAATTTCCTTAAATTTGCGCGCATATGTCGGATTTATGCGCGCTTTCTGGGCTTAATCCCACATAAAAACATCGTCGATAAGCACTGAGCGCCCGGGTAAACGACATCTACTGTGAGACCAAACTTTGATTACCGGTACTTAAATGAAAATGTAGCCCAAGCATTTCCATACACTGCCTACTCAACCTCCCAACATTGTTGGCCCTAAGAGCTGGGACATTTCGCCAGAAATGAATGGTTAATTTTCAAACATTTCGGCACCTCCTTACCCTGGGTGAGAAATAATTTTCTAGCGCGGTTTCTAGTTTCTGTCAAGTCTTTATAGTGCCAGAGGTTTTTCTCGGGGCTTCGCCGCTCGTGGCTTCGGCCTACAGCCGAAGATGTGTCGGCCTTCGGCAACACCGAAAATTTTCGCCGCACGCGAGAAAAAGCTCTGGTACCCAGGGTAGCACCTCTTTTCCTTGAACAAAGTTCCCATTTCGAGGTTTGGCGTGACAAAATACAGTGATTTGTAAGGAATTGTCAACCCAAGTCTTAAACTCGTTTCTTTGTTTGTTCTTATTGGAATGAAGAGAAAGTATGTTTGCTCGTTGGATGTTCCTGTTTGCCGAGAACGAGAGAGAAATTGCTCTAGTTAGTTAAACTTTTCTTTTTGTCTAGTATTGTGCTATGTCTGCTGCTTGCACCACCACCGAAGTCATTAGAGTTCTCTAAATCGCTAATTATCCTCCCTTTATTGATTTTTAAAACATCCCACTTTCAGTATTACAATGAACCTGCAACAAGCTGCAGTAGCTGTCATTTTCACCTGTTTGCTGCTGTTTCCTGCGCAAGCTTGGTGGCCATTTTCCAGCTCGTCCTCAGAGGAAACTGGTAGCGAACAGGGAAGACATTTGCAAGACAGCCCGGTCCCTTTTGAGATGTCAACGGCCGAGGAAAAGTTCTTGGCGGAAGCAAGAAAATACATGGGAGACCTCAGCCCCTTGGATTCTTGTCATCAGATTGTAAGTATTCAGATGGAAAGATAGAGGATTGGATGGGAGAGAAAATAGTCAATTTATCTTTACAAATTTTCTAAGAAATTTTAAAGGAAGATCTCGAGGATTTATTTGTTCTTTATTAGACTTTCCCAAGCTCTCGGTCAGTGCAGACCGGCCGAAAAAAGAGGGCTAGCTGGGAAAAAAATAGCGAGCGAAAAACGCTGGGAAGAGAGAAGGGGAGAGCCAGTAAGCATCTTTTTAATTACCTCGGTCCTCCTACTTCCACAAAAACCGTTTCTCGTGTCCAGATGGCAAAATCTGTGGTGAAGGAGGGTTTCACACGCTCGCCATGTTTGTTTGGCTTTGCGTGTGCGAAGGCAAGTGATTGACGTAAATGTTGACGGAAACTGCAAAAACTGACCAATCATAGTGTATACCAGGATTTGGGATACCGGAATGAGGTATTGAAAACAATGCTTGCGACTTTTAATTCCCTCTCTCTCCCCGACCCTCGCGTAGCCCTCGCGTGGTTTTTGAAAAACTTTTTTGATCTTCTTTCCTAGTAGTTTGGAGCCTGGAACAGGAGAGTTCTTCATTGCTCCTTGTTTCAGTGTTTTGTTCTGAAAATTGTCCTTTTAAATTTCAGGTCATTAACCGAATCAAGAAATCGTGTGGGGATATCAATGAAGTGGAACTTGCAAAGCTGGGTGTGGCTCTTTTAAACTGTCAATCAAAATCTGAAGGAAGACGGACATACGAGTGCACAGACGAAATGGTTAGTGTTCAAAATTGACGACGAAATGGTCAGAAAGGCGGTCTAAGTAGCGAATCACTCAATCCATCTGTCATTTTTTTGGTCAGTAGGGAACTTATGATCCTACAACGGCGACTCTAATACAAACGTCATACAAAAATAGACTTCGCATCCTTTCATACTTTTTGCGATTATTTTCTCTGATCTGGGGCTGGAGAGAGAGGATCGGGTCGAAAATCGGACAGAGACGGTACATATTTATTACCTTGCCGTTCCCGTTCCATACATGGAAAAGAAATTTACAAACAAGCATGATGCACTTGCAGAGGTTGTTTTTTGCTTCCTAAACCTATCATGTTTTAGACGTTCCCCTTGCTGTCGCTGTCGTAGTTTCGTAAGGTCCCTGTGAGTAGGTGTTTTCTTTATTTATCGGGAGCATGCGAGCACTTAAAGTCGCTTGAGTGATCCAGTTGTTTAATTGGCCGTTGTAATGCTGCGTGTGACACTGGGTCGGTGTTGTGTCCTTGCGTTGAATTCCTAAGGACAATATTTAAGTTCAGACCAATTGGTCAATAATTCACGATTTTTAGCAAAATGGTCACGTGACAAATCACGTGACTGATTAACACAACATTTATACTTTAAAATTTTAAGGACGATGATTTCTTTATGTGCACCAAATTTTGATTCAGTACATCATCTATACCGAAGTTATCATTTTCCACAGGTAAACCCCTTATATTAGTCCCAGGCCTTAAACTACTTGAGTACAATTCGTTGCCGCTGTTGCAGGGAGACGTCGCGAAACGTCCAAAGTTCAAGTTTAACGAAAGACGTGAGCACGAGAAAACAATTTGATGTTCTTTTTCTGAACTCAGATACAGCCTTTCAGAATTCTACTCCAGAAAAATTTGTCAATATTTGACAAACTGAACGAGACAAATTATGAGTAAAGAAGTTTGAAGCGGCACGAATTCACTTTTGTGTCACATTTTCGCTATCGCCGTCGTCGTTGATGCTGAAGCTCCTTCCTACAAACAACTGCTAGAATTATGAGACGGCTGAGGCCGTTTTACACGCGTTCAGTTTATTGTGATTTGAACAATATACCCATACAACATTTCTTTTCAGGAACTGCGTGAATGCACAGCTGATATGGACGCAAACACATGGAACAGTTACCACATCATTAGTAATAGGGCGCGGTCCATTTGTTACGCCACCAGACAGCAACAATTTAGACTCAAGACAGAGTTCACTGTCAATAAACTGGCAAATCAGGCGGAGAATCAGATGCATCTCATGAACCACCTACAGGTCAGCTTGTTTGAAACGGTTAATGATTGTTGTGAGTAGTATGGCGGGGAACAAATTATCCTCTTTCGGAAAAATTCTTAAACGTGCGATAGAACTCAAGAAAGACCTCATCTCAACAAGCATACTTGTTCGCTTGCTTCTGAAGAAGCGGGCGAGGGTATGTTCACGTGAAGTCCGCGAGCATCAAGTTTTTCATGCGTTTTAAGATTCTTAGGCCCGTGTCTTTGAACAAATTCTTGGGCAAATCGTCTCTATAAGAGTAAAAGTACTCAGCAATACAAAAAAGGTAGTGTCAAAAGAGAAAAAGGCTCACTTCCCGCTGACGCACGTAGATCAAAAACGTCACTGCTTATAAACTAAACTATAACTGCACGAGTTTTCTTTTTCAAAACAGGATGGTCAACGAAGGCTGACAGACGTTGCAGAGGATACAGTGATAAGAGTAACCGCTGGCCAAGAACGTCTCGTTAGGCAACAGCAGCAGCTGCAATCTAACTACGAAGATGTCCAGCGGTCGATCTCCTTTAGTTTAAGAGGAAACGTGAGGGCATTAAATCATGAAAAAGTGTTAATAGATAATGGTCGCAGACAGCTGAAGGAGATGGCCAAAACGGTTAAAGAAAAGCTTGGTAAGGATATGTATAATGTCGGGGGGTTTATCTGCCATCTGTATCAAAAACAAAAAGTCTGGATAAGCCCCCTCGAATCCAGCCAATCAGAGCACACCAACGTGCATCGGTTGTCTGCCATGGATGCGTTACGAGGTGCTCGTGATTGGTTGGTTTAGTTACGGATTGGTGGTCTCTGATATCGTTCTCCCCTAGTCAGTCGAAGTTTTGCGTTATGTTTCTGCTTACTGTCAATCTGAGTAGAGATGATTTTTTCAACCTACAGAAAATGCCACCTTGGAAATTAAGAAACAAGACGTGGACAGAAAAGTAAGCCATCGCAAAATCCTTGAAGATCTGAACAGGATTCGCAGTAAAGCAGAAGAAGTGTGGAATAAAATTGGTAAGAATTTTAACCCGGGGAAATTGGTCATTTTGAGGTAGGACTGTGTTTTAAACCCAAATTCTTAGCCAGTTTTCTGCGCAACCTCGTAACATCCAAGAAACGATGGTGTCCCCAAAATATTCCCATGGTTGAATTCGACCCAACTACGGGCCAGTCTTGCGTGTAACCTCAAAACCTGGGGGGATACTCGCTGTGCTGTGCTGCTTCGTTCCTGGGCGCCCGCCTCAACTGTTGAGTAGAAAACGCGACTACGATTGGTCAAGGAGTATCGCGCAATGGAACATGGGAGCGATCAGCGTTGGCGCAAAGGTGTGCACCTTTCTCATGATCCCTTGCCCAGAACCAAGTCGCCCCAACCGCTCTCGATCACGAATCCGCTAGAATGCACCTGGGTACGAGGCAGCTCCCTGAGTTAGCCAGCGCGGGAAGGCTCTGTCCGAAAGCGGTACCATTTTCAGGCTTTGGATATACAAGAGCAGAGAAAAGGGATTTCTTGAGTTGAAATATATGAAAAAAAAAACAAAATTAGTAATTTGGGTATTCAAAATGGCCTACCTAAAGTATTTCGAACAGAGGTACCTTATGGTTGTATCAATTTAATTTTTTAAAGGCCCCATTAAGTGGCAAGAAGACTTGCTGTAGGGGGTATGTGGACGGCGTATCATTTTTCAATGGAGGTATAAGAAAGGGCTACATATACAAGGGCAAGACGTTGGACCTCGAGGCGGAGCGCTCCCACATATAAAAACGTTGCTGAGTAGAAATACCCCCCCCCCCTCCCCTGTGCTTCAAAATGGCTAATAGCTAAAGTTAAAATACTCTTTACCACCCATGTCGCTGAACTACGTGGACAATGATTTCCCACTGAATATCTTTCTCTTTAGACCATAGTACTCTGCAGATGATGTCGTATCACAGCGAAACGACGCAACATTACAACGAGACGATGCAAAACTTGAAAATCATCAACGAAACTATTGTCTACTTACTCAAGGTATTTTGGGGTCTGAAATTTTACGAGTGCCTTTTGAATTGCTTCCACTACTGACAATTAAAAGTGGAATAAATTCTTTTATCAGGTAACGAATCAAATGCAGGAAAAGATCGACGACAGACTTTCGTGGTTGACACAACACCTAGGAGGGACTGGTGACAAACTAGCGATTATCACCACGTGCCTATTGCATGCTGGATATTTCCTTTTAGCGACCCTTTGCATTTTGTTCCTGAATGCTCCTCTTTTCACGAGACTTGTTCTTCTCATACTGGTGCCTATCAACGCCTGGAGCGAAATTAAATTTCGTTCCAGTTTATCGTACGGTTCGCTTTCGTGTCTTCTTACATTGGCATTAATTGGTAAGTACTTTTTCGTTCCATCAGTAGCGTCAGTCAAGCTGTCCAAGGAATTTTTCATGTCTTCGATTTTCCGCTCTTCTGAGGGTACGCGGCGTCAGGGTTGCGGCGATATCCAATTTTCCCTCCCCTTTGCAGCGATTACAAATTTCTCTGCCCTTGCCGCCAATCAGGACCGGGACTCCCATTTACCACGTTCGGCCTTAATTGAGAAATCTTATTCGTTTAAAAAGTTACATCACTTTGCAGTGTCCTACTAACGCTAATGAAACTGCAAATTGTTTTTTTCTATTTAGGAAACTGGTTGTTTTTTTACATCAGGAGGAAATATTCTCAGTTCCATGAAAACCTTCTTTGTGCACCCAAGTCTTCACCTCTTGCGTTGAACGTAGAGTCTTTTGTCAGCCGATGGTCACGTGACAAGACTCCAAGTGACAAAGGGAATGAATCGGATGTGACAAGTACGTTTTACTGTTTCCTTACGCTCTGGCACATATTCCTCTCATTGCACTCGCGTACGTGTTCAAAAACAAACGCGCGCACCGCGTTCAAGTCTTAAGTTCGTTCGAGTCTACATTATGGACATTTTTTTCAGTTTAGACCATTTTTTTTAATTAACGAAACCTATCATTTTTTCTTAGTTTAAAATCTCGCTCTTTCCTCTTATCATTAATTATCGTGTAATTCGGTACCGTTTGGAACCCCCCTTGCATAATAAACCTTAAAGACTGGTCCCGAGGGAAACAGTTAATATTGTTTACCGAGAATCTCAGGGCCTGTTTATATGAAGGTGGGGTACCCTAGCAAGGTGAGGTAACTCGCCTAGGTGGGGTAACCCCGCCTGTCCATATAAACTCTCATTTTCACTTGACCATGTTTACATGATAGGTGGGGTGACCCGCCACATGTTACCTCACCTATCTGGGGTCCCCCACTTCCATGTGAACAGGCCCTCGATGTTTCCCGAGGCGGAGCTGAGGGAAACTTTGAGATTCAAACAAAATTTACTGTTTCCTGAGGGACCAGTCTTTAAGTGATTCGTTATCTGGCTGGAAATTCATTAAACCTCGCTGTAACAGCGGTCGTCGGTCAACATTCGCGGGTAATAGTGCACTGTTACCCTCTGACGTCATAGATTTTGCAATGATGCCCGCTCAGATGTTTTGGTGCCAACAGTTTCATTGTTAGATGTCACGTGACCTCGAAGTAACCAATGAGAGCGCGCGCTGAGGGAAAAAATTTCCAGCTATATAACAATCCATGTTATAACATCCAATGGATTGAACACCATGCTAGTAATGCGCGACAATTCACTTTCATTTCTTTTTGTTTAGGTATTTTGGAAGACTCGGCCATCCCGACATCTTGTGTTGGTCCTGTAGGAGATACCAAACGCCAGTTAGATCTTTCGATCCCAGAAGCGACCTCGACCCCAAGCAAGGTCAGCACACCGCGCAGGCGCTGTGGCGCTCTCACACGGACAGGATCCGCCTGTAAAAATGTGATATCAAAGGGCAGTTTAAAATGCCGCAGGCATTCCAGGATGGAATCAAGCTTTATCCCGGATGAATGCTAGCAACTGGAAAGACGGCAAAGCAACAATTGCAAAAATATTGTATAAAGTTCACAGTTATGGAAAAACATTTTACGAAACATTTAGTTTTAATTCTTGAAAAAGCGTTAAATATTTATGCAGAAATGTTACTATCGATCAGAGAATGACTATTTTCAAGTCGAGCAATTCACGTCACGCTCATTCATGGTGCGCTCGATATTTCATATTTCATCTTGGACACAACATAACAATGTTCCTGTACCAAAAAGTATGGAAACAGTTCAGGAAAATCGATCTTGACAAAACACAACTTGCGCATTGTTCTCCAATAATACTGCACATTTTCATCGAAGGACATTTTCATATCAGTCTTCAGAGTATTATTGCTGTTTCTCTCTGATTTGAACAAATTGAAGTTCCTTACGTTCCGGAACAAGAAAACATTTCAAAATCAGAAAAATCAACTTGCAACTGTAAAAAGAAGAAAACTGAATCGAAACAAAAACCTTTTGTCGCAAGAGTACTACGAATCAAACCGTGATTTCCTTGCGAGAATCGCGCGACTTGATCTTAGCCCACGTGGTTTTAATATATTTCAGAAAGACATTATAACCCTGTAAGTTTATCTCGTATTTTTAATAAAGTATTGCATATAATATTCGTCTTACCTATGTTATGTTCCATTCGAATTATTTTGTTTCATTATCCCTGAAAAGCTCCAGAGGGGGAGAGGATAGTTGAGTTCTGATCATTTCTAAAGCCCCGTGCAAAGGGACGCAACATTGTTGGATGTTACATCTTGCGTCCGTTTGCACACCCTGTTGCACGTTGTGTCGAGTTGTCGGGAGTTGTTGCGCAAAATTTGAAACCGGTCAAACTTATGAGCCAACAAATCCCAACATTTCTTTTGTTCCGTGATCGCCGAAGCGTAGCGCAACAATGTTGAAGTCTTGTGGGTCGTATCTTTCCGACGATGAACTGCAGGTGCGTCAACATTGTTCGAGTTGTTGCATCCATTTGCACACCACTGCCAACACGGACACAACAACTCCCAACATCGTTGGCCCAACAATAGGTTGGGAGTTGATGCGTCCGATTGCACGTGGCCTTTAAGGGTTGTCACGCAATCCTTTACCACGTAAAGATTACGTGACGAACAAAGAACGTTAACACAAGAGGCTAAAACAAATGCACAGCTACCATGGGTATCAGAGCTGTTGTTTTCGTGTGCAGCGGCATACTTCGGTGTCGGCCGCAGGCCCACCGATCTTCGGCAAAACCGGAAGTCTCTGACACCCATGGTAATGCAATGACCCAAAGTGCCCAGCCTAACACACCACAGGATCAGAAAATAGTAAGCCTAGGTATAAAAGGGATTATCACAGCACTATGTACTCAATCCCTTAAGTACAGTGAAATCTTCAAGCTGAACTCTGTAAGTATTAAATTATTTAGCCTGCAAAACTTGCGATATTTTAACAAAAGCTCGAAGGTGTGCATATTGACCGCGGCCGTCATCTTGGAATCACTCGCCGGCCCTAAATCTTGTTGGTTGCATTGGTACCCATTGCTATCATCGTTCGCACTGCAAAACACTGAAAATACGCCTGCTATGCACGCTATAAATTATTAAAGAAATGCATTTTATTTGTTATCGTGATAGAAATATTGTTCATAACATTGTTACATTTGAAGAATGTAAAAATTGTTGTTAACTACCTAGTACGATAATAATTTAGACTACGAGTAGTCCCCCATTTCTCCTCAGGGATAGTAGAACGAGCGAAACGCGAGCGCGCGTGAAAATCACCCCACGCGAGAAAAGGCGACACGCGGCGGGGAGACAGACATTTTTCTCTCTCCCCGCCGCGTGTCGCCTTTTCTCGCGTGGGGTGATTTTCTCGCGCGCTCGCGTTTCGCTCGCTCTACTATCCCTGAGGAAAAATGGGGGACTACTCGTAGTCTAATAATAATTAGTATCACTCGACCACTCATTTATAAACTTAAATTACGCAGTTATCTATTTTATTTCTAAATTTTTTTCAATACAAATCAACCCTCGAAGCCATTCCAGGCAAAAACGTACCTAAACATAAACCTACTACAAATTCACGCTAGCTACAAATATATAACTTAATTTCATAAAACTTTTCACATAGTTTTGTTCCCAAACCGCTGGTCGCTTATGTGAAAGTCGAACGAAATAGAATTCTTAAGCCGGAACCCAACAACTAACGCCTTAAAAAAATTAAGGTGAATAAATGGCATGTAGAGTGGTTTCCAATTTGCTTTAAGGTACGGGAAAAACGGGCAACAAAAAACATGCAACTGGTCTTGCAACATCGCTGAAAAAGGAGTTGAATAGCGATGTTGTGCGTTTTATCACCCACATCAAACCTCTCTTGCAACAAATCAGGTTGCTACTTGAGTGTTTTCACATGACGTCACGGCGGCCATATTGGTGTCCCAAAACAATGAAACGGCGGCCATGTTGGTGTCCCAAACCAGTCCTGTGGGAGTTGAACTCCTTTCTTATGCAAACGCTTTCTTTTGTTCCAATAAATTTGCATAGATACTGGCCACCTGAGTGAAAACACTCTATAGGTTAAAAACGTGGGAGGTAAAACGTGCAACATCGCTTTTCAACACACTTAGCAGCAATGTTGCAAAGCAAGTTGTACGTTTTGCATTGTTGCCCGTTTTACCGAAGCTTTAGTTATCTAGTGTTGTGATTAACAGAAAAAAGCCCACTCGTGCCACTTTATCCACAAACCAATCAGAGGTCAAACAAAACCAATCATGACCTGCTTCCTGCTTTCATTGGCTACACAAAATTTCTCCCTTCGACGCGGCCGTATCATGTTAGGCAAATTCACACTATGCCGCATGGGTCTTGCGTCAGCACGAAAACCATACCGGAGAGAGAATAGGGCCATTTATACGAGGAAAAATAAGACGCGTCTGAAATAAGACGCGAACTGTACCATTTATACGAGCATGTCTTATCTAATAAGACGCGTCTTAGCTAAGCTGCGTCTTATTTTAGACGAAATGTGCCGTTTATACGGAAGGTTCGCGTCTTACTTTTCCTCGTATAAATGGTCCTATTGGGTTCACACACAAGAACGGTGATTTCGGCGCGATTTCTAGAACGGAGCGAAGCTGTGTCGCGCCAATCTCGAAAGTGGAGCCTCACATATCGGATAAGTTCTGTGCCACACTTTGGTGCAATGTGAACAGGTATTCGCACTGTAGCGGAAGTGAATAAGTAGGAGCGAGGAGGACTGGTACCCACGGAGACGGAAGTAAATATTCAGGAGTGGTGACTGGGATTTACTTCACTAACCCCTCTCAGCCAACCGCTCGGGCACGATGTTCGACTGAATGTGTATAAAAGACTTGTTCCAGTTCTGTGCCGCTGCTGTTTATACTATACTATACCGGATTTCGGTGATGTCCTTCCTGACATTAGCTTCTGGAAGAGGACCGCACTTGGTTGGGCTGCCTTTGGTAAAGTGGGTAACATCATGAGAGGCTGCAAGGGAAGCAGGAACATACAGAGGAAGATACCCGACGAGTACATTCTACCAGTAATGACATATGGCTGCGAGACATGGGCGCTGAACAACGCTATGATGGAAAAGCGTGCGGTCGCACAGCGCAAGATGGAACGCATAATGCCAGGCATTACCCTTCGAGATCGAAAGCGAAAAACCTGGATCCGACAAGAAACTGGCGTAAGCGATATCACGAACACTATCAGGAAAGTAAAGCATAGATGAGCAGCTCACATCGTACGGCTATATGATAACCGCTGGACCCATCAGAGCAAAAGAGTGAATCCCAAGATTTTGGACCAGAAAACAGGGTCGTCCAAAAACGAGATGAAGAGACGATCTTACCAGACAGTTTGGACCTTTATGGTCAAGACTAGCCAAGCACAGACACCTGTGGGATCAATCCAAGGAGGGGTTCCTCTGTCAAGAGTGAATACAAACCCCGATGATGATGATGATGATAACGATGATACTGGATAGGACTTCTTGTCGACACAAAAACCTATCCGGTATAATGTGAAAACCGCCTTTGTGTCAAGGGGATTTTTTGATTTTCTTGGTTAAAAATAGGTAAGATTGCCTTACAGTAGCGTTCTGGTACATGAACTGACTAGTTTCCAAGCTTAAGAACATTCAACAGGGCCCTTCCTACTTTGAAACAACAAACTCCAAGAGTTTTTGAGGGAACAAATAGCAAAATTCCAAAATTTTTCTCCTAATGAAAAATTCAACAGCTTATTAAATATTCAACCAAAACAATTATTAAATTTCATCGGCTCTCCAGATACAGGAAGAAATAAATATTTCTTTTTTTTTCGCATTGTTGAATAAAATTTCCAAGTCTTAATAAAATGAGGAAACACTTTCCTTAATTTATGTTTTTGAATGAACTGTAAAAGAACGGCCTTTGAGTGGGGAAAATCTTAAAGATAATTTTCTGTAGCTAAGTTTTACGCCACGACCACACGAATTCGAACATTTTAGAAACCGTATATATTATTTACACGGGTTCGTGTTGACGGAGCCTTAGATATCACTCTGTAGAGCCGTTTCAAAAAGATGCAGTTTCGGTGAGAAGATTCACCAGCCAGAGATAAGCAACAACGACGGCTACGGTTACGAAAACGTCACCTATAAAGCGAATTCGCGCTGCCTCAAACTTTATCACTATTATTCCATCTCGTTTAATTCGTCAAGTGCGGGCAAAGTTGATTCTAAAGGACTGTCCCGTCAAAGTTCAGGAAAAGAAAAAGAAAGTTGCTGTCACGTGTTCCCGTCCTCGAGAAAACGTGAAATTCGCATGACTTTCACGTTGTAGTGGTGCAACGACGGCTAAGAAAAGTACAAAAATGCGTGATGCACGTGCAAAGTTGTTGTTTTTTGCTAATATAAACCTATTACTTTTTTGCCGTAGCAGTCGTCGTTGCTTAAGCCCCCTGACTGGTTTCGTGTGGACGGAAAGTCGATTCGTATACGGGAACCCAGTCTTTTTCCGATGGCAGACCAGGAAAATATACCTGTTGCGAACGGGATTATGGGTTACCGTTTATGGAAGCGGCAAGCGGAAAATCATTAACTGTAGCTCTAGTGAGTTCACCTTGAAGATAAAAAGCATCTTCACAGTTTCTTGCAAACACCACAACGCAAGCCTTGTGATGAAATTCTACCGATCGCTCTCCATCCGCTAAGAGAATTACTCTTCCTTTCGCTTGACGGTTAAGACGGTCAATGGCTTCGAGTAGAAGTTTGATGTTTGTGGACAAAACGTTGGTGACGTACGAGATAGGATAGCCTAGGGCCGCCATATGAGGAGCAATCAATAAAAGATTTGTCGAGGACGAAATTTTAAGATTCACATCAATAACAAAACAACCTTGATCGTTGACTAACATTTCGACACCCGTGAATCCAAAATAGCCGTTCCGATGAAGGTACTGCGTGACGGGTGACACCACGTCACGCAACTGTTCTTTCAGCTCCGTCTGCTCGTTCCAATTTACGTCCGGCTTTGGGACGAAACCCGAAGGTCGCTTGGCAAACGGCATGTTTGACTTACATTTCACTCCCAGCCAGTGAACTTGTCCATCTTGAAACAAATACAATTGAACAATTAAACACTTGGAAATGTTCTCTATAACCTCCGTCACAACAAGTTCCGCATCACAGAAGTGCCTACTGAGCTCGTCAAAAGCTTTTTTTGCTTCACTCTCTGTTCTCACGAGAAACGTTCCGCGCTTTGCTTTTCCTTGAGTTGCTTTTATCATACAAGGGAGGGTGTAGTTATCACGTGACATGTATCGGGGGCACGGTGCACCCATTTCAGGGATTCGCGCCTTGGAGCTGAGCTTGTAGTGAATGTCGGGATGGACGGCATGCTTTTTGGCGGGAAAACTTTGAAACGGAAAGTTCACAATTAAAGGTTTGTCCCCAGTGTCTTCTTGGTTGAAAATTCTTATGTCGGGTGTAGGAAAAAACGGAAGCCACTTTGACCAATGCTAGAAAAAGAAAAAGCAGAAAGAGATAAAGACAAGCAGACTTACAGGGAAGTACCTTTCGCAGTCCCAGAAGACAGCCTTCTCCCCTCGCCCCCTCCCCCATCGTTTTCTGTTTCGACCTGTCTGCAGCATTCGCGCCGCTCTAAATCTTACTTTGGGAACGACGACTTCGACGCCATCTTGACGAGTAGGCAAACATGTGAGAAATTATAGTGTTTGTATGAGAATCTAATGTCGAATGATTTCCATAAAACGGCTGTTCTGAAAAAAATATGACTTGTAAACTAAAGCTACAAAACAAAGGATTGTACTTAAAACTTTTTGGGGGCGTACTTGTACTTAAATTTCTCCAGAGGCTTGCTTTAGATTTTCCATATATTTGTCTCTAATTTTTCCCGAGACTTCCTTACAGACAAATGTCGACAAATGTATAGAAAATTTTAAAAAGTGGTTCTAAGTCTTCTAGCGCATCTAACGCCCTCAATTTTTTCCAGTAGATTCCTTAGGGGTGAAGCTTTAGTTTACAATTCATATTTTTTTCAGAACCGCCATTCTACGGAAATTATTCAACATCAGATTCTCATACAAACACTGTAATTTCTCAAGCGTTTGCCTACTCGTCAAGATTGCATCGAAAACCGTGACAAGGTCTATTCTTGACCAATAGCCTATTTTACAGTTACAGGTGCAAACGAGGCTGGAGTTGACCTTGTTTTGATAAGACCCTTCCTGCTTTATTGTGTAAATCATGTTGTCGTTATGCTAACTATTATTTTTTCAGCAAAATTTCCATAAGCAAAGAAAGAGGTTTGTATCAAAACAAGGTCAACCTCAGCCTCACGTTCACTCAAAGGCTAGGATACTACGCCCACAACTGTAAAATGGTCTATATTTGTATAGCTGCTGGAAACGCGACTGAAAACGCTCTATAGAATCGATATGAAAAAAGCCGTCACTGCACATTTTTCCGCTGGAACTTTTTGTTTTTGATCTGAAAACAACAACAAATTCCAGCAGGTAAATTAACTTTAACGACGGCTAAACGCGAAGGTCCAAAAAAAGGAACATGCGCAAAAATCTGGCTCAGTGGTTGGAGAATGTAAATTGACACCACGTGATTACGACCACGTGATTTTTGAACTGTCCTCTATTTTCTTCCTGTTTTGTGGGAAAATGAAAAGTGAGCTTCCATTGAACTAATCGCAACAAGGTAATGTAAAGCCTCATGTATTCTTATAACTATTCACCACATAAATTCTCAAGAAAATTTACATGGGCTAAAGTGTTCTCCAACACATACAGTTACCTACAAAAGAGATCATTTGAACAGTCCTTCTGAACAGTAAATTAAAAGTGTGTGAACACACAAATGAACAACGAAAGTCAAACAAATGCGTCAGTTTTAAGGCAGCTATAACACAAACTTTTTCACCAGGTGTAAAAATGTGCTCTAGCCTTTGAGCGTGATTAGTTTTTGATCACCAGACATGAGACTCGTACCTAAGGACCTGTTTATTTATGAGCACAAAAGTTACCCTTGGTAAAACTATCACTTGCCTACCCATAAGCTACCCTGGGCGAGCCAACTTTTCGTACACTTCCTTATAAAACAAGGCAAACCGTAAACCACCTTTTTTGATGGTAGGGTCACCCTCCTAGGCCAGGCCAACTTTTCTCCATATACAGGGCTCGAAATTGCGACTCACTGGTCGCCAATGCGACCAAAAATTGAGCACTGGCGACTAAATTTTCAGAACTGGTCGCCAGCTGGCGACTCGCGTTTTGTCCGATGACTAAAGAAAACCACGACACAACTTTTGTTTTTAAATCTTTATATTTGGAAATCAATCGGATATGGTAGCTAGTATACAACTCACCTTTCCGTCCCCAGTAAAATAATGTCTGAATATTACAAGATAATCGACACGTCGATACTGCGTTCAGGGCGCGCCATATTGTTTCAGCGGCTTCTTCCGAAACTGGGATCGCAGGCGCACTTCAACAACAAAAATGGTGGCAGATACGGTGTCTCCGTAACTCCCGCAACATTTTAGGTTTTATTTTCCTAAAACGTTCTGTCTAAAAGGAAACGAAGACCCAAAACTGCACTAAGCCCATTTTTGTTTCCTCCCGGTCGGAGACTGGTACGAGCAATGTGGTTGCGTAGAGGCCTGGGCCAAGCATGGCGTTGTTTGTCGGCAGCGAAAGGCGTTGAGGAAAGCAAGTCGAAAATAAAGAACGGCATTTCGTAGAAGTAGCAAAGGGCAAATACACAAGGACCCGTGTTTGTCTCAGAATGAAAACCACGGACTTAAAACGTTTTATGCTTCGCTTCATTTAAAATGACTATGGAGACAACCATCACCTTCGGACCAGAGACATATCACCTGAGAACAACGGTAGCTTTATAACTAAGTGTTACTCGTGTTGTTTCTAATTGTTTTCGCTCTTCAGTTGTGACTTTTCTTGCATGCAAAGTAACGTATAAAATCGTGTTCTTGTGTAAGTTATATATAAAATAAGTTGGCGACCAAAATTTACGATCTGGCGACCAAAATTTTTCCGTTAGTCGCCAGCTGGCTCCCGAACAAAAAAGTTAATTTCGAGCCCTGATATAAACACTTTTGCTCAGTCAGTGAGACAATCACAGCATTCGCTAGCCCTGTTTGAGATAGTCAGAGCATGCATCAGAGCTGCTGGCTCAGGCACATGGGTCATCTTAATTCTCAAAACACGCTAAACTTGACTCGCCTGGGAGGGCGACCCTGCTTTCATTCCCTGAACAACTTTTCTTTATGACGCAGCCTGACAACAGGACACTACTTTCCGATCCAAGCGTGGTTATAGAAGGCAAGAGGTCTCAACAAACTTGGAATTTTTCTCCAGGCATCTCTCTCTTAGCCTGCATAGCTAGCAGGATGCAGGCAAGAGCTGCAATTTTTTGGCAGTGGAGCCTTGTGACGTCGCCACTTGCTTTGTGTGGCTACTCCACCGCCAAGAAAGTATCCCAGGCACAACAATCACATCAGCTAACTCTCTCTAAGATTGGTAGGATTATCAATAATATTTTTATGTAGTAAACAAAATAAAGCTCACCTCTCTTATAAGTGGGTTTATGTCCCGAGTAACCAAAATGGGGAACTTGCTTCCTGCCACAGGGCAGGCTCTCATGGCCTTTAGGTGCCTGCTGTCACTCGTGATATCTGGTGAGTAGTCATGAATGACATATTTCTTGTCATTGATGAAGGTTGCTTTGTGGTTGAATGTCGATGGTCTCTCAGTGAAGATGTATGCTTGAGGTAAGTCTTGGGACAGTAGCCAGCTTAGGGTGACAACATTGTTGTTTGTCATTGCTGGCCATGAAAACGTTGCAAATTAAGGCTGAAAAGCAAAAAGGAAAATAGAGCAAAGGTAAACATAAAAATCTGAGCTTCAAAATGCATGCCAAAAAACAGAAATAAATTGGAGTTCTCATACACTTTTGTAAAGTTTTAAGACTGTGGAACTTCAATGTTTGACCACCTCTCATAAGTGGCCAACTCCTATAACTAACCACCAACCCCCAAAAACAAAATTGTCCCAGTCAAATCTTAATTAGAACCTCACATAAATGACCACCTCTTGTAATAACCACCTCTCATCAGCGACCATGCACAACCACTTTTTGTGCTGCAGATGGTTTATATTATATAAACGCCAATGAAATACCAGGTGAGCTTTCACACGAAAACTTGATATCTTCACATGTGAAAATATCACCTTTGCTCTATTGGCTACATAATAAATCGCGCCCTTCACACCAAAAGCTATTAAAGTGAAATGGTTTGATATTTCATTGATGTTTATATAATAAACAGAACATTACATGGCCGCTTGGAGATACAAAATTCTCTTCTTGTGTTGAAAAAATATTTCATCACTCGAAGAGAAATTTCATATCTCTGTGCGGCCATGTTACATTAATATCCTCTATTCATTATATAAACACCAACGAAACAGAATATATATAGCTGATTCAATAAAGGTTGCCTTACAGGGCATCGGGAAGCTATTGTTGGGTTCTCACTTAAGTAAATCATTGCATTGTTCCATATGCCCGAAAGACCAATTTATTACCAAAGCAACCTTTTTGGATTTAGCTGTATGGCAGGTGAGCTTTTGCACGAAAACATGATATCTTCACATTTGAAAGTTTCGTGTTATTTTCACATGTGAAAAGATCACTGTTGCTACTGCTACATAATAAATCGCACCTTTCACAGCAAAAAGCTGTTAAAGTGAAATGGTTTGGTATTTCATTGGTGTTTTTATAATAAATAGAACATATTACATGAGCATGTGGAGATGCAAAATTTCACTTCTCATGTTAAAAAATATTTCAAGAGTGAGCGCATGCAGCCATGTAACATCCTCTGTTTACTCAATATATTCCTATTCCAGAATAAAGCCAACTGAGCACACCCATATTATTTTCCCAAGAATCTTATAGATGCTACTTTAAGGTTTTAGAGAATGCGAGATTTTAAACTGAAAATTATAAATATATCAAATAGATGATGTGGTTCAACTACAGGCAATTCAAAACAAAAAAGAAATTAAAAACCTTAAGCGTAAGGATCGGGAATCATTAAGAATTTTTCAGCCTTTCTCAAGTCATAGAAATTTCTAGGGAATAGATGTTCTTTTGAACAGAATGTTACACAGTCCTTTGGGTTCCCTGTGTAGATGATAGAGTAAGCTGTACAGTAAAAACCCGCAACTAAGAACCTACATTTTTAGGAGTTAGCCTAAACAGGTTCTTATATAAATGGCAGCTAACAGAATTTTAGGCTATTTAGGTTCTTAAAATGGGTTCTTAATCCTGGAGAAAAAGTAGTTGGTATGCTTTGTAAGTCTACATATCTTGCACTCATTTTTCTTTAAAAAACATTTTTACAACGATGCCAATCTGCTTTTTTTGCTTCAAATGTGATTCTTGCAATGCAGCTGTAATGTACTAGTATGATTTTAGAAAATAAGAACCTGTTTTAAATTTCTTAGGCTAAATAGGTTCTTGTTTATAGGGGGTATAAATGACCAATTTTAGGCTAACAGGTTCTTAATTTTTAGGTTCTTAGGGTGCGTTCGATTGGGAAATGCGGATTTAGATTTTCAAAATCCGGATTTCGGATTTCCAATTGAACGCGAAATCCGAAACGGATTTCAACGCTGAGATATCTGTTTTTGGATTTTCATTTTTACCGTTCGATTGGGAAATCTGCAAAAGGATTTGAGAAACTGTTTTTAAGAACAGCGGTCTTACATGCGCACGCATAATTAGCAAAAAGAAGACTGCTGTTCACGAGAACAGTTTTGCAAATCCTTTTTCGGATTTGCCAATCGAACGGTAAAGAGGAAATCCAAAAAATCCGGATTTGGATTTCTTAATTAAAATCCACCCTGAGGACGGATTTCTCGGAGGAGAAAAAAAGTTTTCGGATTTCGCATTCGATTGGGAAATCTGAATTTAGATTTTGAAAATCTAAATCTGGATTTCCCAATTGAACGCACCCTTAGTTGTAGGTTTTTACTGTAAATTGGGATTGAAGATTGTTTTCAAAGGACCTAAAAATACTTATTTTCATATTAAATTTGAAATATGCAATAAATAACAGGTGCCTTTAAAAACAATCTGTTATCTTTAACCACCCACTAAAGCCACATGGCCATCATTCATCTCAAGTAACCAATAGCAGCACTATGAACTAGAAGTTCCCGTTTAGATTGAGAGGCAATACAAACAATCAATCTACAGTGAAGAATAATTTTGACAATTTTTTTAAATGACCAATATTTTCCTTGAATTTTCGATCATCCTGTGGGAAAGAACTGCTCAGACGTGCTTTCAGGGGCTTTCACTACCGTTTCATTAGAATTTTGGGATTTCTCAGGGGGAACACAATGTGATAAACTTGTGTTGATTTATTAAAAACAACACCCACTGAGGAAAATATAAACTAGAACATACTGAATGTCTAGCTTTGATAATTCCAATTTTTGTATGATTTAGAGGGGGTTTAAGGGGTCACTAGAGAGGAAATTTTGAAACAGGCTTGCTGGTTACAAACATCTTGTGCTAAATACTGTATACAAGTAGCGTTTTTTTACAGCGAAACGTCATGCCTTGTCTCGGCTGACATCAACGTCACGCAACCGACATTGTAATCTCGATGAGCGGAATTAATGCAGTATTCGAGAAAATTCCCCTCTTATCACAATTTACTTGTTACGTGCTTAAAGTAACTACTTATGGGAACTGCTGCAAGTTCACGAAAAATTAAATCATAAATAAACATTGTGTGATGGGTGTTTACTGCCCAACGCAAACAGTGGTTAAGTTTAGTCTTCATGATCACTCACTAAAGAGGATAATGATCTGTAAACGTACGATCGAAAATTGGGTCCAAATGAAACAGGTTAATAACAAAAAAAAACACACGGGACTGAACTGTATTTCAATAAATTATTAGAAGGATTTGTAGTGTTTCAATATAAAGAATCGATTGTGCATACAAAATACAACGAACTCGAGCGGAGTAAAACGTGCCCTTATTTGTTAACTCACTTCTTAAAACGAATTACTTGACCTGTGGCAAATTTATAACAACTGTATTTGGTTTTCCGATCGTGCTAGATCACGTACGAAAAGTGCAATTAAGACACCTAAAATGCAAGGATATTAACGAACGGCCAGCCCGCAAATTATTAAAGCTTATAGAAGCAGAATTTTGATAAGTCTTTTGTTGAGCACATGGATTCGCCCAAAGGTTGTATGGTGAACTTGTTGAAACCATCGACTACATCGTGGATCAGAGGACTTTCGGACCTTCCTTGACCTGGTGATCAAAGCTTCGAAATGATAAAGGATCGAGGTTCGATCGAACTTTTGTTCGGTGTTTCGACAGTCTGGATTCGCATATTAGTGACCGATCTTCAGTTTAAATATTAAAGAATATATTGGCTTTACTTACAAATCGAGTGTCCTATGCCTTGTTTACCACAGGCCTTCGTCAAGATTTTAACCGCTCTGTTTCATGTTTGCATGCTATCGGACGAAAACAACCCCTCGCTCGTCAAACGACCTGTGACGAAATCGGTATGTGCTAAACGCGTGCGTGAAGTCAAGTGATGGTGCGTTACAAAAAGACTCCCAGCACCCGGAAGAGTGGATAGGGGGGGTGTCTCTCGTTTGAAAGGGACGGGGGGACGAAAATGCTCGTGAGAAGATTAAAACGAAAAACTCCTGAAGGATACCAATATGGATAAAAAGAGAAGAATTAACAGCAAACTGGTCGTCCTCCAGGCAAAGTAACCTCGTTCCCAGGTTCTCTCTACTACCCGTCCTAAGTGTTTTGTAGTTTGGGGCCGTAGATGTAGATCTTATAGATCCGATCATCCTCGGAGACCCAGGGGCAGCTAGTCGGGTCGATAAAATGTTCGTGGTGAAAGTTTACTGCTCGATCGTACAGTAAACTTTCACCACGAACATTTTATCGACCCGACTAACTGCCCCTGGGTCTCTGAGGATGAGATCCGATATACTGTACACACGAAGAACTCGTTCCTCTGATGATCACAATGAGGTAAACCCATACCGTAAACGTCTGCTCTTTAGCCCCCCCCCCACCCCCCTCGCTCCAATTATAGTCCAATCTAGCTGTAAACAACAACCAAAAAAACGTCCATTTATAAACCCCCCCCGATATAAGACCCCCGGGGACTCCCATATAAAAGTGGCGGGGATGCTCGACGGAAAATTCAAATTAACTCCAAAGCGAGACGACGAGCATCCCCGTCACTTTTTTTTATACAAGACTGCACCCCCGGGTATAAGGCCCTGCAGGCTCCAATTTACCCTGCGAGCAGAGGCTACATTTTCGCGGTATGAGCTGGCGTGCGAAAAGTAGCCTCTGCCGACAACCGTTCAAATCCGTCCAGAAATCTGGACGAATAAATTAAAAAAAACGGGTTTTTTCTTGTTCTTGACCGGTTTAGAGCATTGCGTGAGTCTTGCGTCAGCGAATGAACGCTGACCATTACTGCGCCTTCATGCATTCCTTCGCGCCAAATTCTCGCATACGAACGCGGATCAACGTAGCTCGAACGTAGCAACAGGAAAAGTTCAAAACAACTTCAAACATCCCTGTTTATGTGTTTAAAAGAGCGTCATCAACAACTTGAATAAGCTCTGTATTTTAAAGCTGTCGGAATACCAAAACAAGCTGCTGCCGGTGCTTCTTACGGGACCGTGTAAAGATCGTTAATTTATCATTATGGTAGTTCTTGTTTGCCAGGAAAAGAAAATGGATACTGCGGTGATTTTTGTTGTGTCGCCTCTCAATGCAAGGCTAAATGCACTGTTTTAAGACACAAATGGGAACCGGAATGTTCAAAAGAATCATCGATCAGTTTTCTTTTGGTGGAAAAAGTAGAAAAAAAGCTTTTGGCTGAACACTGATTCGCCCTCAAGGACTTCAACCTGTTTGATTTCTTCACGGTGGAAAGCTTCTCCTGTTCTGAAAAGAAACCAAGGCGGCAAAGTTTTTAAAGAATTTTCAGGTACAACTTGCACATCAATGGTCATGGAAGTTCCGTTTTTAAATGGAAATTTAAGTATTTATAGTTGTTTCATAGATGTTTTATACGACTTGAGACGGATTTTGGCGTTGACATTTGATGTCTTCGGCAGCTTTTACTTGCGTGAAACGATCCACAATCCAGTTAGTATTACGCGAATTGCTTTTAAGGATAAAATTATGGGTTGTCGAATACAATTTTTCGATAAATAATCTTTTTGACTACTGTTTTGTCTATGTTCATTCATAACATTAGTTTAAAACACAATCGTGAGACTACAGGATCCAGTTTATTTCAAACATCACTTCTGCGTAGCGTTGTCGGCGAATTTCATTTTTCACTTTGAGCTCAACTATAAGTAGGTAATATTAAAGCCGGAAAAATGTGCTTCTCGCAAAACAGACAGAACTTACTACAGTTGATAGCATAAAAATACTTTCCTAAAAAAGACGATCCGTGGAAATTTTGCGGCTAAAATAGTTAAAACCAGAAGGGGCGAAGCAGAAAAACAAAACAGAAGCTCGAGGAGAGTAGTTCGCAGGTAGTTTTCCCGCGAAACTCACGCAGATTTGACGAACCAGTTGCTTGCGAATCGCGTGACGAATTTTGCGCATGCACGATAGAAAATTGAACGGTTGTCGGCAGAGGCTACTTTTCGCACGCCAGCTCACACAGCGAAAATGTAGCCTCTGCTCGCAGGGTAGCTCCAATTATAACCCCTCCTCCGAATTCGATTTATCATAACGTTTTGAAGCTTCATTAAAAACCAGTAAATGCGAGTCATATTTTGATCAGCACTGCTACAGTTCCGGTTTCGACGTGCTTTATCTATTCCGGTTATAGTTCCCCCTGGGATATTAGCTCCTCCGTTTTCTATAAATTGAAACCACTAGTAATACAAGTCCAGGGCTTTAGTAAGCGGTCCAGTGGCAGACGTAAAAACATTCCTCCAAAATTTAAAAAATACATTGACAGTCATAAAGAGTACGTTTTTAATGATTGTTTCTGTAAATTGTAGTTGTCTTTGTATGTTTTGTTTGGCTGAGAAGAAAAATATAAAGTCGGCAAATACAGTATCATTTTCGCTGATGTCTCAACTAGAAGCATGCAGCGGAAGTAGTTTTGATTCGCTGATATGGAAATGTCAATCAAGCAATTAATCAAGCATTATCCCGGCAAAGCGAATTTATATTCACGGTCTTTAATAGTTTGAGCCGGCGAATATGAATTCACTAAGTCCTTCGCTGGGCCGAAAAATTGTTTATGCCGATATGTGGAGAACTTAGGTGTTTGCGTGACTAAAAGGAATTTCGAGCAGATCTGTCAAGATCCGCTAACTGATGGCTGTTTAGTTTTACTTTATAATCTTGTGAAATTCTAGACTTAGAAAACCCAGCGTGGGAGAAAAAGGGTTGTGTAATCATTTGTGATCGGAGAGCATTAAAAACAAGATTGATATAGTTCTCATGCGTCTGTTTGTCGAGATCTTCAAGCTATTCCCGACAAAAGTGGCACCTCCGACGGGACACCGTTAAAAACTTCATAGAGCGGCGAGTACAGTGAAAAATGGCGACGTATGAGGACAAGATTAAAGCTGTGGGGACGAAGTTAGCGATGCTGGAATTTACAGACAGCGAGACAGAAAGTGTTATTGCGAAAGGACATCTACTATCGCTAGAAAGGCAGCGCAAGATCTTAAGGACATCTACTATCGCTAGAAAGGCAGCGCAAGATCTTAGAGAGGAAACTCGAAGAAGTCCACAACTTAAAGGTGGAAATCCAAGAAGCTAAACTAGAAGGCGGTGAGAAAGCAGAGGATATCAAAGCTTGGAGCGAAGATATTGAAGCCAAATTAGTGAAATTTGAGCAATCAGTAAACAACGTGGAAAAGATTACAAAGCAGATCAAGCGCAAAGAGATGGAAGAGGAAAAGCAAGCTGAACTAAAATTCACTGCCCAGATGAAGGAAAAGCAATTCGAAAAAGAGTTGAGATTCGAAGAAGAGAAGTACGATAAGAAGATACAGTTAGAGAAGAAGCTGGAAGAAAACCTAAAAGGAATGACGTCACATAAAGCGGTGAACACAAAGCTTCCGAAACTTGTCATAACAAAATTCAATGGCACGCACGTCGACTGGTTGAGATTTTGGAACCAATTTGAGGCAGAGATAGACACCGCTCAGATACCGGCCGTAACCAAATTTTCTTACCTCAAGGAATTGCTCGAAAAGAAAGTTCGCGTTAACGTCGATGGTCTCCCTTTCAACTCAGAAGGTTACGAAAGAGCGAAAAACATTTTGAAAACAAAATATGGGAAAACGAGTGAGATTATCAACGCATACGTGCAGGCGATTTTGGCATTACCTCACATCCCTGGAAGTCAGCCAGCGAAGATACACGATTTTTACGAAAAGCTGTTATCAAATGTGCAAGCGCTGGAAACCTTAGGAAAGCTAAGAGAGATCTCCGGGTACGTACGAATGACGATTGATAAACTGGAAGGCATTAGAGGAGACCTGGTGAGAACCGACGATGATTGGCAGGAATGGGAATTTCCTCAACTGGTCTCGGCCCTCAGAAAATGGACAGAAAGAAACCCCCAGAAGCAGGACGACAGAGCCATGGAAAAGCATCCTTTAGGAGTCCAGCCATTTAAGAAATCGAAAACCTTCCAGACCAAGCAGCAGGAAACGAAGTCTAAACCGTGCGTTTATTGCGAAGAGAGCGGACACAGACCTAGCGATTGTAGCAAAGTTGCTTCTGTGGCGGAGCGAAAGAAAGTACTAAGCGAGAAACAGCTGTGCTTCAACTGTGCTGGTACCAAGCACAAGGCTTTTGAATGTCGCAGTCAAGTGGGTTGTCTATTCTGCAAAAGAAGACATCATTCTTCAATTTGTGACAAGGGATCAACAGAACACATGCTAGTAGCGACTGGAGACACAACAGTCACTTACCCGGTTGTAGTGGTGAATGTGGAAGGAATTAAATGCCGGGCGCTGCTAGATACCGGAGCTGGTAGTTCCTATGCTTCCTCCACACTACTCGAACGCCTACAAAAGCGACCTATCAGCAGAGAGCGACGGCGAATTGGGATGATGATGCAGTCAACAAACCAGGTGATTGAGCTTCACAAGCTAAAGATCAGCAATGTGGATGGGAGTTTTCACCTCGAGACGGAAGTTACAAAGGTAAACCGTAGCCAGCTCCTTTCCCTTGGAAATCCCAAGTATAAAGAGAAAATTGCAAGATTTCCCCATCTACAAGGCATCATCATGGACGATACAGACGAGAAGGCAGAACTCCCAATACATCTAATACTTGGAGCCAGCGAATATGCGCGAGTCAAAGTAAACAGCATGCCACGAATCGGTAAACCGGGGGAGCCAATAGCGGAGCTAACTCGTTTTGGATGGACAATGATGTCCCCTGGGAAAGAAGTAGATTTGACCAACATGTTCTTGACGCAGGCGTCCTCTTGTGATTACGAAAACCTCTGCAGACTTGATGTGTTAGGCCTAGAAGATACGAACGTGGGAGACCAAGGAATCGTTTATGAAGAATTTAAAGAGCAGTTGAAGAGAAGTCCGGAAGGGTGGTACGAAGTTGGTCTACCTTGGAAGGGCAACCATCCTCCTTTACTTAACAACGAAGCAGGAAGTTTGAAGAGACTGAATGCACTCACTAAGAGATTGGAAAAACAACCGGGGATGCTTGAACGGTATGATTCCGTGATCCAGGATCAGCTAGCCCAAGGTATCGTGGAGCGTGTGGAAAGTGAAGCTAAAGAGAGAGAATTTTACATACCGCACAAACCAGTCATCCGGGAAACAGCTGAAAGTACCAAGTTGCGCATCGTCTATGATGCCTCAGCAAGAGCAAGTGAAAAAGCCCCATCCTTGAATGAATGCCTCGAGATCGGACCACCTACTCAAAACCAGCTATGGAGCGTCCTGGTGAGAAACCGTTTCCATCCCGTGGCTATCTCAGGGGATCTAAAACAAGCATTTCTCCAGGTTCGAATCTGGGAACCAGACAGAGATGTGATGCGTTTTCATTGGTACAAAGATCTGAAGACTAAAGAGATTGAGGCGTTACGTTTCACGCGAGCTCTCTTTGGCTGGGCGCCGTCTCCCTTCTTGCTTGGGGGAGTCTTACGGGAACATCTCGAGCTCTGCCGGGAACAGTTTCCAGCAGAAGTGGAAGAAATCCTCCGAAGTCTATACGTCGACGACCTCATTGCTGGTGGACCGACCGTTCGAGAGACGCAGCACTTGAAAGAATCTGCGCAGACAATCTTCAGTGAAGCCCAGTTCGAATTACATAAGTGGCACTCCAATGTACCAGCCTTAGAGACTGATACGCTGCAGGAAGAAAGAAGTTCAGAACAAGAATCGAGCTATGCCAAACAACAACTGGGAGCGAAGCCAGGAGAGACAAAGCTATTAGGAATGCCGTGGGACAAAGAAAAGGATACGATCGCCGTTGTCTTCCCCACACAACCGTTAGAACCCACTAAGAGAGAGCTTCTGGGAAGTCTAGCCAGAATTTACGACCCACTTGGTCTCGCTTCTCCTACCATATTGGCGGGCAAAGTGCTGTATAGAGAGGTATGTGACAGCCGTCTTGCCTGGGACAAGGCGTTATCTGGCGTAGCGTTAGACAAGTGGAATGCTTGGAAGAAGATGTTGCCTGACAAGGTTGAGATACCACGTAGCCTAGCTCAGCACCAAGAGAGAATCGTTGGCATTGATCTACATGGATTTGGAGACGCTAGCAACAAAGGGGTGGCATCGGCAGTGTACGCAGTTGTACGTCAAGCACAAGGTACTCAGCAAAGCCTCGTCACAGCTAAATCACGCCTAGCTAAACAGGGACTAACTATTCCCAGGCAGGAATTAGTATCCGCTCATATGACAGCAAACCTCATCAGCAACGTGAAGAAAGCCTTGACAGGATTTCCAGTGGAAGGTGTCTACGGTTGGTTGGATAGTAGCGTCGCACTCCACTGGATTAAGGGAAATGGTGATTACAGGCAGTTTGTGGCAAACAGAGTCAAGAAAATCCAGCTGCACAGCTTCATCCAATGGAGATATGTCCGTTCAAATCAGAACCCCGCTGACCTTGGTAGTAGAGGAGGGCGTGTAGACGAATCTGCGAAGTTGTGGTGGGAAGGTCCTGCATGGCTCGCTGAACCAGAAAGCTGGCCACCAGACATTGTGACCGCGGCTACAAGCGAAACTCAAGCGGAAGCTAAAGTGGTGAGAGAAGCTTTGTTTGTGACCAAGACAGAGGACGATGTGCTGAATGAAACTCTGGAGAAGCATGGCTACTGGAAAGCCATCCGAATCGTAGCGTGGATAGCAAGGTTCCTGAGTAACTGTAAAGCGAAAGGTGCGAAGAAGAAGTCTGGCCCTTTAACTCCTGAGGAGACGGAGACCCAAGTTGAAAGGTGGATTTACAGAGTGCAGTCCAGATTTGCCGCAACGGACAAGTATCAGAAAGACGGGCCTCGTCTCAACCTTCAAAAGAATGAACGAGGACTCTTCGAATGCCGAGGCCGCGTTCAAGGTGACTATCCGATCTACCTTCCGGATGATGATCTATTCAGCGAGAAATTGGTCACAAGCGCACACGAGAACACTCTCCACGGGGGAGTCAGTCTGACAATGGCTAAAGTTCGAGAAAAATATTGGTTACCACGACTGAGACGACTAACCAAAAGGGTGATCAAAAGCTGCAACGGGTGCAAAAGGTTTCAAGCGGTAGCCTATGCACACCCGCCAACAGGTAACCTACCAAGGGACAGGACTGAAGGGTCTACACCATTCCAAGTGATCGGAGTCGATTACGCTGGACCAATCAAGTACCGAACGAGAGGACGTAAAGAGGGAAAGGCGTACATCGTGCTCTTCGCCTGCAGCCTTACAAGGGGTCTATACCTAGAGTTGCTTCCGGACCTTACCACAGACGAGTTCCTTGGAAGCTTGAAGCGCCTGATAGCCCGAAGAGGAAGACCGAACAAAATTTACTCAGATAATGGCAAGACTTTCGTTGCTGCAGCGAAGTGGCTGAAGCAGGTAGAGAAAGATGAGAAGTTCCAAGATTGGCTAGCCAGGCAAAGTATAAAATGGCAATTCAACTTAAGTAGAGCCCCCTGGTGGGGAGGCCAATTTGAAAGACTTGTTGGCCTTCTGAAGCAGTCCCTCTACAAGACCATCGGCAATGGAAATCTACAATGGAAAGAGCTTCAAGAGGTCATTTTGGACATCGAGATAACTCTCAACAACCGCCCTCTTGGCTATATGGAAGACGATGTTGAGCTACCCGTTCTAACCCCAAATTCTCTATTGTTTGGGCAGCCAAACATTCTCCCAGAGATGGATCCCAGTGGGATAGAAGATGCTGACCTCAGGAAACGTGCAAGATACCTTCTCAGGTGTAAAGAAGCCCTGTGGCGAAGATGGTCCAGAGAATATGTCAAAGCACTCCGAGAGCGACACAACATTATCCATCAGACCAAGGAAATGAATATAAAGGAAGGAGAAGTGGTGCTCGTGAAATCCGAAGAACGCAACCGGGGTAAATGGAAGCTAGCAGTGGTGGATACCCCGATAGAAGGCAGGGACGGCGTTGTGCGAGCTGTGCGGCTCAGAACCGGAAAGTCATTTATCGAAAGACCCATTCAACACTTGTATCCCTTGGAATTAGCTTGTGATGTGTCAACTCGAAGAGAAGCCATACCCCTGAATGCAGAGGCCAATGAGTTCAGGCCGAGCAGGCGAGCTGCAGTAGCTGCTCGAGAGCAGATGAGAGCCATAGCTAACGCTGAAGACGATGAAGATTGATTTTGCTTAATGAACATTTAATGAGTCACTATGTTTTGTTCGCTGATCTCTAGGAACATTTAGTTTATGTATTTGCCCATATGCATAGTCAAATAGGGGGAGAGTGTGGAGAACTTAGGTGTTTGCGTGACTAAAAGGAATTTCGAGCAGATCTGTCAAGATCCGCTAACTGATGGCTGTTTAGTTTTACTTTATAATCTTGTGAAATTCTAGACTTAGAAAACCCAGCGTGGGAGAAAAAGGGTTGTGTAATCATTTGTGATCGGAGAGCATTAAAAACAAGATTGATATAGTTCTCATGCGTCTGTTTGTCGAGATCTTCAAGCTATTCCCGACAGATAGAAGAAACGAAGAATGTGTTGATAGAGATATTTCTCTCGTCACATACAATATTCTTGCCGACTTTTATCTTCAGCCAGCTAGAACAAAAGGAAATTATAAAAGATGCCCTAAGGAATACGCTGCACGCCATCAAGACAAAGACTGTCTTCGACACAAATTGCTTTTCTCGGAGGTAAGGGCAATTTTGTTTAAGCTAAAGCGAAGTTGTTCTGCTGTCGTACTGAAAAAAGTATCATGAAGACAGAGTTTATCTCCCAGCGCAGAGAAACGCTTTTGCTTGCTTTGGCAGTTTAAGTTATAGTGATCAGGTGCAGGATTGCAGAAAAAATTCATTGCTTCAAAGAAGAAGGCAAATAGCAAAAGCGCCGTTTTGTTATTCTTTTGATGATATATATGATTAATAATAGCCTGCAGTGAAGGCGTATTTTGGGCGGGCGAAAGCTTGTTTATGTTCGTATTGTTGTAGCCGCCATCTTTGATTTTATGACAGAGGAAGATTGGGGAGAGTAGAGCTACTTTTCTTCCCGCCATTTTTTTTTCGTCCGTTTGGACTTGCCCTTTCCCCCGCTATCTGCCCCTGGGTCTTCGAGGATGCGCTGACCAGCGTTTTGACACAAAAGTCAAATGCCTGACTGGGCGAGCCTCATTTTGGGTCATATTCCCCACTGTAAGGAGCAAAACCTGAAGGGAAGGGGGGGGGGTGGAGGGGCAGTTTTGGCATTGACTGTTACATGACTATGAGTTCAACCAGGAGCCTCCTGGTTCAACCACTCACAGTCCTGAGAGATTTGATGTAAAAATTTCTCAATTTAGTTCCAGTGGCTGGATGCTGATATTGTATGTTTACAAGAAGTTGACCCTCCCTACTTTAATGACATACTGAAGGGAGAAATGTCTTTGCTTGGATATCAAGGACTGTTTGCACAAAAAGACAAAAGTACAAGTCGGCTGGAAGGCATAGCACTGTTTTATAAACATGAAAAGTTTGATCTTCAAGAAGCCAGGAAAATGAGTATCAATGAAATTGCTGATGAAATCATGCCCCAAGCTGAATGCAGAGAATTTGGAGAAGTTGTGATACTTGCAACTTTAAGAGACAAGATCACAAAGAAACTACTGGTCATAGGTATTGAAAAGTTTCATTTTTTTAAAAAAATTTTGGAAGCATTGTCATTCAATTTCTCTCACATATTAGTCCCAAGAATGTCAAATCCAATGAAATCTCCACACAAAATTGACAAACAAACAGAGGATTATTGACTCAATTGTTTTGTTCATTATCATGGGATGTCGATGAACCAAACGTGAAGCTGCCAGTAAGGCTTGTATGTTTGCAGTAACTCTTTCTAGATCACCCAGTAAAAAGCCCTAAACAAAACAAAATTTTATAATATTTCTCACTTATCTATGTACTGCTAGAAATAAGAGAAGGGGCCTTTTGAAAACGATTTTCCAACTGGACGTAAGGTTTGACTCTTATTTCCGGGAGGTGGGGGTTGGGGTTGGTACTTGACCAATACGCCACTTCCACATTTCCCATAATGCACCTCTTTTGCCCCCCCCCCCCGAAATTTTGCATAACCTTTGTTTTTCATTTCTCTTTTGTATTATAGCCATCCCACGAGAAATTGAGGTGGGGGGATGAGATGCATTATGGGAAATGTGGAAGTGGAAGTGTTGAGGATGAAAAATTCCTAAAATACATTACCCTTTTTTAGAGCTACTCTCTCAATTTTATTACCCTGTCTAGGACGCTGTCTTGTTTTAAAACCATATATTGGCATTTCGAAAGAAAAAATTCACATTATAGTCATTACATTTGTATACTAAGAGTACAAACAAAATTCATAAGCAAATCAAATCAATCGTGAGGGAAATACCATGTTGACAGACTCATGGCAAAATTATATACCCTGTTTTGGACAAAGAGGTCAAAATCCATACCCTGTCCAGCGGCACACCCCAGTGTTCACCCTCCAGGTTTGAAACTATTCAAGAAGCATCAACTCCCATATTTTGAGATGCCATGGCAGATAAACACTATAGCCAATAGATCGTTTTCACATGATGTCATGGCAGCCATATTTATATACAAAAAAATGAATCGGCGACCATGTTTGTGTACAATTCCTGTGGGAATTGAACTCTTTTCACATGTTAAAACTTTCTTTTGTTCCAAGCAATTTGCAAAGCTGCTGACCACGTGACCTAAAACGATCTATATTACAATGAAATGGTGCACTTCAATTTTAAGAGTATGAACTGATTTTAAATGCTTTTTTAAATGCTTTTTTAGCCACTACAGAAGACCCAGGTTTGTTTGTTTTTTCGGTAGAGCATGCCTCCCAACTCCTCCACTGTTAAAATTGGACAACGGTCTCCTTGATCAGGAGTTCCTGTCTGGGCTTCTTTTCTGCATACGCTGAGGCTCCCCTTCACATTGTCCGTAGCGTGCTTTCTTTCCCCCTCTACCCAGCCTTTTAGTGGCACAAAAGGTCTGTGAGGTGGAGAGAACCTGGGCTCGCATTTCTATGCACCATTCTAAACATGCATGTAAATTCCAGGCGCCAGCTGTAAATGACAGCCAGTCTATAGAGAGTTTTCACTCATGTGGTTAGCATCTATGTAAATCTATTGGAACAAACAAAAGTGTTTACATAAGAAAAAAGTTCAACTCCCACTGGATTGGTTTGGAACACTAACATGGCCGCCGTTTCATTGTTTTGGAACACCAATATGGCCCCCGTGACATCATGTGAAAACACTCTATGGTTACTATTCAGTAATTTTGACAGTTTAATCCAAGATGTCCCCAGTGTTTAAAAACCTCCTTGTTTTGTTTTTTCGTTTTCTTTTTTTGTAAGGTAATACTCATATCTTATGGGGAGATCTCTTGAAGCCTGTCACACAAGCCTGTGAAATTGCACTTGTCACGCAAGCTCTCCGTGACAAGGTAGCATCGTTGAAGCTGCAAGGAGAGTCTGTTGCTTATATCCTATGCGGAGACTTTAACATCGACCCGCCATATCCCGCATATGAACTACTGAACAGAGGCAAGCTAGATGAAGAGCATTTCAGCAAACTTCAGACCGTTGATTATTTAAAATTCCCTAAAGATTTCATCAAACCACAACAGGTACAATTACTACAAGTTTTAACATTTAAAAATAGTGCACTTTTATGTGACCATGTACGTTAAATCGAGGGCTAACTACGATGTCAAAATTCATTCTCTTTCTAAACTTAAGTAGGATTCTTAGAAATGTTCCCCTGTAAGTGTGTTGGAATAATCGCGATATAAAAGACCGAAAGAATGCAAATTCATTTTTAAAGCGACGTTTTCGCTGCCGTTGCGTCATTCGATCGTCCCTAATGTTTCCCGAATCCCGCATCATAAAATGATGCGATATTTCTTAATCCTAAATATCGCACGCTCTCTCCCCAAGTCCCGCGATTCAAAATTGGTCAAATCCCGTTTCAGTACGGGAGTACGGGAGTAACCCTCGGGGGGGTGGGAGGGGGGGAAGGTTGGGGCTTAGTACGAGAGTTGTACGCACCTAACAGGCGTGAGGCCATGATTAGCCTGCGTAGCAAGCGTTTCCGCGCGAGTTCGTCGAGAAAAATTGGGACGAGAGCAAAAAAAAAAAGGGAATGACTAACTTTCGCGCAATAACTCGATTGGAAACGCTTGCTTCGCAGGTTAGGCCATGATAAAGATCTTGTTTCTTTTCAAGTACTTATAGTTTAGTTTTAAAGATCAATATTTTAAGAAATGACACACCTAAACACAAGCAAAGCTAAAAAACGATCTTAGAAAAAAAAGGATAACTAGTGGCTGCAGAGGAAAAAAGAAATTTGGACGTATAATCATCCATTTTAACTTTTCTCTGGGGTCACTGTTTTGGTTGGTTAAAATTGTTACTGACTCTGTGAAGAAGAGGTTGATTAATGCTCGTTTCGTCGATTTTTTGACAAACGCAGGTTATGGCTGAACAGATATCACTCTTAAACAGTCTCAAAGAGCATATTTATAACCCTCTGACAGATCTCCAAAGTGCTTACAAGGTCGTCATGGTAAGTTATGGCGAAAGTTGTGCGAGTCGTCCTCCAACCTTCCTATGTGGTGCTTTGGCCCATCTTTGATTGGGTGAGGAGAGGAGAGGGTCACGGTACGGCCGGCCCTGCAGTAATTGGCTTTACGCTGTGGCGGTACCCTGCTAAGAATTAGCGAATCTGAATAAAATAGAATAAAACGTGGCAACCCGTTGATTCGAGAAACCATCGTTGTCACGTGACAGAAAAAGTACGTTCTTCTGTCTGTACCACAGGGATCCCATTTAACCTTGCGCTATAAACCGCGTTTTTCAAAGAGACTGCAAATAGAAGACAACAACTAAACGACTTTTTAGAAAAATCTAACGCGTATTTTTTCTTTAGGGTTCTGAACCCGAGTGTACAAGTTATGAAGATGATGGTAGTTTAACTTGGACTACGGATTATATTTGGTTTGATTCGAAAACTTTAATGCCGACTGCTGCTTTAGAAACCATTCCTGGGTCTAAAGTTGCAGAGTATGGTGGCTTTCCAAGCGAATTCTATCCATCGGACCACGTTTCCTTGAAAGCTCATTTTAAATTTGTTGACAAAGTGCCCTAAACTTGCCAGAAAACATTTTTTACCGTATGAAATAATTCAGAGCTGTGGAATTTTATCTATACAGTAAGATTATTCCATGTAAGGCACTTGTAGACAAGAATAGGAAAATCTCGAAACGACAGCTTAGCATCTTGCGCGGAAAAAATGACGAATTGGAATCAGGGTCGATAAACCTTTTCGGAGGACGCGAAGTAAGCACTGAAGCACACGTACCAACTCCGTTGTATGGCCAATACCGTACGCATGCGCGAAGAGGCAGCGTAGCCGAGTGGTTAAGCCGAGTGGTGTGTAGAGCGGTAGAATTGCAAAAGCCTCGAGGTCAATCGCCACCCTAACCTGGTTGGATTTGTTCTCGGTAGACTAGTCCCGAGTTGAACGCCCCGGTCACGCTTGTAAATAGCCAGATGGTTTGCCCCCGGCCAGTTCCTTTTTTGAACTTATTATGTTTATTTTTAAATGTTTGTTTCTGTTCTTAGTATTCGTGGGCCACAATAAAGATGTCTTAGTTGCCAGTAATGGTGCTACCCCTATAAAATCAATTTTCTCTCGTCCTAAATTTCCAATGGTTGTTGTAAAGCGCAGGAAAAATTCAACCATTCGAAGCCGAAGGCGGGAAAATTTTACCCAAAACTTCGCGCCGCGAACTCGGAACCAAGCGCGGAGGAAGTTTGCAACTGAACACGCATTTAGCATCTCAGTGATTTTGCTTTACTCCGTTTTTGCAGAATACATAAATTTTTCTTGATGGACTTTAGTTGAATGGGCGGCTGAACCCCCCTTATTGAAAACGAACGCCAAACTAGGAAGTAATGTTCAAGCAAAGTTTAAACGACACGACGGTAGTGAAAAGGTCGCTACTAAAAATGAATTTGCGTTTTTTTAAATTCTTCGATGTGATTACTCCATCTCACTTTATTAAGACTCTGCAGGAGCTATCAGTTAAAATATGAACAACAACGTCGCAGAACTGGAACAAGTCGTTCAAACACACCGAGCATCCTGCCCGAGCGGTTTACCAAGAGGGCTTGGTACTCTCAATCCCAATCCTCACTCCTAATTATTTACTTCCGTCTCTGTGGATTCCAGTCCTCTTTCCCACTTATTCACTTTTGCTACGGTCCGAGTATGGTATGATAGTGCCTATTCATACTACGCTAAAGCGTAGCACAGAATTTATCCGATTTGTGACGCTCCTCTTTCGAGACCGGCGCGGCGCAGAATAAATCGCGTCGAAAACACCGTTTTTCTCTGTGAATAGAAGACCTATCTAATATCATTGTCGTGCCGGCGCAAAAACTCTCCGATAAAGTGTAAACATAGCCAAAGTGTCAAATGTAGGTGATTTTCCTGGAGTTGAATTCTAGGGGACCGCACCCAAGTTTAAAAAGGGAAAGGAAAATTTCTCGTTCTGTGTTAACGTTCGCCATAAGGCATCGCAGAGGGAAATGACAAATCGCACGTCGTAGTAGTGCAGTGACGGCGAAGAAATTCACCAAAAAGTGCGATGCGCGTGCAAAGTTTTGTTTATTAAAATCTATTGCTTTTTGAAGATCTCGTGCCGTCGCGTCTTCGTTGCTAAAACTCCCTATTAAATAACGCTCGCACGCGAAGTGGGGAAGCGCCTGGTGACCTTTGTTTGCTAGCGTGATAAGTTTGCCATGAAATATTTATAATTGAGGGTTATTTAATAATACAGACAATTAAGAGAAGGTAATTCTTTCACCAGACCGCGGCGTGCCTTGTTTGTAGGGAACACGCATGCCATAGCCAGCCCTTTAACTGACTTTCGATATTCATTCCTTACATAATAGTGATCAGAGAAACAATCCCCTCCCTCCTCATCAAAAAAAACTTCCTGTTTTAGTAAAATCCTGAAAAAGAAGTAAAACTACGCAAAAGTTCTGCCACAGTGGTTTCATCTAAATGCTAACATCATAGATTTCGCCCACAGACTTTAAAGTGAGACTGATACCTCTTGTCTCGCCACAATGTGGCCTCTGAGGCCAATTGAGCTAAACATTCCATGTTGTCACCGCATAATCCGCTGTTCCAGATAGCAATCTAGGGTCTTAGACTCGTTAATTGCCTTATTTTTTTTCCTTTCTTCGTGCCTTCACGATGTTTTATGCTGTGTATTCGTGCGGGTTTATAAAACGAGCAGCAGTGTTTTATCAACTTCAAAAGAAAGTTATCAGTTCACCATTTTCACATTGCAGTTATCCATTCTTCAATTTCTTTTGGGACGACTGTACTAACTGAATACCTAGGAGAAATTTACAGAAAAACAAAGGTTATGCAAACAGCAACTTTTAGGATGATAATCAGCGAAAAGTGTTTTAAATGTTTTTGCACTGACGCTCTGCTCTCTCCTTCCCCTTTTATTTATTTATTTATTTATTTTTTGAGCAGTACTTACAGTATTGCTATCAGATCTGTTTTCAGTATTTTACAAGAGGACTGAATTTTTTTAACAGTTTCTTGAATGTGACTTTCAGCACACTAACGAACTGTCATGTTTTTTTTTTTTTGCTCTCACGGTTTTGAAAAGTTTAGCTTATCAGTTTCTTCCCCCCAATTGTCTATTTGTAATTTTTGTGAAGCAATGGAAGCTGTTAAATATCTTTCAGAGAAAAAAATGGAGTCTTAATACTAGATTTTACTGGAATTTTTATGGCATCTCAGAAGACCGTCGGCAAAGATATTGATCGAAGTCATCCACCAAAACAATTTTGACCCATAAAGCAGTACTCAGACAAAATCCGCGCCAAACGATTTTTGTTTGTGACAAGTCATTTAGATCATAGGTGGGACGTACGATAAAGAAGAAACGATCTAATAATTTATATAATGTTAAATATATGTTTAAGCAACCAAAATTAGGCGATGGTAGAAAAAAAGAGAAAACGTTGAATCGGAGATGCAACCTAATGCTGCCTTCTTTTAAGTAGTATGTTTTAAAATGAAGAGCTGCAGTTACATCAGTAATAAAACATTGATCTTTTTAGTCGGTACCTTCCTTTAATTTATGGATTACATTTTGAAATAAAAAGAACATTCTTTTATACAGAATGCTTGCAATTTCGATAGTGGCAAAAACTACGGAATAGCATTTCAATAAAATAACAATAACCACTTTTGTCACACAAACTTTATGATTTGGAGTGACAAAAAAATTAATATAGACGCTAAATACGATGGGATCATGAAATATACAAACTTCTCTCCCGATTTCATTATGGCCGGAAAAAATTAAAATTTGTTCCGACCGAAAAAGCATTTAGCTCCGAAATATCAATTAAGAACTCAAAAAGTAAGCTCTTTTTGTCAGGCAACCTGCTAATATGCAAACATTTTTATATGCGGCTTCTTTGACTTTTATTTAGGTTGCGAATTACTTTTTTTATCGCCGCTTTTGGGGTTTTTAACTATCTGCTACTGAGTGAAAGTATTTGAAAGCAGTTTTTCATTTTTAAAAAAATTTTCTTCTTTTAGATACGACTTATACACCTGTCCTTGTTTTAAGGTATTTTTTCCTGTTTTCGTTTGGTTTATCTTTCGAACCCAAACTGAACATGAAAAGTGGTGATCTCTGTTTTCATAAAACAATGAAAGATTCACTTCTCAAATAGCGAAAAACTTGCCAGTTAGAAAGAAGACGATGGTTTTCGTCTCTTCTTTTGTCTTTCCTTTTTTTGTCTCTAAAGGCAAAAATTTAAATTGTTTTTATTTTAAAAATCTTGTCGCGAAATTCGAAGTCTAAAATCCCTTAACTTTACCAGTCGTTTATACTACGAATGGTCTCTTCGCGAGTGGCCATCTTTCTAGCACTCTTGTTGAGCTAGCCTTTCCAGCTCGACCTCTCAGGGAAAAAAACAAGACTGGACTCTTCAGTAAAATAAGCAGGCCCCAGGGAACTTACTTAAAAGCGTTGACATTCCTTTTAAGGGTGAAAAATGTGTTTTGGCTGTCAACTTCGCATGAGTCTGATGATGTTATATGATGATTTGTTTTGAATATGGAATAGTCGTTATCGCAACACGGTACAAAAATATTTTGGAAAGTGCCTGGGTCCAAAGTTCAGTGTGATAACCTTAAATTCGGGAAACAGTTCTGTAAACAAGCAAAAAACAGAGAGTGAAAAAGAAAAGAATGGTCTCACATTAGGATTGACATCCACAAATTCTAAAGTTCAGATCACCTTAAACAAGATAGCAGACAGCACTCATGAAAGAGTACTGCTGAAGAAGGGAGAGCTTTATACTAGCCCTTTCCCTTCCCTTGCAAATGCCTGCCACGCTGGCTAGCTTTATGTAAGCCCGCGGACTTGACAAATGACCCACTTTCCCCCAAGACTGAGACAAAAAAGATGACAATTCAAGGGGGAGAAATGAAAAATGGAATTAGTTTTAAAGAGTAGTTTCAAAAGTTCATTAATATCAAGTGAGGAAGCACATAAGAAGTTTATCATGTTGAAATCAGCACCTTTAAATCAGCTTTAAAGAAGTGAATTTCACTTCCGAATATTTTGGGCCAAAATAAAACAAGCCCCAAGGTTGAGTACAAGAATGGACAGATCTACGGTAAAGCTTTTAAAGGTGTTCATTCATCGACTCCTAGATTCTGTTTAGCCATGTATAATAGCATCCGGATATTTCAGTTCGCCAGCCACGTCTTGATTTATAAATTCCGTTTATAGGTACGACGTGCTTTGGGTGTTGGTTTTCTTATCAGCAAACGCGCTCACAGGTTATAAAAACCCCAAACACTTCAAACCTAAATCTTGTATACCATTAAGTCACGAAACTAACACGATTAGGCTTTTAAGTATGCTATGACTATTTAAATTGAAGTTGTGCAAATCTCTTATATTAATCTCCTCCAACGGGGATTTTCTGTTTTGTGGCAAACCAGGAAGTTTAAAACTCAAAACTGAAATTTTCATCACTTGTAAAAACATTAAGTCAAGTCGGAGGAATGATGATTGTAGGTTGATTTCCCTTTTCGTGCATCTAATCTTAACTTTTTTGAGACGATGTGACCTTTTGGTGATTTGAAGTCTGCCGTATACATGTCTCGACAATTTCGTATTTCACGCGATAAAATAGTTTCTACAACTCATTGTTGACAATTCATGGACATAATCACGTTACTGAGATTTTGCACTTTTCATATCAATCCCGCAAAAACTCCGTCTATGTTTTCAATCTTTACAGATTTTGAAAAGATTAAAAACGTGAACGTGGGTCTCCAGGAGTTAAAACATTACATTTCAATGGTTTCCGGAAGCCATGCCCTTGTAACACACGTGGGAGCGTTACGTCACGCAAGGAATATTCCAGAAACCTCCAGTTTTACAAGTTTTGGTGTTTAAAACAACTATTAATACGCGCTTGAAAATTAATTTGAGTATACTGGTTTGGTTTGGACGCGTTACTGTGCTTAAACCCGCTCCTATTTGGTTGAATATGTAAATTACTTGAGCAGGAAAGCAAAATTTATATCCTATGTTGAGTGACAGGGTGGGGTTGGAGCGCAGACTAAACTTATCATATTACAGATTATTATTGATTTCAAACAACCAAGACGTTTATAAGGTTTCCCGGCTCTAACCACTAAACACTCGAGAAAGAAATCCGATTTACCAAGGCACGCTCATTTTAGATCAATACAGAACGTTTATGCGCGTTTCCTACAACGCTTAATCACGCTTTACTACGAACTGCTATTTTCTCGAAGTGTTTCGTCCGATCGATATGCCACAAGAAATCCGGTCTCTGCGATTTTTGTTTCTTTATGCCGTCTTCTTGCTCGCTCAAAGTGGGAGCAGCACGTTTAATATTACAAGATACACGAAAGGCGATGTTTTTCAGAACATAAACTCCTCGGAATCTTGCATTGATACGTGTGTTCTCAACGACGAGAATTCGCAATTTTGCTCAGTCAACTGTTGTAGTTGTGTTTGTCCGAGTCAGTCTCCCACGTATCTTCTAAAAAACGGGAATTGTAGCTCAGAAGATCGCTTGATGGCAATTCTGAAAGCTCAAAGTGGAATTCAAGGTGAGTCTATTTTTGTTCTTTGAAAACTTGGCTTGAACTGGTTGTGTATGCTAAACGTACCCAGCGCCATTTTGAACTATCGCGCAGGCATAGTCGGCGTAGGACGATCACTTTTGGATAAAACAAAAAACTCGGCAAGATGTGAAGTTTATTTGACCGAATGTTTTTTAAGCCACGTGTGCTCATGACTGTGGAATGAACATCGCCACTAAACGTGCAGTTAAAGATCATATCAGTGTGATCAGGACCTTGGCTTCTTCACCCGTGAGTCTTCATTAATCACGCTAGATCGTTAGCTCGAATTTTCACTGCCAATTTTGTTTATGAAGAAAGCTCATTTGCTGTATTCATAAAAAAGTAAACAGATTTGGAATAACAAAAAAAATAATAATTAAAAAAAAAACTGTGGAACGATTTTTACTGGGTGATTGATCTTCCTAAACCTCTTGAAATAAAATAAAAATTCAACAGTCTTAATGTTCTCACTGTCGCTCAGGATAAAGCTTACAAAAATGTCAAATGTCAGGGGCACCCAACGATAATTTTCGGGAAATTATCTGTTCGGAAGACGATTTGAGATCTAGAATTTTCGGATCATTTTCTGTAAAATTTCTTGCTTGCCTGCCTCTCCTAGGATTTTCGAACATCAAAAAAATGCTATACTTGCCCATTTTTAACAGATTTTTACCCTAAAAAGGTCACCTATAATTTTCGGGAGCCTTTTTTCTGGTTGAAATTTTCGAAAAGGTAAATTTTGATCCCTATAATTTTCGGATCACTATACTTTCAGCTAGGAAATCCGAACAGATGAAAAATTTTTAGGGGATAAAAATAAGCCTTTATCTATCGTTTAAATACTAAATTACGTTCAACAACGCTATGTTTATGTGGTTTTGAACTATATCCTCGTTGGGTGCCTCTGAAATGTTAAGAAGAAACATCAGTATTTCTTTAATAAACGACTTTGTCGTTCATTTCACAAGAGTTTTGTTTTTGTTTTTGTTTTGTATAACTGAATTTTCGATTTAGTCGCTCTTTAGCTTTCGATACATGTTGCACGCGAATATTTTATCCAAATTCGTGCTAACGTAGTCTCGGCACGTGGGTTTCCCAAGGTCATTCTAGTTTGAACATACAGAGTGGTTGTATGCCGGACACATTTTAATATTAAAAAGGCTGGTTCTTAGCCCAATTTCAGACCATACTAGTTACTCGTGACTCTAGTTTTAATTCTCAACGTTGCGTATCACTTTAAAAATTTCATCCGTCAAAACACATTTGTAATCGTAGATTCGTCAGTTTCCGCCACCTGTTCCGAGGTTTAAAATCGTGTCTAAATTTGACAAGGGTGTAAAATTTCCATTCTTCAGAAAAAGGCTTGACGGAACTGAAAAAATTTAGATATAAATTCTCCGCAACAGATGCAGTTCATTTGCCAATAATCCACGTCGCATAATTTCTAAGACGATCATTAGATTATAGTTCGCATGCCCCGTAGGTCATTTTTCAGGAGAAATTAAAATCTTTTTAAAGTTTAATTTTTTAAAAAAAAAATTGGCTTAAGAAAAGGATCAGAATTAAATCCTTATTTACGGTCTCTGAAATGACCTATTATACCAAAAGTGACAAATTTAATTGGCTCTCTTCCTTCTTAGCGATATAAATGCGTTTTGACGTTGACTTCGTGGGAAAATTTTAGTAATTTATATCAATATTTCATGTAGAGAAAATGTAACGTTGGCATTGTTTCAGTCACAGAATATGCATTTTAATAGCTCTCCAACATGGTTTCTCCAACCTTTTCCTGTCTTTCGTCGGGAAGTCCCGGTATCTTTCCCACTCGCCGCGGCTGTTGAAGTTTTCTTTCACTCCTGTGACTTATTGAGAACAAATTTAACTTGGTAACTTTTTTAAGGAGAAAGTTATAATCTTCTTCCTGTTTAAAAAATGCCATCTCATTTGAATAGCGAGCTGAAATTTTGTCTTGTGCGAGGGGCAAACCATTCAATTAGAATATGTGAAAAAATCATCAAAGGAATGGGAGAAAGCAATGCTGGGCTACGGAAGTTGATGTAGGAAAAATCATGATAAAAATTTTAAAAAGGCATAGTTTATATAGAAGTTTAAACAGGAAATAATTTTTTGCAACTTTTGAGTCTGTGAATCGATTAAACTACTGTTTATTGTGCTGTACAAGGTGGTTCTAACTTTTAAGCGGTCTGGATGAAGTATTCAAATAAAAGCTACTGAGCAGTACTTTCCTGTGGTACTGTTTATTATGCTGTTCACGGTGGTTCTAACTTTTGAGTCTGTTGATGAAATCCTAAAGTGTAACCATTCAAATGAAAGCTACTGATCAGTACTTTCCTGTGGTACTGTTTATTATGCTGTTCACGGTGGTTCTAACTTTTGAGTCTGTGGATGAAATCCTAAAGTGTAACCATTCAAATGAAAGCTACTGATCAGTACTTTCCTGTGGTACTGTTTATTATGCTGTACAAGGTGGTTCTAACTTTTGAGTCTGTGGATGAAATCCTAAAGTATGACCATTCAAATGAAAGCTACTGATCAGTACTTTCCTGTGGTACTGTTTATTATGCTGTACACGATGGTTGTAACTTTTGAGTCTGTGGATTTGAATAAAAGCTACTTAGGAGTACTTTCCTATTGAAAGCTAACGAGCAGTGCTTTGAAGATTTTATGAAAGTATTTTATTGTTTCAGTTTATTTCTTAAATACATGAAAAGGGGCAATGACAATTAAATAAAAACAGAGCCTTACTAACGTACCAGAACAGACGTTTCAGTGTGAATTTCCCAATATTCTGCGGATATTTTACTTACTGCATTTTTTGAACTTTAGATTGCGATCATCGCATGGTTGTGTCAGAGTCGCATTTTCCATGCGGGAAAGAAGTCATTACAACATTGGACAGTCTCAGCTCTCCGGGCAATAGAAGCTTACACCTTTGTTCTTGGAATAAAAATATCGGCGATTCCCTTATTCATTATAGGTATCTCAAGAATTTAAATAATTGTGAGATAGTTCCGGAGGAATCGCTCTATCTCATCAACGGTAGTTGGAAAAGTCGTTCATCTCAAGATCCTTTCCTGGCGAAGCTAAATGTTAAAATTGTACAAGATCCTGTTTTTGATAATGACAAGCTGTATTTGAAGGTGAATGAAAATTAACTGTTTACACTCCATACTCTACATGTAGTCCCCTATTTTCCACAAGAAAAGTAGCGAAGAAGAGAAATTCGCGAGCGCGCGTGAACTCACGTGCCGCTTCTCCTCGCGAGAGGGGATTCCCGCGCAGCGCTCTAGTTTTTCTCTTGCTTCCCCTTAGGAAAATAAGGGACTGGTAGTCAACGGGCTCCTACAGTCGCACATTTCTCTTCACGAGGAAGGTGAACCTAGGCTTTACCAGCGAATTATTATTACATCCATGCCCATATGACCCTGTCGTTTTATGGCAAAGGGCTCTGACCAATCGAAACGTCCCACTGTTATTCGCCCACTTACTAACTCAGCACCACAGGTTCTTTTGAATATAAAGCCCTTTATTCGTTTGTAATAAGAATTTATGAGTTGCCATGGTAACTTAACCTGAATGTTCGCCAATGGTCGTTCCAGCCGGTCGGCCCAAGCCTGCCCCTCTCGATCAGTTTGATTCTGAAAAACCTGGCAAAGATTCTAGAATTTTGCAGTAACAACTAAGTGGCGATCCTTAATATTGTAAGAAAAATAATTTTATCATATGTTTAGGACTTATAGAGTGTTTTGACATGACGTCACGGCGGCCATATTGGTATCCCAAACCAGTCCTGTGGGAGTTGAACTCTTTTGTTACGCAAACGTTTTCTTTTGTTGCAACCAATTTGCATAGATGCTGGCCACGTGAGTGAAAACGCTCTATACGTAAGACGTTTTTAAATGTACTTTTTTATGTGTTTTTATAATAGTGGAACTCAGACATCGGAAAGCAATATGATGGGCTCATTTTCTCTCTCAAGTTGCTTTGTCGCAGTAAGCAAGGGAAGGATTTAAAGTCTTGTGTCCACTTCAAGAAATCTGGATCATGTAAGTTCAGCGACGCTTCTTTTTATTGATTTCTTTCTTAGTATAAAGAGCTTCTCAAATCAACCAAAAGAAGAAATATTACTTTTTGTAATACAATTGTACAGTCTCTCAGACCTTTCTCGTACATACAGCCTAATCTTTCGTCTTACTTAATAAACGCGCCTCGCGCTTAACACTGGGTTATCACATCCTTCGCCCTTAGTAAAATTTTCTCGTAAAAATCGTATATAATGTTTATTTGACCGGCTACACTCATGTAAGAAATTAAAAATCGACGGAAGTGTTCTAACTTCCGCGTGTTTTATTGTCTTTGCAGTTACTGACATCAAACCAACTTCAAATACGGCGTTGCTGAGGAGCACTCGGTTACCAGCTACCTCGGTCGTGCAAACTACAGCGGAAACGACTAAAACCACAGCAGAAACAGGGATAAAAGCAACCGTCCAGACAACTCTGACATCAAGAGTAAATCGTACATCAACTGCGCACGCGCCAACTTCCTTTGGTTTCGGTATTGTTCGTGGTACACCGTTCGATGACCCGCCAAAGAACAACCCAAACAGTATAGTACTTATTATACTCGCTTCACTAGCTGGGGCTCTCTTTGGTTTGCTCGCTTGTTCAACTTTGGTGTTTCTGATCTGGAGGCGAAATAGGTACTACGACCTACTGTGTAATACCAAAGCAAACTCTTATTTTGCTAAATTAAAATTTATGGCACTTGCAAAGCGCCTGTTGCTTATTTATCTTGCACATGTACAACCATCAAGTTTACGGGGAAATTCACTTTTTTTAAAAAAAAATCCTCCAGTTTTCAATTAATTACCAATCAGAAAATGGAATTTTTGGAATTGTATGTGTTGTTTAGCGGCAGTCTTCTACAGTCGTCGTTTGATAGAATTTTTCATGTGAAAATCAAGTAATAAAGGGTAGAGTCATTCACGTGACCAGCATCTATGCAACTTTAATGCTTCAACAAAAGAAAGCATTTACATAAGAAAAGAGTTCAGCTCCCACCGGATTGGTTTGTTACACCAATATGGCCGCCGTTTCATTGTTTGGAACGTGGCCGTCGTGACGTCATTTAAAAACGCTCCATAATTCCAGCGGGAAAATGCAAGGACTATATGCGATATGAATCAATGATGATGAATCAACCTTGATTTTATCTGTATATTTTTGAAAGCTACATGCACCTTTTTGCTTAATGTTTTAATTGATTTTATTTTGCAGAAATTTTCAAGTGAAAAAGGAACTTAATAAAGGTAAGCTTATTTTATTTTATTAAACATGGAAAATTGAATACATTCCAACCTCCATGTGACCACATCTCGTAAGCGAGTACCTATCCAAGACACCAAAATTTTTTCATTCAGAGCCCAATAATTAAAAACCTATCGCAAGCGACCGCGACCACTTTGACAGAAAGTGAACAAACTTGTGTACCACATTATAAGTGCAATAATATCTTAGTGCCCGATATCTTCGATATCTTAGAGCTCTTTGAGTTGATTGACCTTCTTTTTCTGTTACCAGCAACTAACCCGTTATACGAACGTGGTGCTTCCGGTACGCTCAAATTGACACACATTCAAAATGGGAACGGACAGGCCGAGGAGGTCTGGCCCGATTATCAGCCTCTAGTGGAGAATACCAAGCCCAGAGAGCGAGCAGACAGTCTGCCAGGGTACCGAACTCTCTCCATAGGACAGAAACCCAATCAGCATCTTACGTCCGATCGAGGCGCTCGCTCATCCAATTATCTTAGTTTACTGAAGGACGATCCTGAGGAGGAAAGAATGTATCAGACCTTGATAATAAAAGACGCTAACTCACAGGTAAGGTTCACTCACACGGAGCCCGCGTACCAAGCGTTTTCAATCGAGTTATTAGGGACCTTACGATCCGACAACGGCGACGTCTTGAAAACGTCGCTGAAAAACAGACTTCGCATCATTTTAAGCTTTTTCGCGATTATCCCAATTCGCTCTGTCACTTAAAAGAAGGGGATTTTGGCTGGAGCTGAAGAGAGGGGAACGCGCTCAAGTTCGGACTTAGATGGTAGAATTTATCGCCTTGCCGTTCCCGTTCCCAAGTAAACTTAAAATTTGGTCATTTCACGTCGTTGTTGTGCAGTGAAGGCAAAGAAATGCACAAAAAAGCGTGATGCACGTGCAGAGTTGTTGTTTTGCTCATTAAACCTTTTGTTTTTTGACGTTCCCTTTGCTGTCGTGGACGTGGTTTCGTAAGGTGCCTAAACTCTCTATGGTGCGAACGTTAGAGCAAGAGCAAAAGAAATGGAAGATCGAAGGGGGAGGAGTAGGTTTCCATCTCTTCCCCCCTCACCTCCCTCTTGATTCCTCTTTTTTGCTCCTGTCCAGACTTTCTCGACGAACTCGCGCCGAATAGATCACGTTGCTGTAGCCACATATCAAAATTATATATTAAAGTGATATGGTTTGGTACGAAATTTCTCCTCTCTGGTTGAAAAATATTTCTTTCGTTCGCTTCTCTCGCTCGTGAAATATTTTTCAACACTCGAAGAGAAATTTCGTATCTCCGCGCGGCCATGTAATATCCTCTAACTATCTAAAACTTCCACCAGAGAAGTTCAGTTAAATGGTAATACCACAGGAATCCCAAGGCCCGATTCCTGAAATTCTTTTTAGTTTCAATACGGGATTGAAATTTTCTATCGACAATTGTATCTTTCATCCTATAGATTGTTCAGAGTATCATTTTTTGTTTTCATATAATGATCGCGGACTTCGTGGGCGTGTATGAAAAGAATGATTTAGTGCATTTGGTTTTTGCGCGATCACTTACCTTATTGTTTTTTGGTGTTATTACAGAAGTTGGAAATTATCGATGAAGCAAAGATTCCAGATTACGCAGAACTTGAAGAACGATCCGATAGCGAAGGTCGGTTGCCACGAACACTTTTTTAGTACAATCACAAGTTCTGCTATCTTAGATATGTGAGGTCAATGATTCTGGTTTAGCCTATCTCAACAAGTAGCTGGAACATACAGTATAATAAGTAGGTTGAGAAAACAGCCGACATCTCGTGACGCCACCACCGCATGGTTTCGTCACGAAATGACGTCTGAGAAATGAGTGCAGAAATTCCATACTGATGACGCGTCACTACCCAGATCTAGGTAGTGCGCCTGATTGGTTGAAAATTTGCTTCACCAAATCAGAAGCACTACCCAGATTTGGGTAGTGACACGTCATTTCTGTGCTCGTTTCACAGACGTCATTTCCGGCGGGGAAACCAGTGTTAGCGTCGCGAAATGTCAGCTTTGTTCTCAGGCTATATAATTAATAGCTCCGGAGGAAAGAATCGAGTAATAAGTATCATGATATCCACACTTTAGGATTTCATCTACAGACTCAAAAGTTACAACTGCTTAATAAAATATACCACAGGAAAGTACTGCTCAGTAGCTTTCATTCGAATGGTCACACTTTAGGATTTCCTCCACAAACTTACAAGTAAGAACCACCTTGTACAGCATAATAAACAGTTCCCAGGAAAGTACTGCTCAGCAGCTTCTATTTGAATGGTCACACTTTAGGATTTCCTCCACAAACTTAGAAGATGGAACCACCTTGTACAGCATGATAAACAGTACCACAGGAAAGCACTGCTCAGTAGCTTTCATTTAAATGGTCCGCCACACTTAAAGAGTTCATCCAGAGTCTACAGTGAGAATCACTCTGTATAGCTTAACATTAGAATCGCGTATAATTGCTCTGGCTGGATGGCTAAATAGCAGCGGTTTCATGTTGATAATGTTTACGTTAGAAGTTTTTGTTGGTTGTCTGTCGAGTAATATTAAACTTATTTCAATTTCAGATTCGTTTGACTCAGATGATTCTAAAGATTACGAAGAACCTCCTCCTCCTTTAGAGAGCTTCGTTAAAAGAAAACCTTGTCCACCTGCAAAAGGGAAATTAAATAATTTGTCGTCAGCTTTTCATGACTATGACGAACCAGAAGGCATCATTGTGATACCAGATAACGAAAATGATTCGCCTGAGCAGGTAATAAGTTGTGGTAATGACTTTCATGATTACGCAGATCCCGATGACACGGATGAAGACAATGTTAAATGTCACGTGACACCACAGGAGGATCTCTCGTGTTACCATGACTACGATGATCCCGCTGAATGAAGAGAGGGCACGTGACCTTAACTGTTTACAGTGTGGTTTATGGTTCGATCGTTCTTTGTAGCGTCGGTTATGTCGTGTTGGGAGAGAATGGTTGAAAATCGCATCTGGTCAAAAAAAATAAACGCAGTTGGACGGAAGAGTCAAAACTCAAAACAAAGAGCATTTGGCCAATGCCCAAAAGGAAAAACTTACAGCCGGTGTCAAAAAGGAATACACTTGTGCCTCTCATCTGGTCATAGTGAGGAGGTGCCGGAAGTGCACATCTTATGCCAAGCGCGGGAAACCTAGAAATGATGCAAGGCTAAAGAAACTGGAGCTGGTGTTGTGCGCGGGAAAAAGCAGACCGTGTTGAAAGCGCGGGAAATTTTGTCTGATGTCAAGAGAACAAGTTGGGCTCGCTCGTCTTTTGGTTTCGCTTCAGTCCTTTTTCTTTCTCTGTGTAGGACGAAAAGTCGTCCGGCGTATCATAAAGTTGAAAATACATCGTTTTAGATGTCGAAAGAAGAAAATTCTCTATCCTTGAAAAATCATTACTTTTGCTCAAGTAACGCAGAAAAGCTTTTTGTGGAAAAGTCTCAGGGTCGTATTTAAATTGATCGCATGCTTCGGGCTGCGTATATTCTTAATCTACATCAGGGACGAACTTATTCCTCTGAGGGGGTTGGGAAATAAGAAGTAAAGAAACAGGAGGGGAGGGTGGGTAGTGAGATATGATGTAAATTGTAGATATAAAATTAATTATAGATATAAACTAAACATCGTTCTAGATGTTGCAATTAAGGATATAGTGTATATACATGACAGTATATACATAGCTGTAGAATCGAATGTGTGCACTGTAACCATTGAATTTGTTGTGCGATAAAATCATGATTTGGACTGTGCAATAAAGGTTATATTTATTATCTTAAAAAAATTTCTGTCATAGACGCTTGATTGGCGTCGGTCAAACTGCATTTTGTCTTAAAAGTGTTTTAGGTTGTTGAATTTACCAGTATTGTAACAAAGTGCTGTCAGTCAACCTATTGAAATGATTGCATTCTTCTACATGAATAAACGAACATTCGTTCAAGCACCGTGCCCATATAAAGGATATTATGAAATTTGTTTAATGTCACTTCGCTCTGTTTTCACAAACATAAAATGCATCTCTGAGCACTCTTGATGACATTCAATTATTAAAGATGTACCGACTCAGAAGGAAATCTGATCTCTGGACGAACAAGAACATCCGAGACTGGAGGGGGTGAGAATTCCTTAACAGAAAGAAAACATGGGACCGTGATTTTCCTGACTCTTAGGCAGTGCACTGCAGTCAGCACAAAACCAGATTTTTGCTTCCTCCTTTCACTGAACGGTTAAAATACAGTGCAAGTTTGGGCGATAGCGACATTTGATTACAACTGGTAAAATCCGTCAGTAATTTATGGTTACATTTGTCTGAGAAACTGCTTACAGTGGAGCAAGCGCACGGTACTGGCTACCAAACAATACTTTAAAGGGTAACGCCAGAACCCATCCCCTTTTCCGGTTTTTAAAGATTTCGATATTGGTCAGACAGAATCATCAGAGAGTTCCCACGAGAGAGAACTTCTAAGTGCTAGTGTAGCGCGCGAGGAATCGCGGTTAGGGGGTTTGATATAGTCACCGTTTAGTTATGCGTGTCATTCTACGGTCGGCCTCGCCGCGTCAACTTGCTTTGTTTAGTTTAGTTTTCAATTATTCTGTGAGCCTTAATTTCGTTACCATCTGTACTGGTCCCTATGTTTCTTTGCTATTTTATAGTAGCATCTCGTTTTCTGCTCTTATTCATGTTATTAGGCCGTTTATTTTATTAGTTTGGCCTTATAACCCGAAAGGCGAAGCCATAGCATGGGTTGGGGTTACACGGTCCCTATTTTTCCAATAGTTGGTTTTTTTCGGGTTTACGTGTCCGGCTGTGGCGTGTTGTTAGAATTACTGTAACAGTGGAGTTTTTCACGTGAGTTAATAAAGTGTTTAATGGGCCTAGCTGACCGACGCGCCCATGCTTCCAAGTGTTGTTTTGTGTGTTCGGTTGTGTAGTGGAGGCAAAATATTCTCTTTCGTATAATATTACGACTGAAATTTATCACCAGTCCGGTTGTCAAGCAAGTCCCAGGGGTAGAGCATATCACAGCACATCTCAGTGGGACAATTGAAATTCCATTTTACTTCAAATCACACACAAAGTCTGAGCCACGTTAGATGGCCACTCATCACCAAGCATATCCGGCAGTGTTCTGACAAAAACAGGAAGTCTTAGCCCAACTTCAACTCAAGTCTTGAGTGCAACACTTGGACACTGCTATAGCCAATATTACCGCTGTGTCACTGAACTTTTTTGCAATAGTAAATTTACTGGGTGTGTTATTTTGAAAGAACATTAAATATTCACCCACCATTTGTTGTGTCAGTTGCTGTGCTGATAATTAATATTCATAGGTCACGTGCAATGAAATAAATGTCATCCTAATTAGTATTTTTTATATAAAGAATACTAATGAGGATGGAATTTTTTAATAAAGAATATCAACAAAGCAAAATACAATCAGCCCCGCACTCCCCTAAGACTGAAATCAAATGTCCCCCCCAGGCTCCGGAGTTGAAGACACGAGCACGTGCGGATTTTAGCAGACGTGAGAGGTTGTTAAGCTCATGAATTATTAATAGATTTTTGAAAGAAATATTAATAACTGTATGTTAGATTGAATGGGACCCCTTATATACTTCATCGGTTTTCAAATTTTCTTGGATGGCTGAATTTTGAGAGGTATAATTCTGGAAGCATTTGCGTCAGTTGGTTTTGTTGACGTATGAAAAGTGAAAGTAAAAGCTAAAGGAAGGGTAACTTTTATACTTAAACTTGTCTTACAAAGTATGATTTCCTCGTAGACCCTTTCGGCCTGACAAATCAAGCGAAGTATCAAGACTACTTGGGAATTGATAACTGAGGTAGGCATTACATTAGCTGAAGTTACACTAGAACTCCAAGGTTCCTTTACCTTAGAAATGCATTATATACCGTTGTATACCTGCCACCTCTCACGCATTGTGTGTGAGTCTCACGCCTGAGGACTAAAGACATCAATCTCACGCATCAAGGCAATTTCTCACGCCTGACTCACAAATCCACACAAACTGTCATTTAATACATGATTATTAATGAAAATTTAATTCAATTTCCACATAAATTTTCCAACCAAGCTTTGAATGATAACTTTGTGTCCTAAAGAAATCAAAACACGCTAAAGTTGTCGGCTTTTTCAGTGTTCAAAGGTCGTCGGAAAATCTTTGGGAGTTTTCGGTAAGGTTAAGAAGGTTTCGGAAAATGATCGGAAATCCTCGGAAGACACTGGGACGTTTTCGAAAATCACGGGCGATCATAGCAAGGCAAAAATCTCACGCATTTGACCCAGATTGTGGTTACATTTATCTGAGAAACTGCTTACAGTGGAGCCAGCACGCCGCACTGGCTACGAAACAATACTTTAAAGTAGCATAAAGCTTTAAAGCGTAGCGCCAGAGCCCATCCCCTTTTCCTGTTTTTTTAAGTTATCAATATTGATCAAACAGAATCATCAAAGATTTCCTACCTTCCTTCCCCCCCTCCCGAGTAGAAAAACCCCGAGCTGTTTACTTACTGATGAGCACGGAAAGCGAGAATTTGTGTAGTCTGCGTAGCAAGCGTCAAAAGAAGTAAGGGATTGGAAGGAAGAGGGGGAGGGAGGGGTGGGTAATTTGATACCATGGGATTAGTAGAGGATTAAAACCGGTAAACTGCCTCAATCTCATGTAATGTGGAAATCATAATACCTTGATAAAATTATAGTGGATATAGAGCATGAGGGAAAACTATCCTTCGCATAATATTATGACTGAAATTTGTCACCAGTCCGGTTGTCAAGCAAGCCCCAGGGGTACGTCATATCACAGCACACCTGCGACAATTGAAATTCCATTTTGCTTCAAATCGCACACAAAGTGTGAGCCACGTTAGAAGGCCACTCATCACCAAGCATATCCAGCAGTATTCTGACAAAAACAGGAAGTCTTAGGCCAGGGGCGGATCTAGGGGGAGGGTGCAGGGGGTGCGCACCCCCCCCCCCGATGACCTGAGGCCGCTTTCTAATTAACACTGTGCAGTCGCTTCACAGACATACAAAATCTGCTCCATCGTTTGATATGTATTCTCAGCAGTTCACATTATATTATTTCCTAGTCAAAAGCCCTCTTCTTCCTATTCGCTTTTAAATTTTTTTACGTCTTCAGTCAGTTAGTGGTGCACCCCCTCCTAAGAAAAATCCTGGATCCGCCCCTGTAGGCCAACCTCAAGTCAAGTCTTGAGTGCAACGCTTGGACACTGTTACAGCCAATATTACCGCTGTGTCACTGAACTTTTGGCTGATTAAATTGGTGAAAGAAAAAAGTTTAATATTGTAACAGTAAATTTACTGGGTGTGTTATTTTGAAAGAACGTTAAATATTCACCCACCATTTGTTGTGTCAGTTGCTGTGCTGATAATTAATGTTCACAAGTCACGTGCAATGAAATAAAATGTCATCCTAATTAGTATATTTTATATAAAGAATACCAATGAGGATGAAATTTTGAAATGAAGAGTATCAACGAAGCAAAATACAATCAGCCCCGCATTCCCCTGAGACTGAAATCAAATGCCGCTCCCAGGCTTTTTAGTTTGACACTGTTTTACCGGAGTTGAAAACACGAGCACGTGACGGATTTTAGCAGACGTGAGAGGTTGTTAAGCTCATGAATTATTAAAGAGTCTTTGAACGAAATATTAATAACTGCATTTTAGATTTAATGTGTCCCCTCATATACTTCACTGGTTTTCAAATTTTCTTGGATGGCTGCATTTGGAGAGCTATAATTTTGGAAGCACTTGCGTCAGTTGGTTTTGTTGACGTATGAAGAGTTAAACTGAAAGCTAAAGGAAGGGAAAAATCCCATAGGTTCAATTTTTTCTTGGTAGAAGGGTGATTGTTGCTTTAGGTAAGTTTGTACAAGTGCTGTTATTTTGTGAAGGAAAAAGCAATTGACTTTTATGCTTAAACTTGTCTTACAAAGTATGATTTTCTTCTAGTTTCTTTGGGTGTGACAAATCAAGCGAAGTATCAAGACTACTTGGGAATTGATAACTGAGGTAGGAATTGCATTAGCTGAAGTTACACTAGAACTCCAAGGTTCCTTTACCTTAGAAATGCATTATATACCGTTGTATACCTGCCAACTCTCACGCGTAAGTTGGGAGTCTCACGCCTGCGGACTAAAGACATCAATCTCACGCATCAAGGACAATTTCTCACGCGTGACTCACAAATCCAGACAAACTGTCATTTAATACATTTTTAATAACCGAAATTTAATTCAATTTCAAAAAAAACTATTCCAAAAAGGCTTTGAATGATGACTTTGTGTCCTAAAGAAATTCAAACACGCTAAAGTTGTCGTCTATTTTAGTGCTCAAAGGTCGTCAGAACATCTTTGGGAGTTTTTGGTAAAGTTAAGAAGGCTTCGGAAAATGATCGGAAATCCTCGGAAGACTCTTGGATGTTTTCGAAAATCACGCGCGATCATAGCAAGGCGAAAATCTTACGCATTGACCCAGATTGTGGTTA